TCTCATTTGATCACATGATATCGAGTAAGAATAATGAACATGAATCGTAATTAGATTTTTCTCTCTACTTTAGAACTCACACTGATAGATGGAGAATGTACAAAAAAAAGAGCAACTGGGAAAAATGATGGATAAATTCGATTGGTCCAATTGTCATTCATTCATTCGGGGATTTTGATTGTGGTGTTGGATTTTCTTTTCAAAAAAATTATTCTTTTCTTTTGTCCTTTTGTTTTTCCATGCCGAGCTTATCGATTGAAAAAACATTTTTTCATTTTGCCATTCAAACTTTGAGAAAAGAACCTTTTTTCTCAGTTTTCTTCGGATTATTTTTCATTTTTTGCTTGCCAATTTATTGATGACAGAAAAAGAAGATCTGTTGATTATCTGATTAAATCAAAAAGACACCGACACACAATATTTTTTATAGATAAAATTCAATTTCTCTATCTAAGTGTCTGTACTTTGTGTGTGTGTGTGTGAAAACTTTGTGCATTTTTGAACAAAAACAAAACAGAAAAAAATGGCCAGAAAAAACTTTCTACCAATTTGATGATGATGAACTATGATAATAAGCCTTGCTTGTTTGTTGTCTCTGTTAAAAATGAAAAGAAAAAAAGAGAAAAAAAGAAAATTCCATGAAATGGTATTAGTAAAAGTCGAAAATGATGATGAATAATTTGCTTGCTTTAGCTTGATTAAAACTTTTTTCTCGTTTCATAGTGTTTAAAAATTGTGATTTTTTCTTGATCATTATTTTTCAACACTTTCATCATCAACATTTCAAACATCAAACACTAATGACAACGACAACGACGATAATCATCTTTACGTTGAATTAGCCGAGTCTTTATTCGAAAAAATTATCTTTTCCATTCCATCAAAATTCATGTATTGTGATTGGAATTTTTTCCTATGAAGTCGAATAAAATCTCTTCATTCTTGTGAAATGAATAATCACGACTGACAGATTATTATTGAAAACTATAATTCTCGAATGAATGGAATGAAATGGAATGGTAAATAGCATGATTGTAAAGTTGTGAAAAGTGTGAATAATAATTCTTGAATAATGATTCCTAAATAAAAAATTCTCTTTTATTTTGCATTCCAAATTTTTTTATTCAAAAAACACGGTCTTTCCAGCATGAATGTGGAATAAAATTAAATGATCCAATGTCAGTGGATAAAAATAGAATTGCGAGCAAGATAAAAAATTCGACATTCGACTGAATTGCGCCGTCGTCAAACTAAATTATTATTATCAATTTTATTCACGAACGACGATAGTCAAAATCTATTTTAATGTTTTCGGAAAATTTCCAAAATGTTTTTATGATGAATACATTTTTTTCTGTTCCAAATTCAGTTTCATTCGGTAATATAACAGATTTCTGGACGGTGTTTTTTGCTTTTTTTCTCCAATATTATTAATGATGATGATGATGAAAATTGTGTTTTGTGTTTAGTTGTCGTCATAGGTCGGTCGGCTGGTCGTTTGTGTTTTCGAGGTTAGACATGATCGGTGTGGAAAAACAGAAAAAAGTCCAATACACACACACACACACACACACACACACACACACATATGCAGGCTACATTTTTTTTCTGTCTAATAAAAACCTGGTTGCTTGGTATTGACGATGGTGATGATGATGGAACCCAAAAAAATATTGTATATTTTTTTTGCTGTTGGAACACTCATGCATTAGGATTCTGCTATACTGCCGCCACCACCAACCAAATGCTGCTATAGAATTTCTTTTCATTTTCTATCAAGGACCAAAAATGAAAAAAAAACTGTTTTCATTTTTTGTTAAGTTTGTTTTCTGGATACCATTCCAATGTGATTTCAAAACTGTGTACATTTGGCAAAATTCATCCACCACCACTATCATGACCATCATCACTACTTCTACTACCGCCAGTGTTTGTTTGGATGAATGAAATACCTGGAATTCTGGTTAACATCATGAATATCTATCCTGGCTTTTTCAAATAGCTCTCTGTATTTTGTATGTATTGCATCTTTTTTTTGGTAAATACTGGTGTTTTGATTTTTTTTCTTCAGCCTTTTATTTCTCTTGTTGTGATTCACTAGAGACTTTCATTCACTAAAATAACAAACTGTTTCATGTTTAAATTTTTTTACATTATAAAACTTTAAACTTTTCAAAAGCAACATACAAACAAAATCATTGGAATTGGAATTAGATTTATTTACATTACAAATGTTTTTTGTTGTTGTTGCTTATGCACACATGTGTGTGTGTTTGTTTGTGTGTGACTATTTCAACTAACTTGAAAATTATATACAATTCTCATTTTTGTGTGTGTATTCTTGTCTTTAAGAATTTTGCAGAATTTGTCGGCGTTACATTGCGATTCTATTTTTAACCTTTCTTTTTTTTCTTTTTGTTTAATATCAGTCAGCCATTAGTTACTGAAATTTAGAAATAGAAATACAAAATTATTAAATGCATGTGGTGTATGGCTGGACGAACCAAAATGAATGAACTTAAACTATTTAAACAACACATGAACGAAATTTGAACGATAAAAGTGGCTATGAAAATCACAAATGTAAAATAAAATTACTGAAAAAAAGAAATGAAATTAAGATCGAGAGAGAGAGAGAGAGAAAAAGAAAAAAAACATCATTCTAAACACAAATTTTGGAGTAGAATTTCGGAAATTTAAAATGATCCCGGATAGTTTTGTTTTATCAAAACAGATGTTTTCAGGAAATAAAGCAACTGATGATGCTTGATTGAATGGCACATTTGTACATCAAGAAAATCAAATATATCGTGAATGAATTTCGCAAAAAAGATTATTAGTCTGATTGACACTGATTTTCGATGAAATGAAAAAAAAATGAAAATTTCTTCCATAATTTTTGGCCAATTTCATTTTTTCCCTTTCACTATTTTTTCACCCGTTCGTTTATGTGTGGATTCACACATATACATCATATTCTACTGCTTCTTACATTACTGCATACACAAACAAACACAACTATCGCAGCACATGTGGCTTCAAGAACTATCAATCACACTGCCATTGGTATTGTGATTCATTATTATTCATTATACATTGTATATTTCATTATTTTTTCATTTCAAACATTTTCTTCTACACTTTTTATTCATTTCAATGTGGTTATATTCTCGCGCACGTTTAGGTTCATCATCATCGTCTCATGTTTTTTACCAGCAGTTCACTTACTCTATCGTTCTATCCTTTTGGTATTTTGTGCGTATTCTGCTAGAAAAAAAATAGAAAAAGAGAAACCATTTACCACCACCACAAAAATCAGCATTGAATTGAACTAAACGAATGTGTTTGTTTTTTTTCTTCATCTTTGGGGTGATCATTGAATTGAAGCCGAATTTTTTTCCCTGTTTATGTGTGTTGTATATACACCATATGAATGTTCATAACCATTGAATTTGAGTCATACAAAGTGAACATCACCAAACATCAAAAAAAAAAATTTATTTTTTAGAAAAAAAACGTCCAACTCATCTGCTCATCAACCATAATCAGATTATTTGGTCATTTTTTCAGATTTTAGATTTTAGATTTGAATTAATTAATTTTCTCTCTCTCTTTGTATGTGTGTGTTTGTGTTTCAATCAATAGAATCAATCGATTTTGACATCATGACAACAACGGCAACATCTTATGGTTTGTGTGCATTATCATTAGTAGCACTAATTGTAATCAGATAATATGATTGGATATTGTCTTGATTTCTTCTTCTCGGTAATTATTGTACATACCATGATCATCGTCGTTATTATTAAATGAGAGAATAATTATAGTTTGTCCACATGTATATAGTATATTTTTTATTAATATTAATGTTTGTAATAAATAATCTCATTACTAATTACAATTTCCATAACATTGCAATTAAATAGGAAAAGAAAATTCAACCCAATCAATGATGATGACTAACAATTTATTGTATGAGCAGTGATATTTGATACATCAATTACATCGATATCAAAACATATTTGTGTTTGTTTTCGTCATTTTTTCATAAAATGTGTGCCATATTCACATCGGATTTATTCATTAATTAGCAATTGGCAATTTTAATCAATGTGAATATTTCTAGAATGTTTCTTTTGTTGTTGATAATGTTTTTATTTTTTTCTCCACAATTCACAAAATGTCCACATTATTGTAGATTATGTAAATTTTTTCACTAAAAATTTATCTTTTTTTTCTATTTCTATTTTCTCCTTTGCCCTTTTCAATTATTCAATGCAGTACTTTGCATACAACAAAACCACGATATAATAATGATGACCACCATCGATACCATTTGATTCATAATTTGATCGGCCAATCACAACAACAACAACAACAACAATATCGACGATGATGATGATTATTATTTTGATATGATTACCAAAAAGAAGAAAAAGAAAAGAAAATTGGTGCGATTGATCTAATATCCATTTTTGCGAGAGAAGGATTTATTCCCTCTCTCTCTCTCTTTCTCTCTTTCTCTTTCACACACACATATATAAATCCAATTTGAATTCCTTGAAGCCTTACGAAAAAATTCTTTCATATTCAACTACCAGAAGAAGAAACGAAAATCTGTTCCTCGGCTTCTATAATTCATTTTTTGCAAATAGTTTTCATTTATTTGTGTGTTTGTTTTCGTTTGTTTAAATGTGTGTTTGTGTGTGTGTTTCAAATTTCAAATTTTTTTTTTAGTTAAGAAAATCTCAAATTCATCTCAACTTTAGTTTCATTTTTTGTTCATTTCATGTTCAATTGTTGTTTGTTTGTTTGTCCAAATCGATTGAAAATTATAAAAATAGGAAAAATTCCTTACCTTGACTTGATCTTCATCATTTTGATTGACTGAATAATTTAATTCATCACAACGTTACTATTTATATGAGAAGAAAAAAGTAAAAAAAAATTAAATCATCTTCCATCACTAACGCTATCATCATCATCATCATCATCATCATCATCACCATCACCATCACCATCACCATCACCATCACCATCACCATCACCATCACCATCACCATCACCATCAACATTTATTGTGAATCAATAGTATCTATCTATAATCTATAATCTATAATCTACAATCTACAATCTACAATCTATAATATATTTTGATTGAAAAGTAATAATCAAAAAAATCAAAGACAATGGCAACAATTGGTGGTAGTAGTAATTTTGACATCAACTTAATGGAATTACGTGAATTAATGGATTGTCGTGGTCTTGAAACTATTGCAAAAATCCAACAAAAATATGGTAGCGTACAGAATCTATGCCAAAAATTACGAACATCCCAGAATGAAGGTCTTAGCGGTGATCAACAAGATCTTGAGCTAAGGAAACAGGTTTTCGGTGCCAATGTGATACCTCCAAAACCGCCAAAAACCTTTTTGCAATTGGTTTGGGAAGCATTACAAGATGTTACATTGATTATACTTGAAGTTGCTGCCATTATTTCGTTGGCACTCGCCTTCTATAAGCCTCCTGATGGCAGTGATGACGAAGACGCAACGGGTATGTTATGTTCCGGTTATTTATTAAATTTATTACCGCTTTTTGTCTCGCTAATCAAATCATCTAATTGCATAATTACCAAAATTATCCAGGCGGCCCATTACACGAAGAAAGTGAAGCTGGTTGGATTGAAGGTGCTGCCATTCTGGTCTCCGTAATCATTGTTGTCTTAGTCACTGCCTTCAATGATTATACAAAAGAACGCCAGTTTCGTGGCCTACAAAGTCGTATCGAACACGAGCACAAATTTTCAGTCATTCGCAATAGTGAAGTGATTCAATTGCTCGTATCCGATCTGGTTGTTGGCGACATTTGTCAGGTTAAATATGGTGATCTATTACCAGCCGATGGTATCATTATACAAAGCAATGATCTTAAAGTGGATGAATCCTCATTGACCGGTGAATCGGATCATGTGAAAAAAGGTCTTGATTATGATCCCACTCTTTTCTCTGGCACACATGTGATGGAAGGTAGTGGCCGTATGGTTGTTACCGCCGTCGGTATTAATTCACAAGCCGGTATTATATTCGCCCTATTGGGTGCCGCTCAAACTGAAGATGATGAACAGAAAAAGAAAGCGAAAAAAGGTAAGTTTTTTAAGTAATGAGAAAATGAAATCAATCTCTCTCTCTCTCGCTCTCTCTTTAAAACAAAACAGAAGCAAAAAAGAAAAAGAAAAGGAAAAGTATTGTATCGGCTGATGAAGAAGCAGGTGAAGCTGGTGGTGTTCGACCTGGAAGCGTTGGTATCGGTAATACCGGTGGTAATTCACATCCATCAAATATGATGAGTATGAATGCAATTGGATCATCGATGGCCGCACCACAATATGGTGCCGATAACATTGGTGGGATACGATCAGTGGATAGTGCTGGTAGTGGTGCATTGACTGATTCCGCATTAACCGATAGTGATCATCGTAAATCAAGACAAGATGATGAAACATCAAATCCTCGCAAAGAAAAATCTGTGTTACAAGCAAAACTAACCAAATTAGCCATCCAAATCGGTTATGGAGGTATGTTTCTCACCAATATAATTCACTCACTAATTGACTTTCATTAATCTGATGTGGTTAGGATCGGCAATCGCAGTGTTGACCGTTGTCATATTAATATTACGTTTTGTGATCAAGAAATTTGTCATTCAAAACAAACGTTTTAAAATGATGTATATGCAATATTTTGTAAAATTTGTCATTATCGGCGTCACCGTACTTGTTGTTGCTGTGCCTGAAGGTCTTCCATTGGCTGTCACGTTGGCTTTAGCCTATTCAGTCAAAGTATGTATTTGATATTTGGTATTTGATATTTGATATTTGATTCAATAATTTTGTTTTCAATCATCCATTGATTCATAGAAAATGATGCATGACAATAATCTGGTCCGTCATTTGGACGCTTGTGAAACGATGGGTAATGCTACGGCTATTTGCTCAGACAAAACCGGTACATTAACAACGAATCGTATGACGGCCGTACAATGCTATTGTTGTGGTGTTCATTATAAACAGATTCCCAAATTCGAGCAATTGCCCGTCAACGTTTCCAATACTTTGATCGAGGCAATCGCATTCAATAGTGCTTATACAACTAGAATTATGGTCAGTTTTTGTTTGTTGATTTTAACTAAAAACTAATTATCGTTTCTCTCATAAAATATGGAAATAGCCACCTGATAATCCGGGTGATAATCCGAAACAGGTTGGCAACAAAACTGAATGTGCCCTTCTTGGTTTTGTCTTGGATCTCGGTAAAGATTACCAAACATTACGTGATCGTATGCCCGAAGAAAAATTATATAAAGTTTATACATTCAATTCGGTCCGTAAATCAATGTCGACCGTTATACAATTACCAAACAATGAAGGTTTTCGTGTGTTCACTAAAGTATGTTGTATTGTTTTGTTGCAATTTGATTATCACTCAACTGTGTCATTATTTCAGGGTGCTTCCGAGATTATAATGAAACGTTGTATGTTTATATTCGGTAAAGATGGTACATTGTTGCGATTTCCAAAAGAAGAACAGGATAAATTGATTAAAAATGTGATTGAACCGATGGCATCGGATGGTCTACGTACAATCGGGGTGGCCTATAAAGATTTTGTTCGCCGTAAACCATCATCAGCTAATGAAATACAGATTGATGGAGAACCAAATTGGGATGATGAAGATTATATACAATCACGTTTAACTTGTCTAGCTATTGTCGGTATTGAAGATCCTGTTCGACCTGAGGTATGGATTCATGGTTTAATTTTCAAATTCATTTTTTTCCATAGTAATCAGTGTTCTGTTCTTATATTGAATGACGTCAATATTTCTAGATGGAAAATAGATAGAAAATGGATAGATTTTTATATGTCACCTTGGTTAATATATATAGAAAAGGTCGTATGGTGTTGATTTTATCCCCAAAAACAAACACACACAAGCATAATTCTGTTTCATAGTTGTTCCATTTGCAACTTTTAGCAGCTATATAGCTTAGTATCTATCTATATCTATATCCTATATCTATATGATCTTTACACTATAATATAGTAGGATATGTGTGACTGAAATGAAGAAAAATCATTGTTTCTCAATACATTGGGTGCGCCGCCTATTAACATTGATTGTTATTAAACAATGATGACGATGATGATGATGATGATGATGATGATGAATTGATTGTTTGATAATAATAATAATAATTCAAATTAAATACCACAATTGGTTTTCTCACTTTCAGGTGCCTGATGCTATTCGTAAATGTCAACAAGCTGGTATTACTGTTCGTATGGTAACCGGTGATAATGTTAATACGGCTAGATCGATTGCAACAAAATGTGGTATCGTGAAACCGGGTGAAGATTTTCTTGTACTTGAAGGCAAAGAATTTAATAAGCGTATTCGTGATGCGCGTGGTGAAGTACGGCAAGAATTATTCGATAAAATATGGCCGCGTTTACGTGTTTTAGCACGTTCATCACCGTCCGACAAATATGTGTTAGTCAAACACATTATTGAATCGAAGCTCAATCCAAATCGTGAAGTGGTTGCCGTCACCGGTGATGGCACTAATGATGGTCCGGCATTGAAAAAAGCTGATGTTGGTTTTGCCATGGGCATTGCCGGTACCGATGTTGCGAAGGAAGCATCGGACATTATTCTCACCGATGATAATTTCTCCAGTATTGTCAAGGCTGTTATGTGGGGCCGTAATGTTTATGATTCGATTGCAAAATTTTTACAATTTCAATTGACCGTAAATGTTGTTGCTGTCATTGTGGCCTTTGTTGGAGCCTGTGCCATTGAGGTTTGTCATTGTTTTCATCAATATCTTCTTGACATTTCAATCATTATATATTATATATTCATTGAACAAATACAGGACAGTCCATTGAAAGCTGTACAAATGTTATGGGTAAATCTAATAATGGACACGTTGGCATCATTGGCATTGGCAACAGAATTACCAACCACCGATCTATTGACACGTAAACCATATGGCCGTACAAAACCATTAATTTCTCGTACAATGATGAAGAACATTATTGGCCATGCTATCTATCAATTGACCGTCATATTCTTCCTATTATTTGCCGGTTTGCTATAGTTTTTTCTCATTCATCTTCATTGTGCTTATGACAATTAATTGAAATGACTGACCATTGTCTTTTTTTTTTTGATTTAATTTTTGAAAATAGGTCATCGATTTTTCGATATCGATTCTGGTCTTGGTGCCGAATTAAATGCGCTACCATCGCAACATTTTACCATCATATTCAACACGTTTGTCATGATGACATTGTTTAATGAGATTAATTCAAGAAAAATTCATGGAGAACGAAATATTTTCGAAGGCCTGTTCACTAATCCCATTTTCTACGGAATTCTATTTCTCACTGCCTTTGCTCAAGTAGGTATTCATTGATCGATCGATCGATCGATGATTCATTGATTAAAAATCGTAATATAATCTAATCTGAATGTAAATATTTAGGTGATTATCGTCCAATTTGGTGGTCGACCATTTAGCACAGCCTCACTGACACTAGAGCAATGGGCGTGGTGTATATTTTTCGGTGTTGGCGTGTTAGTATGGGGACAATTGATCACAACGATTCCGACCAAACGAATACCGAAACAATTTTCATGGGGTAGTGGTCCACCCGAAGAGATGATCGATGCAACAAGTTCATTGGTTGAAGATGGTTCATCCGGTTCATTATCACAAGACGTTAAACGTACTGGCCAAATATTATGGATACGTGGATTAACACGTCTGCAGACTCAGGTATGCCTGATACAGTTGCATAACAGCACCGTGTCGCAGCAGCTGTCTCTCAAAAGGGCGAGCCTTGGTTCGCCAACATCGCCAACAACAAGTACTGGTGTGGTTACAAGTGGTACGGCCGCTGCTGGTGCCATCGCTGGTGCATTAGCCGCTGCAGCAGCTGCTGCTGCTGGTACGGCCGGAAGTGGTGGCTCCACCGCTTCTACAACTACAACTACAGCGACCGGTACTATTACTATTGAGCAACAACACCATTCCCATCAGCAACACCAACAACAACAAAAACAACATTATTCACAACAACAATCAGTTAGAAATGTAGGAGAAGAAAATTTAGATGATAATAATACGGCAAAACCGCAAGCCGATAATCGATCCGATCAAAAAATGATGATTGGAAAGCAATCAGATGCAAACATTGATACACACGAACAACAACAAAAGGCAGGCGTTATAACAACCACCACTACAATAATAACAACAACTCAAACACATCCCCAACAACAACAACATACAATGTTAGGCAATGTCATTATGATGGATGCTGCTGCATCGAATCATAATCATACAAAGAAACCATCAATGATCACTGATGATCCATTAGGTATTGGACAGGCGGCAGCAGCAACAACAATAATAACTACATCTGATAAAGGTACCGGTATCGGTATTTTACCTCCATCATCAGCGACAACCACAGCAGTAGCAATAGCACCACCATTATCACCAATACCCGAAAGTCGTTCTGAGCATCATCAACAAAGACATTCTGTCACATCATCGATCAATATGAATGACGATTCATCATCATCGTCATCATCGAAAATGATGACGAGAAAAAAATCCAAATTAGACAGTGATACCTCATTAATAATGATGACAAAAACTGATGATGATAATGATGAGAATGATGTCAGATGATGATGGATGATGACTCAGATTACCCATAATCTGGCCCTTCTCTTGACTTTTCCAGACAGAATAGAATAGCAGACACACACCCACACTCACACGCATACTACATATATTTGATCAGATGAATATCGATATATGCGATATTTCCGGCATCAAACATCAGACAGTTTATTTTTGTTTTCATTTTCTTTTTGTTTTTCTTTATTTTGATTTATCATAGCTCTAATTTGATTTGATTTATTTTGGTCAATTTAGAATTTCGTTTTTTTTGTATGAAAGATTCGTGCGTGTGTGTGTAATGTGAGTGATACCCAAATTCTATTGATAGAATTATTTTTTTTTCGTCGTTAAATCTGAAGAATCCTTTGTGTGTGTACGTGTGTTTCAAGTTGAATTTCTTTACTCAAGATTGATTAATTACCTTGTTGAATTTTCCGATTTTTTGTTTTTTTTCGTTTTTTTTTTGCTTTTTTTTCATTGATTTTTTCCCCATTTCTCACCTTATCCCATTTTTCCTGTGGTGTATGTTGTTGACAAACATGAATTGCATGTAAATCAACAAAAAAACCAGATGATCATCAATTACATGAAGACAAAAATACACCCATTGATCATCTCTCAATGCCCAAATATTTGAACCTTGAATTTTTGGAAAACAAAACCAAAAATGATGGAACACAATGTTGCAATTGTGTGAATGACCGTAAAAACAACAATTTTTTTTTGTTGAATCCGACCAGCTTGAGATTATTTGCTCATCATTATTTCATTTTAAAATTTTTTGCTCTGCCCAAAATTCTGGACCATTCCCCTTACTTTTCATCAATTGATCCATCATTCATTTTTTCATGATAAAATCAAGGATCTCTCTTTATTAATTATAAAATGATATTATGATATTGATTGAATCATGAAATACAAAAGTCTTTCGTTTATTTATAAAAGAAAAGAAAATTCTCTGTTATTATTATTATTACAATTTTTCGATATTTATAAATTATATAATCAATTGATTGATAAATTGATGTTCTCGTTATATCGTATTAATGATACCGAGTCTCTCTCTCTCCAGAGATTCATAAACATTTGTAAAGGAAAACATTTCCGTTTCCCATTATTGTACAATTAGTCAAAGACAATTCATCAGAGAATACTCTTTGCCTGTTTTTGAGACACATTCAGAATTTAATAACTCGTTGAAATTTCTCTCTCTCTCTCTCTCTCTCTCTTTTTGTTGTCAACGGCTTGAATCCCATGAATGGCCTTTTTTAAAATCCTTTTTTACTATGCAGGTATTTTCTTAATTTGTTCATTATTATTATTGATTTTAATTTTTCAATTTTTTTCATTTATATTTGTTGTGTGTGCGTGTGCGCGTGTGTGTGTGTGTGTTTGTTGATGTAATCTCATATCTCATATGTTTAATCATCATCTGTTTTACATTGATAATTAGCAATTTTTTCCATTATTTTTGTTTGTTTGTTCATTTCTATCACTAATCACTAAACTAAACTAACCTTTTTTTTGAAAATGAAGAATGCCCAAATTCACTAACCAAAACAAAACACAAAATTTAGATTAGATTAGATTGATGAATTATGCCTTGAATAATTATTTAGATTCTATGCAACTAAACCAATTCAGAAATACAGACAACACAGACTTCACTCTGGATGACATCATTATTCACTTAATATTAATCGATTATAATCGATGAATCACCATTACTACTAACTAATCTTAGATACACAAACACTTTTTAAAATGGCACATTCCAATCCTGCCCAAAACACACACACACACACACACAACCACAAACATAAATACGCCCACCAAAATCCTTTCTTTCTCTCCATCTATCTGTATGTCTCTGGCCATTTATTTTTTCTTTGTTTGGCTCCATTATTTCATTTTTCGTTTCGCTCTTTTGAATTTCGCTGCAACAAAAAAGAATTGATAATAATTTCATTCCATTATAATTATTATTATTATTATTATTGATGAATATTGAATGATTAATTAATTACTTAATTGATTGATTGATTGATTGATAATTATGCAAAAAAAAAAACAATTTATAAAAACCAATGACAGAATTTCATACAATCATATAAATAACAAGCATCTTTAATTATATATATATATAACAAACGAGATAATTTGAAAAATTAACAAATAACATTTGAAAATCTTTATTAAATCTTTATTTCCTTGCTGACAAATTACACAACACACACACACACACATGACATGACATGACATGACATTGATTATTAATTAACATATATATAAATCACAAAAATACACATACCACAAATGAAATGATACAGTCTAACATGACGAAACAAAAAAAATCTGATCTCTACTCTATTTCATGATAATGATCATTGATCTATCTATCTATCTTTTTTGTTTTCTTTCGTTTTACACACATCTCTTTCTCTATAAATATATTGATAATTAATTAATAAATTATATCGAGATAAGCCAAAATATGAGAAATACAATATTCTTTTTTCTCCAAAACTAACTGCAAGAATTGGCATTTATTTATTTTGAAAATGAAAATGATCAAACGTGGCCATTTTTAATTGATTCAAATAGTAGTAGCTTAGTTTTATTTTTAATTCATAGTTCTCTTTACCAATGCATGTGATTTATGAATTGACATTGCACACCTACACACACACACTAAATACCTCAAATATCTTCAGCTGCTGCTACTACAATTAATTGATTTCTGATTTAAAATTCCTTTTATTTTGTTTCAATTTTTTAAATTTCATTCATATTTTTTCCAAAAAAAAAAATCTGAAACACAAACACAAAACTGTAGAAAAATTGCATGTTTTTTCCCATTTGCATTCGCCATAGATGACAAGAAATGAATAGTGATTTTTGAAAATCTTGCTTTCAATTTACTTTTATTGCTTTTTTCTTTCATTCTTCAATCTCTTCATATGTATGGCTATTGAGATTTTGCTTAGCTGATCAATAATGGTCTGAGATCGAGATCATTTGTTTTCGGTTTTGTCTAGTTTTGCTTTCTTATCCTATTCTCTTTCTCTCTCTATGATGGATTCTTTTTTCTGTTCATTTCGCATCACTTAAACAATCACCACCACCACCACCATATCATCACTATTATGTCAAATATAATCATCAACAACTCCAACAATCTATTCTAATCTGGTCACAATCACTTTCACAAAATCCAAATTCACTATTTCACCATCACCACTACAACCACCACCATCACCACCACCACGAAAACAATCACCAAAACCTCGCATCATTAAATTAACCTGACTGATTTTTTTACTAATTCCTCGATTGATTGATTGATTGATTCGATAATTGAATCCCAGTTATCCTATATATTTGATTAATTGATTGATTGATTAACTAACCACATTTTCACATTAAAAAAACAAAACAAAACTTGAAATTCAAATTAACCAATATTTCATTAGAATGACTAACTTAATTACTAATTAAAACTTTACTCACTTTGCGTGCAAGCAAGTGTATGTGTTTGTGTGTGTGTGTGTTTGATCAATTATTTGTATGCTTTGTCTATTTTGCTTGTTTATTTTTTGAGCTGCTTTTTTCCAAAATTCTGTTTGATTGCATTCATTTCATCTCTCTTTCTCTCTTCTCGCCCTCGATTTCATCACACGTGAATTACTTGCAAAAATTACATGCATATAAACACACTCACACGCACACAGAACCTTATTTTCATTTTTTTTTTCGGTTTATTTGTTTGTTTTTGTATCATTTCCATACAAGTATAACATTTACGTTTATGTCTGTATTTGTGTCCGTGTTTGTGTGGGTGGGTGGATGATGTGTGTGTTGTATCAAAGTGTTTTTAGTAGGAAATCATTTTTTTATCCTTTTTACACAAGAATCATGTATTGATTTTGATCATTTTGATCATTCCCCATGCGAAAAAACCCGATATCATCAATTAATTGCGGTGCTTTCCATATATTTTGAACAGTAAAAACAATATAAAAACACACACTCCCTACATTAATAGTAAGCAATTATACATAATCTATCTATATCTATCTATTTAGATAAAAAACAAAAACCACATTGAAATGAAACTTACAAATAAACTGACATTTCATTATTTTTTCTCTCTCTCTCTCTCTCTCTCTCTCTTTCTCTTTCTGCTCTTCTTCCTTTTTCTCATTCCTCTCATATATGTTGTTTATGTCATAAATTTCATTGCCATCCAAAATTCGCTTTTCTAAATCTTTCATAAAAATTTTTATCTGCCTCTATCTCGACAACAAATATATGAATCCGACGAACGACTTTGGTGTTGAAAAAAAAATGAATAAATTCTTCGATTCCCAACACACGTTTTCAATTCCGTCCCTCTCTCCTCTTTTCGCTTTTTTTTCTGATCGATTCCCAATTCATTTCATTCATTTTTTCTGTTTTTAATATTTTCACTTTTTCTCTTTTGGTTTCATGGCTTTTTTCTGGGATTTTTCATTTAATTTTGATTATACGTTTTTTATTTTTTTCTTTTAAAATTCAAAATCGTAATGATGTGTACACGTGATTGTGATTGACTCGATCATCTGATTTCCAATACACACACACACACAAATATGACGCACTCATCACCCATAAAACATGATTCATATTCACAAACACACACACACACACACCTACCGACAAATGATGAAAACATTTGAATTTAACAAATTTGATTCAAACAATCAAAAAAAACGAAACAAAACATTTATCGGCAATCGCTTTGAATCATCTTTGTCTTTTGTGATGCGCTTTTTTCCATCTATCAATGTCATGGAATGATATGTTTTTGTTTCTTGGTGGCTCTTGAATGCTTAAAATTTCTTAATTTTTCATTCTGATGCTTGTCAATTTATTTATATCGTTTCGAATGTGAATATTTGATTGCCTGTGGATTTTTTCTTTCATTCTTTTTTTAATTTAAATTCAACCCGGTTGATATTTCACACCTACCTGCCTACCCACCCACAATTATACACATACACATGCACACAACTAAACACAATGATTGCACAACAAAAAAAACACGATTGGGCTCTTCTTATTCAAATTTTTTTACTCTCCAAAATTCTTTTCAAATTCTAACATGACTGACGGCTAACTTATCATTATCATTATTATTATGAAATTACCATGGAATTTTGTCTCGATTCCATTATAACTTACCGATTTAATAATTTATTAATTAATCAATTGGAATTCAATTACATCGAATCTTTTTTTATTGAACCCGATTTTCAATAACCACTAAAACTTACTAACTGGATGAATTAATCCTGTTTTTTTGACATTATGTTTGGCATCCGAATTTTTTTTTTGTTTTTCTTTCATTTTTCAATTCTAATTTCATTATGCGCGCGTGTGTGTGTATGCCGGAAAATAATAATTGTCTGTAATGCGTGTGTGCGTGTGTGTGTGAATGTTTTTTTTGATGCGCGTGTGTGTCTGATAATTTTCATTACGGAATTTTTTTTCGATTCTAAAAAAATTCTCACTTTGATTTACTAACCGAAATATTATTACCACACACACACACACATATATATAACGTACATAATCAATTTATTCGGAAAAATACTGAAAACCGTTGAAACATACACACACACACCCTTACAATTTCAAAAAATTTTTTTGATCATAATTCCTTGCATTCAATTCAAATTTGATTCGATTCAATTCGATTTGATTCGATAACCAACAACAACGGGTAATCATTGATGGAACGGGACAACCAATCACGTGGATATTTTCTTTTGTTTGGTGTTTATTTTTATTATTTTTGATTTTTTTCATTTTTTCGTTTGGTTTTTTTGGTTCGCTGTTTTTTTATTTATATATTTGCTATTTAATTCAATTTTGATTTCATCATTTATTACGGGAGCATCTAAATTTTGCTTTTTTTCAATTTGGAAATCTTTTTTTTCCAAAATCACTTTTCCACAATCCAATCTTAATATATTCACATAATGCTATTTCCCCAACTCTCTCTTTATCTCTCTCTGAACATTACATACAAATCCATACACATATAATCGAACCATCGAATGAATTTCAATCAATCAATCAAATCAATCGAAAAATCAATAGTTACGTGTTGTACGAGCATTTCGTTCAACATTAGAAGATATGGAAGAAAGACGTTCATGTCATTCACTGCATAATTGTCTTCGTACATCACGTTCGCATCCAAGTCAGCTACGTAGTAGTTGTTCACAATTTCCAATGGGTATCACTAACATCAATGATATGATGATGATGACAACAACAACTTCGACAGCAGCAGCAACATCAACAATGATGATGGCGACACAAGCGCCATCAATAATTTATAGTAATAATAATTCCACTTCAAGTAGTCATAGTCAATATTTAAATGCATCAGCATCGGCAGCTAGTTATGCTACCGGTAATGGTGGTCAAATACTGATTGATCAACAACCACAAAGTCGTCAACACCATCATCATCATCATCAATACTCATCAATCAAATCAAATCCTCAATCCCAATATTCGCCGACAAAGAAATTTGACTCTCAACAACAGCAACAGCCAGTTGTGCCTCCAATATTACAGCCAATATCGGCAAAACAACATCGATCATCATCAACGTCATCGTCGTCAAATGTGACAAAGCAGCCAATAATGATGATGATTTCTCCAACACAATCAACATCAATCGGACAACCACAACCGGGTATTCCATCAGCTGTACCCGGTACAATTGTTACATATACAGTTGTAAGGCCATTAAATCCACATAAGGCATTACGTTCACATCAATCAATCAATGTGCCTATCGAATTTGATGATTCAATCACCAATATTGATGATAATCAAATTGGCCATAATGATGATGATGATAATCATTCTGATCAGAAGCAATCAGATTCTCTAATTAATGAACGAAAACAGTCAACATTGGCTGCAGACGATGGTGGTGGTGGTGCTGGTGGTGGTGAAAGTGAAATGATCGATTATCGTCATCGATCTGCATCACAACAACGTTTACAAGTAGAACGTTCACGTTCAGCACCATATTCAATGTTATCATCATCGACCACAATAACCGATGCTTATCATCAATCAACATCAGCATTGCAGCAAGGTGGTGGTGGTGGTGGTGTTGTTAATATACCACCAGGTGTACAAGCTTATTATCATATTTCTTCACCATATTCTGGTCGTGCTAGTTCACGTTCAAGTGCAAGTAGTCCTGGTGGTGGTCATCGTGCAAATGCTATGATGATGATGGCCACCGCTTCTGGTATTCGGCGACATAGCTCAAGTTCAAGTCGAAGTTCAAGTTGTTGTTCTAGCGATTCAAATATACTTAGCGGAAGTAGCCGTTCAGCTAGTTTTAGCAATAGTAGTGTAAGTTGTAGTAGCGCTGAAAGTGGTGGTAATGGTGGTGGTGCTACTCATCGTCATAAAGGTGGGAGTGGTAATAGACGGAGAAGTCATTCATCATCCGCCCATCAGCATCAACATCATCATCATCATCATCATGGCCGGCATCATTCGCATCAACCATCACAGCATCATCACCATCATCATCATTCTCATCGACGATCGCATTCAGATCGTCATCGATCCAGTTCATACCATCATCATCAACACAAATCGGATCAAAGATTATATGTACCACCGGAAACTATTGGTGGAACTATTGCATCTGGTCATCATCATCATTCTCATGAAAGACATCACCATAAACACCACCATAGACGTCATGGTGATGATAGTGGTGGTGGTAGTGGCCACCATCATCATCATCATCATCATCATTCACATCATCATCAACAAAACAAAGCAAGACGATCATCATCATCGATAGCCAAAAGTAAGCTTATTTGTTTTGTTTTGTTTTGTTTTTTTCATTTGATCCATAAATCGAATTCTATTCTATTTCAACTAAACACTTGCCTGTTGCTTATTGTTTGATCATCATTCTATCATTCTATCATTCTTTCTAATTTTCTCATGTGGCCATTTCAATTTCTTTTCATAATTCATTCATAATTTATATTTATTTCTTAATCAATGTTTGCACCGTTATGATTAAAATCATTTTCATATATTCCTCTATATTATTGTCAAATTTTTAGATTATATGCCTGTAAGCCCAAGAAAAACTAGCCAACAACATTTACAAATACCAGAAGTGGATCCACAATCTTCGCGTCACCATCATCACCATGTTAAACATCATCATTCACGATCACGGTCAAGATCACGATCACCATCAACAGGATCGACACATCATAATATTGCTGCCAAAACTACAACGATCACTTCCTTTACACCCACTACTTCCCACATGGTTACTGTTCCAAGTGGATCACGACGATCATCACGTAGTCATCGATCACGATCACCATCAAGTGGTGATCATCATCATAATCGTCATGGGAGTGGTGGTAGTGGCGGAAGTGGCCGTCGTCATTATCATCATCATCATCATCAACATTCATCAACAGGCATTGATGATAATGAAAGTGGCTTACAAGGTGGTTGTAGTGGTAGTCAAATGTTAACAACAACAATATCATCCACTTCTGCATCGGCTGTTCGTCGTAAATCATCAGCTTCAAATAATCCACTTGTACAAGGTTATCATTTATTAACCGATGCACCGATATCCGGTTCATCATCTGTAACCGGTTCCGGTAGTCGTATACATCATCATCATCACAGTCATCATGGTCATCATAGCCATCATCATCCACATGAAACAATTATTTGACAACGAATAACAAAATCATTTTCTTGTTGATTCAATCAAAATGTCAAATGTCCTTGTTTTATCATCATAAATTGATTGATTGATGATGATGATGATGATGATTGTTGAAAGCCAATTATGAAGAAATGAAAGGTTTGACCAATTGATGAATCAATTCTCATGTTTTGTTCGAAAATCAAAAAAAATGGCCAACCAAATCGGATATTGTATTATTATTAACCATTTGAATGATTGTGGATTATTCTCTATATATTTTTTTCTATAAACGATAATTTACATGAGCGTATGGAATAACGAATGATTGTTTGATGTTTTCGTGATCTCTTTCTCTCTTTCTTTCTCTATGAGTTAGGACCATAAAATTTTTTCTTTTCTCAAAAAAATATGATCCAGATGTCATCATAATTCATCAATTGATGAGGATGAATGACAATTTTCTCTCTCTTTCTCTCTCTCTCTCTCTCTCTTTTCACTTGGAAAATTGTTTTCGTTTTGAAACGATAAAAAACGTTTATTCAAATGCCTCAAATTCCTTTTTTGAATTAATTATAATTCCATTTTATTAATTTATTAATTGATATGGAAAATTTTAGGTTTTTACAAAACTAAACAAAAAACCAAAATTTTTTTCCAACCAATTTGGCAATAATAATCATTTGTTACATTTACAATAGGCTATTAATTATCACACTCACACAAACTGACGAATCTTTCAATATAACCTGAACAAAAAAATACAAAACTAAAACAAGATCAACTTTCTTGATTGACTGACACATTGATTCATGTGAAGCAATAATTTTTTCGTTTTTGTTTTGTTTGACAATTGTGTGAAAATTGTTTTTTTCTATTTTTTTTTGTTTTTGTTTTTTGTTTTAAATTGATGATGATTCTTATTTTGTATCAGGTTGTGGTTTCTATGTATTCATCTTCTCAACTCTTTTGATCATCATCGGCATTATTATTAAGTTTTCGTTTTTTTTCAATTTATCAAAATAGAATCAGGATATCCTTTTTTTCATTTCCCCGATAGATATACTGTGTTATTTATTCATAAAATAAAATTACCCCGTCATTCTCTTTTTATCTTTCACTAATGGTGAAAACATTGAACATTCACACTAACTAACTAATTGAAATAATAAATAAATAACTTACAAACAAACACACACACACTCAAACAATCTCAATATTTTTAAAAGAATTTGTGATTTTTTTTTCAAAAAATTAACCTCAAAAATTATTATTAATTCGATTCTCATATGATTAATCTATTTTTTTCAACATCGATTGCTCAATCAATCAATCGATGTTGATGATGATGATGATGAATTGATTAACTTATCAATTTTTTTTTGTTCTCGTTTTCTTTTGATGATTAGAAGATTACAATTATTATTATTGTTATACATTACTATATGGAAAACATTTGAGGCCTAAAAAATCAATTTCTCATTGTTGAAAACAATTTTCTAATTATAAATGAGTGCGTATGTTTGTGTTTTTTTTCCGAGTGTGAATTCGTTATCGTTTTATTTACATTTATCTAATATCTAATTAATTTAATTTAATATTATATATTAATATTAATATTAATATTTATTATATTATTTATATAATATACATTTCATTTCATGTGTGTGTATGTAATTTTTTTGTTTCAATTGTAAAAAACTGAACAACGATTCTCTTGGATTTTCTTGATTTAATTTGATAAGCAATATAAACGCACGATAATCTATCTGTGTGTCCATCTTTGGTTGCATCACTGTCATTAACAAATAAATAAATCAATGTATAGATTTCATCATTTCATTTAGTGTTGGAAAAAAACAACAAACAAACTGAAAAACAAAACATTGCTCTTGACACTCATTTTCACACACATGCACACAAATAGACGATTTAGATTCATTTTTACAATCATCAATCATTCATCATTTATATATGATAAAATAAAATGTTATGTTATGTTATTTTGAAGAAATCATTTCAAAAAACAAACAAACACTCATATTCAATATTCAATCAAATTGCTCATCGTCAATGAATGAATGAATGAATGAAATAAATATTTGTATTTGTATTTGTATTTGTATTTGTATTTGTATTTTTCACATTTTCTGTCTCTCTCATGATTTATGATGAATTGGATGCAACATCCACATTCATTGTCATCATGTCCACATTAAGACAAGCAATCATTCCAGCAAAACTAAAATCAACAAAATGAAAGAAAAATTAACTATCGTTTCTTAAATTTTGTTCGCCATCGTCAGAACATCTCATTCGTCAATCAACCATCGACTAATCAACCAATCAATTTATGAAGCAAAACCAAAAACTTCGATTTGAATTGTATGAAAAGTGTCACACACAGACAAATTCTCCCTTTCTTTCCCTCTTTCTTTGTTGCTCCTTAAATCCTCATCTTCCACATTCATCCACTTCCATCAGTTTTGCTTTGATTTTCCTTTCTTTTTCTCGTTTTTGATTTCGTGAATATAATATGATTTCGGACCAAAAAAAAAAAATGCTAATAAAAGGTAACTTATTCGAATAAATTTTTTCATCATAATTTCTGTGTGTGTTTTTGTTATGAAAACACCGATTATTTTGTTTTTCGTTTCCATTTAGTTTTAGTGTTTGAAATTTTTCTCCACAGCTCTCCAATCAATGATCGATTAATCAACTAATCAACCAATCATCGAAAAAATCGAATCAAATTGTTTTTTCTTCCAAAATTTTTTGAATTGAATTGTAACTGGAATTAATGATTAATAGTTAACAATTTCCCACACCTTCCATTTACTATATTTAGGCAATGAATTTCTTTATTTGTTGTTGTTGTAATCATGATTGTCCCAATATCCCAGGTGACGTTGCTCATTCGTTCTTAATAGAAAAAAATCAATTTTTACAGAATTTGTATTCACTCATTACCACAACCATTTTTGGTTACAGTAGGATTTTGAAAATTAGATATGAATATGATAATATATCGATCGAATTTTTGAGCATTCATGATAATATCTCTGTGCTTTGATTGCTTCATTTATTTCTTTTTTTTTTTTTTTTTTGCTTAAATATATTTGTGTGTGAAAGTTGTTTTTGAACACAGAAAGAGTTTCTTTTTTATCAAACATTTCTTCTTTTGCTTTTCCACAATTGTATTGATTTAGCTTTATTTTTGTTTTTTGTTATTTTTTCCATTTTGATCTGAAATTGAAAATAGTCAATGATTTTATAGAATTAAAGAAACCAAACACACACTCACACTAACAACACTTTTATTTAACAGGTAAGTTATCGAGTGTGTGTGTTTTCACATGATTCGATTTGACTTTGATGAAATAAAGCCAATAGATGTTGCACGTTAGAAATCAATTACAAACTATAGTGTGATTTTAGGATGAGACTCTTTTGAAAATGAAAATATCACATTGTGTTTGAATTTTGTAATCTATTAGTTGGTTGTTATGTGTTACTGTAAAACTGTTTGACTTTGTACATGTATGTATTGGTATGGATGTGTATTTTTTGTAATAATTTTATATGTGTGTCAATAACATGTGATTGCATGGATCATTTAATATTTAATAATTTATATTAATTAATAATATCGATCGATAACACCAACACACACACATGATAAACATATAAACAAACAAAAATTATTCAACAATGAAGAAGAAAAATTTTAAAATTTGTTTATCATTATGATTACTATCCACAGTATCGAATGTGTTTGTTTTGTATGCACTTTTTTTTGCATCCATCTCGTTTTGTTGTTTGATTGATTGAACATGCACCTGACACAAACAAACAAACAAACATACATAGCAATCGTAATTTGGAAAGGCTTTTCATATCTACACTCATTCTAATTCTGCCGTTAGCAAATTCTATGACTCTACATTCATATATGTTGTATATAATAGCCATCTATTTCTTTCTGTTTTTGTTTATTTTTCTGTTGTTCACATTTATTTTTCAACGAAAAAATTTTTTTTCAATGTAAACTTTCAATCAGATGCTATCCGGCGATCATCAAATGACTCGATTGTTTCCGGTTCCATATAGTAAAAGTGCTCTTGATCAAAGCGTAAGAATTTCTCTATCTATCTATCTTTCTACCTTTCTTTCTTTTCCTCCATTTTATAATCCCACAATTTTGCCTGTTAGATTTCTTTGCATTCTGTTTTTGATTTCAGATTTTTTCAGTTTATTCAAAAATAACCTACTAACATTTGAACAACACACTCACATTTACACTCGATGATGATGATGATGACGATGACATTTTTTTTATCTTTTACTTTTAACCTTCTAAATACGACCATGTGACAGGCGTGTGTTTTATTTTTGTTTAAAAGTATGTGTGTGTGTGTGTTACTAACAAACTAATCAAACTGTTCAAGCATGTTTGTGTGTGTGTGTGTTAGATGTGTGTATGTTTGACCCTTGACCATTTCTTTGACTTTCGCTCATATTGCTTATTGTATTTGATTTGATTATTGAAAATAATAACAAATCTCACTGCGTTTTAACCCGAGTGTGTTTTTTTGTTGGTGAAAGCCCACTGATTATCCAACACTTTTTTTATTTGCCGCTAATTTTTGTTTAGAAATTTCAAAAGCAAAAATGAAAACCCTTCACTTCGAATCAAAGTTAATGAATCGCTTGAAATATATAAAAATTGTGAAAAAAGTTATCCAATCCAATCAGGCTGCTAATGATCATCAATGATCAATCACACGAAAACCCTCGATAATTGAAATTGAAACTAAAATGAAATTTAAATTGATTTAAAAAACTATTTAAAACATGACCCATCCTTGCAAAATTCTCCGGTCTACAACCGATTCCAGTACTTAAAAACTAGGTGCCAGTGCTGTCAAATAAACCCAAAAAATAATAATTTTGCTGATGCTATTGTTGTTGTTGTCGTTGTTGAATATCAATCAAAATTTTTGAAATAATTTTTTAAAAAATTAAAAAAATTTTCAATTTAAGCAAATTACTAATTTTTTTTTTCATTTCTTTTTTTTTGGCTCCCAATTTTTTGATTTCATCCCATCACCACCTTAAATTCTCACTCATTTTTTTTTTTGTTACCTGAATTTTTTTCTTCTAAACATGTATATTGTGTGTGTTTGTGTTTGTGTGTTTATTTCCGTCCATTTTTCGTGTATCTGCTAAATATTTTTTTAAAAACGAATTTTTTTTTCTCTCTCTTTCTCTTTTTCTATGAAAAAATGTCACTTCATTCATCTCACTCAAAAAATCTATATTCTACACACACACACACACATAAACATCTTGAACTTTTCATTTCCCATTTACTTTGATTTCTGCCTTTTTCGTTTCATCTATGAATTTATTTTTCTCTTTTTTGTTTCCATTATTATTATTTCAACTTTCTTTTTCTTCTTTTTTTTCTTTGTTTCTTTACCATCCATCAATACCACCTATAATCGCATTCTATTTTCGGTTTCATGTCTGAATTGCATTGAAATTTATCTGGTCCATTTTTTTCGCTTGTCTTCCATTCCTGCATCCCCACATTGCAACATTCCTGAACACACATACTTATCCTTATCCTTATTTAAAATACTAACTTATTCTCGAATACAATCTGCTATTTCTTTATCTTTTTTTTTTTATCTATCTTTCTTCACTGTATGATCCTATCGCCTATATTTTCTTTCTTTTCTGCCTTTATCGTTATATCTCTCACTATTCCAATCTGTTTATCTTCTGTTTTTCCGATTGAAAAAAATATCACTTCACTATTCATCTATCTATCTATTCATATATCAATCGATCATCGATTCGGACATTGAATGAATCAATCCTTCCTTTGTCCCTTTGTCCAAACGTTAATAATAAAATATTGAAAACAGATACGTGTGGTAAATGCATTCCGTAGTGGAATCGATCGTAAAGTACCCTCACCAATATTACGTCGTGCCGCTGCAATGAAATCATTATCGATGGATGCCGGTAGCTATGGCAGTTATTCAAATCTATTTCCATCATCAACATCGACAACAGGATTTGGACGTGGTGCAATCACCACAACGGTTACAAAACCAATTCATCCACAACATCAACATCAGCATCATTATCATAATCAACAACAACAACAACAACAACATCCATCATCGGCGGCCGCAACAAGCACAAATGATGTAAAACCGCGGCTACCAAAATCAGGTGAAAGTACTGATCTAGATGGTTTACAGGATGATCAGATCGAAGCATTATTACGTTCAGAAACGGAACAAGCATTAGAAGGTGATATGATGGATGATTTTGATGATAAAACAGATAATAGTCTTGCAACAATTGTCTATACGAATAAAACACAAAATGATAACATCATTATCAATGGGAATGCGGGCAATCAATCACAATCACAATCACAACAAGTGTCAAATAAAAATATTCATCAGATAAGTAATGATGCTTCCAATGACGATTCTCATGATTCATCATTTGCATCTCCATTATCATCACAATCACATACACAATCGATTCAAACTTCGAAACCAATAAGTGCATCAACTAATTCAGCAACAGCAGCAGCATTAGCAACAGATACATCGGCAACATCGACAACGACAAAGCTCAGTTCATCATCATCATCATCATCACCGCCACCACCACAACCAACAACCACAACGCCTACATCATCATCGTTAGAGACACCTGTTTAAAATTGTTTATTGTTTGAAATGACAACGAATTCTATCTATCTTTCTAGCAATTTTGGATATAATTTTTATCAAATTTAAAAAAAAACTTTTTCTCTGTCAACACTGTGGCCATATAGAAATCAATTATTTTTGCCTATCAATTTGAATCAATCAATCAATCAATGAAGAATCACGAGAATTAATGTACAACAAATTCTTCTATGTATAGATGAAACTTTTTCTCTCAATCCATTCGATCAATCGGTGAATATATAGTCAACGGAAGAAATAAATCGACACATCATCATCATGTTCAGGAATAACAGGAATTATTTGAGAGTCGAAAAAAATATATACCAAATCTGGTCTTGAAGAATTTTTGCTAGAAACATAAATACAAAATATAAATTACAATTACAATTACATTACAATTCTTCCTATTATTATTACTATTGTTATTGATATATGATATAAATTATTTTTCTTCTACTTCTTTCTACTTCTTCTCATGTGATATAATGACTGCTGATTTATTATTATCATGATGACGGCGACGTTTTCATTTCTTTCATTCATGCTTCAAACAAACAAATGAGAAAAAATCAAACAAAATTCAACGCTTGTTGTTTACAAGCAACAAATTCATAGAATTTTGTGCTCACATATCACACACAGACAAAATAAAAACATAATGCCCATCGTCAATGGGTACCAGTCTATCATCATCATGATAATTTCTTCTTCATCACTTGCCCCTGGTCGTACACCCTAAATATATTTGTTGCTTCCATACTTATGATTTGCTTGCTTTTTATTCATATTTTTTCTTCATTTTCAATTTTTCAATCAATTACCATTTTTGTCGACAAATTATGATTATGAAATGTTGTTGGAGATGATATCCATTTCACACTTTCAATATACATACATGTGTGTGCGTGTCGACATCTATCGGCCAAATATATCAAGTTTTTTCACATTATTTTTTTTCAACGAAAAAAATAACAAAATTCCATTCAATTTTGTTTGTCCATTATTAATTTTTAATTTTCTTGTTTTTTTTCCTTTTTTTTGTCCTGATGATTTCCAAGTTTTCCATTAATATTTTTTGTTTGAATTTAATTTAACCTTTTCTTTCTTTTTGCTGGCCAAAAAAAAAAATGCTAAACTATTGATTAACACTTTAATTTTAAATACTTAGAATCTGTTAATTTTGTTCAATTCACCAGCCACAACTGTTTAAAACTAATGCTTCGAATGTGGTGCTATAAAAAAAATTGTCTGTAAAAATTTTCAAAAAAAAAAACAAACAAACGAATTTCGTCTTGATTTCATTTTCATTTAAATCATTATTATCAACTTTTTCGGTCACACACACACACATAGACACAGACACACAAAAGTGTTATGTTTGAATCCAACACAACAAAACAGAAATCTGTCTAAATCCAGAATAATAATTGCTGAGAAAATGATGAGTTGATGATAATAAATCCTGGAATGAATGTTTTAATCTTATTTTCTTTTCTTTTTTTCATTTCTGTTATATTTATTGATTATTTGGATATATATTGATTATTATTATTATAAATATTCGGACCTTTTAAATGATAAAATTCATTTCTCAAGTTTATTATGTTTCAGTTTTTTTTCTGCGTGTATGAGTGAGTAATGTATGTATGTCATTTTCTCGAAACAAACACTCAAGTCAAATCGAATCATTGAATTTGCACCAATCAATATATTTTCGATGAAACCATCTACCCAGCCAGCCAGCCAACCAGCCAGCCAGCCAAAAATTATGCTTTCGCTGTATAAATTGCTCAAATGAATAGACAAATTTTGTTGAATTTAAAATCTCTATATCTCTATTGTTGATAATTAATTTTCTAATCATATTTACTTACTATACAATTTCTTTTTCCCCATATTTACATATGTGCGTGTGTTGGTGTGTGATTGTGTGTTTGCGCGTGTGTACGAAACATAAACATATGTCTGTGATTTGTTTGTTTACATTCATCGATCATCTACACACAACCAAAACAAAATTAGATGTCAATCACCGAATTGGCCGAACAACAAAATAATCAATTCTATGAGATGCAAGATCGTAATATGCGTGAGAAAAAGGCCAATCTACCATTGGAAGCACGAAGATCATTGGATTTTTCCTGATTGATTCACTTTCACTTTTTTTTGCTGCATTATTCATCATCATCATCATCATCATATAGGTAGGTGTAATGATTGGTCCATAACTGTTTTGAATGTAAAGGAGCAAAATCAATCAATCAATCAATCAAAAAAAAATTCTTTTCAATTGACATTATCAAACATCATCATGATCATCAAGTTCCTACATTTCTATTTTTTCCTTTCTGTCTTTTGTCTTTATACACAATCAACCATCCACCCACACACACATCGACAACATTTTCGTCATCATCATAATTATTGTCTATTCAAATTCTAATATATTTAACACACATTCATTTATATTTATTTTATTGAAACACAAATATTATCCAGGGTTTATCAATTGTTATCCATATACGAAACGAAAAATCTAGTCAATTCTCGACTCGATTCACACACACATTTACATACATTTATCGATTAGCTTAGAAATCAACATTTGCCAACTTTATCTATCTATTTAATCTCTATCAATCTATCTATCTATCTATCTGTGTGTGCATGTTTTTCTAGTCACATATAATCATATAATAGACATGTTACCTGTGTTGTTCTTGTTTTTGGTTCCCACTTTCAATTCTGTTGCATCCTTGTATTGTTTTTTTTGTTATTGAACAGACCAAATATTTCATGTATTTATTGAAAAAAAATAAGAGAAAAATTTCAATAAAATTATAAATTAATTGAATTTCATAACCAAAAATTTCCATCCATCTATCGAATAGAAAGATGTGTCAGAAAGTCAGAAAAACAAACCATTTTCAACGAATTGACATTCATTGTTTCAATGGTTCATGCAAACAATTTGCTTCAATCACAACAACAACAATAATCAGTCATCACCATCATCAAATAAAGATCAATCCATTTCAATCGGTTTTTCAAGGCTGCAAAAAACGTATACTCAACTTTCCGAACGATAGATTCTTATCATCATGTAAAACATTACATTACAGGTGAACCAAAGCGCATTTTTTTCACCAATCAAATCTTTGATATTTGTGGATTGTAGTCATTTGGCATAATCGACAAAAACTGTCGAATCACCAAGCTATTGTTGGATTTTTTCATCATCGCATTTGGTTTGTATTTTTGTGTTAAACGAATTGCAGTGTTCTAATTAATTTCAGTTTCTATACATAGGTATCTGAATATCTGGCCATCAGGCTATTGATTATCACCGTCTTCTTGATTATCTTCATCAACAACAAGTCAAAAACAAGAATAATGAGTGAAGAAATTATCTTGAATGAATTACATCGATTTCTTCGAGATGTCAACCATGAATTGTTGAAATTAAAGGAATTACACAATATTGTTGAAGCAGATCGTATTTTGTACAATGAGAATCGTCAACAGCTTGATGAATGTTTGAACAGATCCTGTGCACTTTTTCAGCTTTGGACGCCTTTAGATCGAATGATTTATCAGATAGATAATCCTGAATATGAAATAATCAACATACAACGATCAATTAATAGAAAATTACGAAAAATTTTCCGATTAACGCAAGCCATAAACGGAGTATTGGCACAATCTTTATTGATGCTGACTGCACAAGTTCAAACACAACAACAACAATAGATGATGCTTGATTTTTGTTTTCGATTACTATTATTATATGAATAAATCCGCAATTCGTACAATTAAAGTCAAATTGTCTGTTGTCTGAAATTATCGTGCCCATCGTTCTTTTGCCTGTTAATAGACTTAGAACAATTATGTCCTTCATTTGAAATTATAATTATTAAATAATAATGGCAATGAAATGAAAAATTCTATGATCAGTTCTTTATTTCGAGTCCAGTGAAAAATAATTGATTGGTCATTGAAAACCTGTAACACGTTCCAGGAAAATTTGAGAAATGATCGTGCTTATGATTGTTGTCAACCAAAGTAGTATTTTGGGCTATAAAAAATTCAAATCAATATCATTTGATTGAATCGAATAGAAAAATCTTATTCATATGATAAAATAATATCAACATGTTGTCGTTTTTTCGTCTCTTTTTTCTTTTCTATTGCGGGTGTTTGTGGCTGTGTGTGTGGGTGTGTGTGTGGAATTTGATTAAATGGAAAGAAAAGATGAATAGATATCGAAAGAAATTGATTATGGAAAAAATAAACAAACAAACAGTTTATAATAGTAATAGTAAAGATGGAAAGAAAGAAGGAAAAAAAGAAAACAAAACATTTTATTCATCTTTAATCGATTGTTTGATTGATTGATTGATTGATTGGTGTTTTTCATTCATTAATTCATTCATTGATTACGTGATAGAAAAGAGAGAGAGAGATCGCTTTTATTATTTTGTTGTTGTTGTTGTTGTTGTCGTCGTTCATTGTCCAAAAAGTTCGGATTGATTAATTCATTTTAAACATCTTGTGAATGGCTCAACATTGTTTCAACATTTGGATCGGCTAATATAAGAAATGCAGCATGTCCACCATCACCATTGTTTCCACCTGTAGTGGCAGCAGCATTAGTAGTTGTCATTATTTGTGGTACAACATTCGTTGTTTGTAATAAATGATGATGTGGTGCTGGTGGTGGTTGTTGAATTGATTCCATATGTGTTGTTGGCTGTTGCGGTGATTGTTGTTGTTCAATTTGTTCCGAATAAAAATACGGTGTTGAACTGGGTGATGATCCAGATGTGATAAAATGTTGTTGATGATGATGAGGATGAATCGGTTCTGGTTGTTCCATAATTCCAATATCATTATCATCATTATTCGATAATAATGGTCGCGTAGCAGGCGTAGTAGCAGCTAGAATAATGTGTGTCATTGATGATTGTGGGTGTGGCTGTATTTGTTGATACTGTTGTTGTTGTTGTTGTTGCTGCTGCTGTTGTTGCTGTTGTTGTTGTTGTTGATAATCACGCCATTGTTGTAAACGGCTATCAGCATATTGCATCATAGGCATTGATATATGGCTAATAATTGGATGGCTTTGATCTTCTTCTGGTTGAAATTCTGCTGGTTGTTCAAAACGACGTAATAATTGTTGTTGTTGTTGGGGTTGATGTGATGGTGGTGGCAATGATGATAATAAAGATGTTGGCCCCTTTGGTCGAAGTAAGATTCTTACTACAGCATGATTTACAGCAACTGTAGCAGGTGATGATTGTTGTTGTTGTTGATCGACAAAATCAATTGATGGTTCAGATGATGATGTATGAAACAATGGTTGTTGAGAATATGCATTTTCATTATTAGCGTTTGTCATCATCATTGCCATACCACGACCACCATTTGATTGTTCACTATTAACAACCATTTTTGTTGGTTCATTAATATTGTTATTGTTACCATGATAATATACGACTGCCATTGGTGATGGATTTGATACCGGTGATGATGATCGATGAATAATCGATGGTTTTATTGAAGAAATCATTTGTGCTGGTTGTTGTGGTGGTGATGATCGAATCGGTGCACGTACACGTACAGGAACATAGATTGGAACAGGAACTTCAACAACATGTGGCCGAACTTGTTGTTGTGGAATAGCCATAGTTAATGGTGATGGTTGTTGTTGCGATTGAGCCTGACTATATTGATATAATATTGGCGACAATGGTGGTGATAGCGGACTGTAATATGCTAAATTTGGTTGTTGTTGTGCTTGATTCGTTGGTGATTGCTGAAACCTGTGTGTGTGTTTGTGTGAATATTTTAATGGATAATTGATAATTTATTTTTCCGGATATGAATTTTAATGACAACTTACATGATTGTTGGCGATGATTCTTCACGTGAGGATGGTTCTATTACATTGGGCATTGATCGATGTGTTATCAATAAAATCAAACGTTGTGGTTGTTCAGCAGCAGCTGTAGTAATTGGTTGTGATTCCAATTGTCGATTATAATTTGGTTGATTGCGTGTTTGTGAAGCGATTGCCTGAATAATGGCTGCCAATGGATTAGTTATTGTTGGTGATTGCTGGTGTTGTGAAGATGTTGGATAATAACGTGGACCCATCATCATTAATGGTGGCGAAATTGGTAGTGATAATGATGATGGTGGCGATGGTCGACCATACATAATGGTTGTACGAATTGTTTGATCAGAATCTGATGAATCGTCTTGAATTGAATTCGATGACAATGATGATTGACGTGATTTTTGTCCCAATAAAATTGGTACAGAAATTGTTTCCGTTGTTGTGCGATCATTGTCACCATCCATATCATCATCATCATCATCGTCTAGATCGATTTCATGATTATCATTACTATGATCTATATCAGCTGATCCTGTAGCCATTTTTGGTATATTTTCCATCATCATCATTATTTTAGGTGATGGTGGTGTCATTGCTGAATTGATGAATAAACAAACATTTTGAAAAAAAGTTGCAAAGGGAAAATTTCTAAAATTACCTTGAGATCGAAGTGCCGAAAATAATTTAGACATCATTGTCAATGCAGCCATACGAAATAATTGATTTGTCTGTGATGAATTTGGTGAATTATTTACATTTACATTATTATTATTATTCATTGGTGACGATGGCATTGAAGAAGTGGTAAAACCATTGAATGGACTACCACCACCAATAGATTGATGAAAGAAAAACTTGACACTCGGACGATCATCATCATCATCATCATTGTCATCATTATTATTAGACATTGATGGTTGATTTGGATCAATTTTATTGGATTTCTCATTATCAGATGAATTATCAGTAGTAGTAGTTGTTGGACCATTATTATCATTATTGATATTTGAAGAACGTAATACTACTGAATATGTATTCTGTAATGGGTATGTAAATTTACGTATACGATTCTCCCATTTTGAACGAATATTATCAAAAGTATTGCTAGTTTTGTTTGATTGAAAACAAAAAAAAAGATGAATTTCAAAAAAAAACTTTCGTCGCGCATTTGCTTACCTCCAATCAGATAACTCTGAATCATCCGAATTATCAACAGTGGTTGTTTTATTTGAATCTGAATCCAATGGTGAATTGCGCATATCAAAAAATGACGATAGACCAGTTTGTGGTGAACGCGGTGGTGGTGCTAATGATGGTTGTTGTTGAAAATTTAGATCCATTAAACGTTCAATAAAAATCAATTTTGGATTTATACTACCAGTGGATCGATCATCTGATAATTGATCCGATGATTGATCGGTTTGATCATCTTTATTATTATTCAAAACAATTATCGATGGTTGATCATTGTCATCATCATCGTCATCATTATCATCTTTATCTTTACCGCTATTTGATTCATTTCTTTTATCTTTTGTCGTCTTCATTGTTTGATTATCCAAATTTTTGTTACCATTGTCGATGTGGTCGTTGTCGTAGTTGAAGATGGTAATGATGATTGACCATCATCATTTTGTTGACGTTTTAATTGATTCTGATTCTGATTTTTATTAAAACTTGATGTAGATGTTGCAACTGTTTCAGTTGTTGTTGTTGCAGATTGATCATTTTTAGCCAACACTGATGATGATGATGATGATGATGATGGTAAACCAACAACAACATTACCATTAATTAAATCAGGTAATGATGCCAATTGTTGTTGCAAGCGTTGTGTGCTTTCATTTTCTTCCAAAGGAAATGCAATACCGTATTCATGTTTCTAAATTTTATTTTATTTTTGTTTTGCGTAATTTTTCAATCATAATTAATTAAAATTTAAATTTAAAAAACAAACAATTAACAATTAACAATAAAAATTACATATTGAATATGGACTAACCGTTTCATCTTTGTTCAATTGTGAGATGACCAATGTAAATAGCGTCACTGTTGTTGTTGTTTTTCATGGAAAAAACTTAAAATCATCATCATCATCATCAAGTTCAAACACTTACCTAGGACGATCAATACGGTAATCAAACTTAGAAATTTCATCGTACGCATCGAAATAGTTTCACTTGCTCTGTTGTTGAAAAAAAAATCAAAAAAAAAAAAAAACGAAATGAAATGTTTTTTCTAACATTATGGACAATGTAATTCATAATGTAATTTTCTCTATTTTCATCGATTCACTCACCCATTCATCCACATTCAATCATTATCATCGTCACAGAAAAAATAACCTAACTCATCTGTCCATTCCTCGTCATTTTTTTCAAATTAATAATAAACTCTTTTGCTTTCTATCAATTCACATCATTGCTGGCATAATGACGATGATGAATGAGTCATACACGCACAGACACACACTCACAAACACACACATATCTACTTTTTGGTTTAAAATTAATGTGGATGATCTAAAATAAGCACAATATCAATGAAAATAGGGAGTGAGAGCAAGATTAAAAATCTAATCTAATTTGAATTGATTGAACCAATTTTTTTTTTTTTTCATTTCAAAATGTATTTTTAGGTTTTTTTTCCATTCATTTCGATTTCATTTTCTTCAATTTGATCAGGGAATCATTGCTCTCTCTATTATTTTTTGATCTTTATTTAACTGAATAGTTAATTTTTTTCGGTTATCGTTTCTAAATTCACATCACTCCTTTGATTTAATATGTATCAAATATTGGTGAATGTGTTACATGATTCAAATGTTGTAGTTGTTATTGAACATAATCACTATCATCATCAAATGAGAAAATTCACTTTTAACAAACATTTCATTTCATATGGTTTGTTTGGATTCGAATATAGAATTCATTAATTAACAAAAATCTACAGAAACATAATCGAATTTGAATTCTGTGGGATTTTTTCGTTTTTTTATAAATCGATGATCATCATCAGTATCACCTCCAACAAGAACTGGATCGAAAGTGGTTATAGAAAACAAACAAAAAAAAAAAAAAATGAAATCAAACCGGCAACTTATCATTTTTTTCGAATATAAATATAAAATAAAAAAAAAATAATGGCCAAATAGGAAACGTTTGAGATTCGAATACAATTGTTCCTCCATTTGGCTGCACCATTTTTTCAGTTCTTTTTTGTCATATAAACGCACACAATTGACTGTGTGAGTGTGTGTGTCATTTTTATTTAAAAAAAAAAAAATAAAAAATTTCACAAGAAAACATTGAATGAATGAACTCGAACTCGAATTTGAACTAGAGAATTGAACTGCTCTATAGTCAAAAGTCAATCACCTTAAATTATTTGAAAGGTGTGTTGGCCGCTATTGCTTCTGCTGTTATATGTCACACACACGCACACAAAGAAAGAAACAAGGAAAAAATCATTTTTTTGACAATTTTTCCACTGAAAAAAACTTTTTCTCTCATCATCACATCATAATTTCATCAAATTTTCCATTTTCTTCACCATCATCAACACTGATATAAATCAGCCATACAATCAGTTTTCGTTTCGTTTGGCCAAATAATAATAATGAAAAAAAAAACAAAAATTCATGCCACACACGAACAGTAAAATATCATCATCATCATCATCATCATTATATAATACAATAATACAGAAAAAAAGAAAAAAAAATAAAAATTTTGTTTGTTTGCTTGCCATGAATGGAATGAAAAAATAAAATGAAATGTTGTTTGGCCCAAATCGTGTGTTTCATTGTTCGATGTTTTTTTTTTGTTCAGCCATTCATTTATTCATCCATTCATTTATTCATCCATTCATTTTTTATGATTCAAAATTTTCATCATGATGATGATAATAATAATGGCAATTTCATGTGATGTGATACATGAAATGGAGTTGAATTTGTTTTCAGTTTTTTGGCTTGTTCTATCCACAACATTGGGAACTTGAAACAAAATCATCGATTGATCTAACACACACAAGATCGATCATCATCATTTCATCATTATCTGATGATCATAATGATCTGTACGTACAATTTATTTATTTACTTCCTTGAATAATAAATCATGAATGAAAGGAATGAATAAATAAAAATGTCTGTGTGTTTTGTATATTTAAATAATGTTTGTTTGAAAAAAAAAATTTCAGAAAATTCAGCTAAACATTTTTTTTCAAGTCAATCAATACACAGGAAATTGATCAATCGATCGAAATGTGATGAAAACTAAAACGACAATTGAGTTTTGAATATATAAGAAATCCAATTTTAACTAAATTGACGTAACAATTTCATATCATCATTTTTTGATCTGAACAAAATATTTTAAAGATGAAAAAATTGAAATTTTCCTCTTTAACAAATAAAAAAAAACAACAAACACAAAATGTATATGAATCTCTCTCTCTCTCTCTCTCTCTCTGTCTCTTGTTGTGTGACGAAATATGATACAATGAATATTATATAATGATAAATGTCAACAACAATTTCTTCTTCTATTCTCGGTTATCAATGATTACGATCATAATCATCATCATCCTCATTTTCTTTCAAGAAAAAAATTAATTGCTAATGATGATGATGATGAGGATGATTATTTTCATCATCATCATCATTATATTACAATGATAATAATCATCACACACACACACAGGCAGTAAATCGGGTAATTATTATGAATAACAATGAGAGAGAAGGAGAGAAAGAAAAAATTGTTTTTGTTTTTATCAACATTCTCAAACATTTTGGTTGATTGTCAAGTTTTTAGTTTTTTTTTTGTTCGTATGTGTGTAATAAAATATTGATGACCAAATTAAACCAATATAGATACATTATGGTCAGCTGGTCATTTGTCCATCATCATCATCATTTTGTCGTTGTTGTCGAAATTGGATTCATTCTATTTGTGTGTATGTGTCATTTATAGATATAGCATGATTTCTATTCTCAACCTAACCAATAACAAAAATAAGAAGAAAAAAATAACCAGTCAGCCAATCAGGTAACCAAAAGTTAGTTGATCCGTAAAATGTTGTCCCAAAATAAAAATGGTGAATGAAATACACATGTAATAGTGTGTGTATTCAATCTATTTATGGTGTATATTGTAAAACTTGAACAAAATCTAGGTCAACCGAACCATCGACCAAATATAACCGACGTAATAGTGGTGAAATTGGAAAACTTAAAAAACTGGTTTTTTCATCTCTCTTTCCCTCTCTCTCTATCTTGTTTGAATTCAGGTTTTTTTCACATCATCTATGTGTGGATGTACACCCCTGACAAAAAAAAATACGAATTACTTGATTTTTCGAAAATGAAAGAGAAATTTTTTGTCGAAATAAACAACAAAAAAACCACAAGGATGATGAAATGATTTTTTTTTAATTTTTTTTTTTTTGATGATCATGATGGTGATGGTAGGCTACTACTATTAGCAGCGTAGGAGATTTTTTTTTCTCGAATTCAACTCTTTCATTTGCAAGTATTTCCGTTCATTTTCAATCACACACATAAAATGAGTAAATTTTAAAAATAAACATTTTGTTTCGTTCAAACAGACGTTAATAATAATAATTGATTTTTTTTTTTTTGAGTAGAAAATTCAGAAATTCAATCAATCGAGCAACAGGTGAATCCACCTGAATTAACATAATGAAATTTAAATTCCATTGATTTGTCGCACAAGGCAAACTTGTTCAATCAATCAGGAATATTTTTTTTTTTTTTGTTCACATTTTTGTGTTTGTTCATATGATTTTTGTAAATGTCAAAAGAGCAAAAAAAAACTTACTGAATTAATTTCTGTAGGATCTGTTTGAGATCGGCTTTTAATGCACTATCTTCACCGCCACCGCCTCCACCACCAGCGACAAATGCAAGATTTTCGGCTGCAACCTTTTCAGCTTCCGCTTTTTTCAATGCGATCGGATCAATCGTATAGATTTTTTTATTTGTAGATGATGATTTTGTTGTTGTTTCCAGATTGTTTGTTGCTGCTATTATATTACCACCAAAGTTACCACCACCGGAATTGAGAATAATAACGTTTGATGATGGTACTACAGATGAAAATGGTGGTGGTGGTGTACCCGATGATAATGGTGGTGTTGGTGGTGGTGATGGTGATGATGACTTTGTTGTCGCCGTCGTTGTTGTTTTAATTGTTGTTGTCGATGTTGATGATGATGATGAAGATGATGATGGTGATGATGATGATTTTTTATGATTTCCGGAATCCACAATGGCTGCCAGCGTGAATCAAATTAAAGGCGCTTTGTAAAAAGGCCTGATTTTTAATCCCAGAGAAAAAATGAAAATCAATCGTCCACGATTAGGGGATGAAAAAAGCAAAAAAAAAGAATTTTTCGTTTCTTTTATGTTTTTCTGGTCGAAGGACTAATTAGAAAAAATACAGAGCAAAAAATTATTTAAATCTTGAAAAATTCGAGATAACAAAAATCATTAGTATTTAACCCGGTTAATTTAGAATAAAAAGAGAAAAGAGAGAAACAAACATTCAAACATCCTCAATGCATCATCAATGTGATAATATAATGAGAACAGGAAAAAAAAAAAAAAGAGTTAACGGAAAGTTTCTATGTGTAGCGAAAAAAAATTCTCAAAAAACAGGTTGTTTTTCCCTCATAAAAATCAAATCAAATCAAAAAGGAGAAATTGGTGAAGAAATATTTAGCTTTGTTTTTTTTTGCTGCTCTCACTTTGTATATGTATGTGTGTGTGTGTGTGTGTGTGCATCAATTATGTCTGGATTTTCTATTTTTTGCTAATTAAATACTTGAATTTTATGAATATTATCTTGACATAATGGCAGCACACACACACACGAACACATAACATGCAATAATTGGGCGTTGTCAGTGTATTGAAAAATTGAACAAACAAATAAATCAATCAAAGTAAAAAAAGGGTTACATTTAAGCAGAATTGATTAATCAGATTAAAATAAAAATCAGAAAATCTGAATTAATTGCTTTTATTCATTCATTTTATCGAGTGCAAACAAAAGAGAGAAGAAGGAACAAGGAAGAAAACAAAAATGAAATCTGATGGGTTTAACCAGAATGAATTATGCATACATTTTCGGGTGGAGAGAGAAATGAAATACGAATGGAAATATATTGATATATGAATCTTTTGATTGGAATCGAATGAATCAAAATGAAATGATGATCACGAATAATAATGATTATGATTATGATGATGATGACAGACAGATTTTTTTCCAAAATTAATTTCCTATATATTAAAATTCAATCAAAACAAACAAACAAACAAAAAAACAATTGAAAAACACATGCACACACTGAACAACTTTTATTTACCAATAGGCGCTGAATAATCACTCAAATAATGATGATGAATCAAATAAAAAAAAAGATGACAATCACCAATTTTCATTTACAGAATCACAGATCGAATTCTAAATTCATTCATTGATGATGATTACCGGGAAGAAAATTTAATTCAAATCACACACACACACGCATCGCACCAATTGCAAAACACTGAAACACTCAAGGAATTTTTTTCTGCTTTTTTGGAATCTATCGATCCAAAAACGAAAAAAAACTGAAGAAACAAAAAAATTATTTTTGTTGAAGATTGTGATAAATGTAACGAGAAAAAAAGCGGCATTCATCCTAATATGATGGCCATCGACTTTTATATTGCCTCGTCCCGCTCTTTATCTCTTTCTCTCTCTCTCTCTCTCTAGGTTTTTGAAAAATATCTCTCCAAATTGAACTCTCTTTTTATTTGAAAAATTCTATTCAGGAATCAAAACAAAAAAGGTAAACGAAACAAGAAAAAATCGAATCAAAAAAGCAACGCCTTTCAAGCTTGTTTTCTCATCATCATCATCATCTTCATCTTCATATTGACAATTGTTCTCTATTTTATTTTGATTTTTCCCATTTGTATTGGTGGTAATTCAACTTTTTTTCGCCGTTGTTGTGTTGTTGTTGTTGTTGTTGTTCAATCATTCATTCAAAAGTTATTTTATTGCATGAATGATTAACTTAGCATATAATAGTTGTTTTCAATGAAAAATTTCTCTCTATACAAAACAACAACAATCCATGCATGCAATAGAATGGAATGAATGTAAAGTTGAATCAAACACGCACACAAACACACACTTACAATAATCAATGGAGAACAAAAAAAAAAGTTACAAAAAACAATAACAACACAAACCCAAATACACAATTTGGAAACACACACACAATGATGATGATGATGATGATGATGAATCAAATCAAATCAAGAAAAAAAACAAGTGACAAAGGACAAGTATTTATATAATTATTATTGTTATGCAACATGGATGGGGGGAAAGAGAGAGAGAAAATATGGGGGAAACAACAACGAAAAACGGTAAATAATATTCACACATGTCATCATCATCATTATCATCATTGTGTGGATCATAATGGTGATATGATATGATGATGGATTTTTATACATTGACTGACTGACTGATTCTACATAGGTTCCAGTAGTCGAGTATGTATAGATGGTTCAATTGAATTGACATTTTTCGTTTTTGTTCTTGTTGTTGTCTTTGTTGATTATTGATTTGATTTGGTCACGCAACAAGTGGTGTGATACTATTGTTGTTGTTGTCGTTTTTTTACTTTTTCGGTAGTGCTGATTGTGGTGCTGATGGTGGTTGTCAATCGATCATTTACACCTGACAAAACAACAACAACATAAATTGGGCGAATGAAATCATACTGCTAATATACCGATGGTGGATGGCACCGAATAGATTTTTTTTCTTTGTAATTTTCGGTTTTGGCTTTGAGTTTTCGGTTTCCAGTTCTGGTTCACAATTTTCATTAAGTTTGATTGATATCTGTGTGTGTATGTGTGTGTAGAGATATTATTTTCAGTTTCGATTCAATTTCCAGATTTTTTTAAATTTTATTTTCAAAAGTTTTTTTTTTTGGTTCATCCGTTTTGTTTTTTGTTTCGTTTTTTCAAGTTATTGGTTGTTTTTGTTGTTGTCGCAAGATGGAAATTGGAAATTCGCTTTGTTGCATTAAACTACAGCACCATTTTTGTTCGTTTGTTGCTGTAATCCACCCGCTTGTTGTTGTTGAATGATATTTAGGCGCCCAAATGTACAATCGTTTTGTTTGTTTGTTTGTCCATGGTTATTTGATGGCAAAAATAGCAATTTTGAAATCCAAAAAAAGAAAAATAAAACAAAAAAAGCATTAACAAATCCCAAGAGTAATGTTGTTGATGATGATGATGAAAAATGAATGAATGAATGAAAATAGGAAATAATCATAGAGAATCAGGATTTGTATTTGAATAAAAACGAAATTGGATCTACACATCTCTGTGTGTTTAGCGATCAACAGGTTAAATTCATTTTTCATTTCAAATTCTAATCATATGGGCGCCTATCACGATGCAACAACGATCATCATCAAGATTATACTATAGTGTGTGGAGCAATCTCTAAAAATAATCCAAAGACCAAGATGGATCGACATTTTTTTCTTCTTTCTTCATATTTTTTTTCGTATCAACTTTTTTTCCACACACACACACACACACGTAGTAGACAAGTTGATTTTGTTCAAAGAAAGCGAAAAAAAATTTAAATTTTCATGAAAATTTTTTGTTTGTTTGTCCAAGCACACATGACAGAAATAATAATTACAATTATGATATTTGTCTACAATTTCTGGAATAATTTTTTTTTGTTTTATTTTGTTTTATGTTTCTTTAAATTTTAATTTCAAAGAAAGAATGCACACACACACACACAATCATCATTCGAAACAAAAGAAACGATACGTTTCTTCCTTCATTTTTTTTTGTGGTTTCTGATTATCAAATACATAAATTTTTTTTCTGTGTAAACAATGACAAGCGAATTTGTATTTCAATTGGTGTGGATTTTGAACAACAGAAATAAAAAAAAACTCCGAGTGATTTAGCAGAAACAATAACAGAAACAACCGAAAATCTCATCCTGATCATCATCGATAAGTGTTATAGTACAAAAACGACTATATGTGAAAAAACATTGAACCCAGAAAATAAAACAAAAATGTTTTATTTTTCAATTTTCATCGGAAAACAATGAAAATGAATTTTTTTGGTGTTCCAAGAAATAAATAAATAACGAAAAAAAAACAAATAAATTTATGACATCCACGTTTGTCCGTTGTGTCTTTGTTGTTAATAGATGGTGATTTCACCATCTCCATATTTCAAATCGATTTTTCTAGGTTATATTAAAATTCAAACTAATGAAACCATTAATACATGAGAGTAATTTGTTTCATTTTGATTGAAAATCTTTATATGAATGGATGGATTGAACAACAACAACGAATTAGAAAAAGATGTTATCATCATCATCTTCATTATTATATTGAATTGAATAAATCATTATTTTCATGAGATTGTATGCTGATTGCTTGAAATGGATGGAAAAATCTTTAACCCAATAGTTAGATGTGATTTATGTTAAAATGGCTTATTTTACAAAAAAACATAGAATTTCCTCCATTCTCTCTCTCTTTCTTTCTTAAAAAAAACAATTAACACACACACACACACACACTTTTACTATCTATCAATTGAATCAAACATATTGTTTTGATTATAATCAAAAAAAAAAAAGTAAAAATTTGAAAATGGCGTCTTTTTTTCTCTGACATAACAATAATGATGATAATGAATAGCTGCGTTTCTATGTGTAAATGTGTTTCCAAATCATCAATAAATAAAATGGTGATTGATGATGATGATAAAAATATCTACATCTAGCCATTCATTCATCAATGGCAGAAAAATTTCACTATTGAGGTTTATTGAATAGAAATAGAGTTTAAAATTTATTAAATTATGCATTATGCAAATCACAAATCAACCATTACATTAATCTTTTGATAATTGATGAATGTTGTTGTGTTATGCTAAAATAAATATCATACACACATGTATATTTCATGAATTTAAAATGATAAATAAAAATGCTACACTGCATGCCATCTAGTGGTGGATGCCATTTTTTTTGTTGTATGAAAAAAATAACTACAGGGAAATATTTGTTTTCTCTTTTTTTTATCTTACATCTGCTATGAAAAAAACTAGAATTTTTTTTCTTCACTATATTTACCTGGCTGACTTTAACTGATCAATCAATCATTCGATCGATTGATCATTTTGATTGATTGATTGATTGCATAGATTGCAATCAATTCGTTACGGATTCATAGGTTTTATTTTTTCCTATTTTCTCGCAATCAATTGCGGTTTGAACAAACGAAAAATAGAAATCGAAAAAATCGAAAGTGCCAATAACACACACACAACTATATCGAAAATGTTCCCAGTGAATAGAAAAAAAGTAAAAGCTTTGACAATCACGATGGGGAACTTTTCTTCTTCTTTTTCCCCTATTTTGATTGACTTGTGTACCAAGATAAGCATGATATGTATGTGTAAATGGCGTATAAATCAAAATCGAAAAAGAACAGAACAAATATTCACAATCGACAGCAAATATGGACACCTGGACATGACAATTTTCGGTCAGACGGACGTAATTATTATTATTTCTCATTTTCATTCATTTTTTTTTTTGGTCACGAGTTGATCATCATCATCATCATCTTGGAAATGATTGAAGCAAATGATTATGTTCATTTTAGTCTTTTTTTAGTTTTCGTTGTACCAGTATGTGATATCAGGTGTGAAATTTTCGTATAATTTTTTGTTTTTATATATTTATCCGCTTCATTTTGTGGCCATCTACACGCATTATTATCTATCCATCTAAATATGGAGAGTGCGAAAGCATTTGAATTAACGTTGAATACCTAAAGTGGGGAAAAATGAGTTAGTAGTCCGTAGAAAATTGCTGAAAAAATGGCCACTTGCTGCAGTGAATTTTGTTCTATAGAAAATCAAGCAAAATTGTACACACACACACACACACACACATATTCATTATTGCTAATTATGAAACAGGTAGGCGATTTTTGGACAAGAAAAAATCTATTACATAATTTTTTTTTTTTTGAAAATCCCAGAATTCGAAGGGGTTTCTTTGTTTGTAGACTAGAAGGAAATCAATCAAGTAGTAATAGTAGTAGAACTCTGGTTACTGAATTTGGTTGAATTATGAAATGTTAACTGATATGAAAACAATAAAAAACTGTGAACATTTTGGTTTTCTTTTTTTTTTTTTTGTTTGCTTGCTTGACCGGAAGAAACATTCATCATCATCGACACACACAAAAACATTTCAAATACATGAGCCAGAGAGACAACAGAACAGACAAAACTTTTTTTGACTTGTCGTGAATTTGTATACAAGTTGTTTAATGTTCGTTTGTTTTATTTTTCGAGAAAAAAAGAAAGAAAAAACCAACAGTAGTGCCATTTCCGGTTTCATAACCATAGTGGTTATGGTTATGGTTGGTGGATGAACACCCCCTTCTCTTTTTATTCACTTATCAAATATACAAAGCGATGTCCATCACTATTATCATCAGAAAGAAATATGAGAAAAACTTGTGCGTGTGTGTTTGTGACACAAATAATAAGTAAATGCTGACGATGATGATGATGAAAAGAGAAGTAAAAGGACGCACATACACACACACACACATTGGCATTACAGGTTACTTCCGTTTATTATTTCAATTGTCAAGAAGAAAAAGAAAAAAAAAGAAGAAAGGGAGAAAAAATAAGCTAAACAAGAGTATTATTACCAACAAACAACAGCGAAAACAGAAAAATAAGTTTTGTCATTTTATTTTCAACGAAAAATGAAATAAAAAGCCACATTCTGAAAATTGAAACACATATAGCGTTTATTTTCAATCTCCAACACCAATAAACAATGAACAATGAAAGAGAGAGAGGGAGAGTGAGAGAGAGTTTATACTTATAATTCGGGTCGGGTCACAACGAGAACAAACGCGTGCACGTTTTTTTGCTTTTTTGTTTCTTGTTGAATTGAATCGAGTGAAACCGTTTATTAATTTTTTCACATTTTCATTTCATGATTCATGTGTGTGTGTTTTCTTCTGATATAGCAAAGAATACCGGTATCATATCATTCAAATAATGTTTGTTTGTTTGAATGATATGATGATGATATGAATGAATACGAATGAAACGTTACAATTTTCTATGATAATAATGAAATGTGCGATAAATAATAATAAATAATAATAATGATGATGAAAAAGAGCAAAAAAACGATGATGATTGAAATAAATAAAAAATGATTTCATCAAGAAAATGAAGGATAATAATATGATGATGATCCAATTGGAACAGCATAATTTCTTTCTTTTCTTCTTATTTTTATCAAGTTGTTCAACATCAGCTATCATCATCATAATCATTGTGTTTTTTTTCCACAAGCGATAAAATAAAGTACAAAAATATTTCAACAATAATAAATCCTAAAAGATTTTCATCTTTTTCATTTTCTAACAAGTTTTAAGCTTTTTAGATTTTACTTTTTCGTTTCGTTCTTTATGGACAAAAAACTTTCCTAACAACAACAATAATAATGATGATGATGATAGTTCTGAACAACATTTCATAAGTGAAAAGTAAAAAAAATCTTTTAATCTTTTTCACCATTGTTTATGATCAAATTTCGTTTCGTTTTTTTTTTTTTTTCTTTCATTTTTACATTTAACGATTATAATCTGAAGCTGAATGTTTTGCAAAAGTATTATTTAACAACAAATATGATGTAGGCATATGATGTTGTTGTGTATAAGACGATTTGATAACATCTTTTTTTTGACAGAAATACGAATCCTATACATTGCTAATGATGGTGAAAAGATTCATTTCCGTCTGTGTTGTTTTTGTTATTATTATCGTAATAATGAATGAATAATGCAATTTTCATTATTCATATTCATAAAAAAAATTGACAATGGTTCTAAAAACAAAAATAATCGGATCGATTATTTTATTTAGTTTATATTCGACCAATCAATTGTTCCTGGAACCATGAGAAAAACAATAAAAAAACCCCAAAAAAATGATGAGAAAATAACCAAATAAAAAAAATCATATCTCTCTCTCTCTCACATTTACCAAGTTTTCATGAAATTCATACATGCATTCATTTGTTGTCGTGGTTCGGGTTAAATTAATCCTTTTTTGTTGTTGTTGTTTTTTCATGTTTTCTGTTTGATATCAAACAGCTTCGAATTCACCATCATGATCACAACAACAGCAGCAGGAAAAAACAAGGAAATCTTTTATTTTTTTTTTGTTGAAAATCATCATTTTATTTCCGAAATTCTTCCGGAAAAGATATTTATTATTATGTTATGTGAACGTAATATGTTATGTTTTGTTTTCAATTTTCTATATACCTTGAAAGTTGTAGCGAGATGAAACACCAGTGACCAAATTGATCAATTGTTTTGTTTGCTCATTCAATTGGTCAGATGAACTTTGTAATCGTCATCGTTCTTTTTTCTTGCAAATCCATTATCGAGGTTGATAGAAAAGGAAAATGAGCTCAGTGAATGTTTCTTTAATTCCATTTCGAATACAGAAAAATGTTATTGTATATTTTGGACAAATAATAATGCTTGTAGCGGAACACTTTTCGTTGTTGTTTTTCATTTAATGATGATGTGATATACACAAACAAACAACACACAAACAAAAAAAGAAAAAAAGATAAATGAAATGACCACGATGACCGCGATGACAGTCAATTGATATTATAAAATCGATTGAAAAAATGATTATCAGGATTCATTTCTCCCCGCGTGTGTGTTTGTTCATGTTTTCATGTGTGACATCATTGAATGTGAAAATTGACAAACAACGCAATTGCAAAAACAAAATAATGCATGGAACAATAACATGTGATCAAATTCATCAATTCATCGATTGGAACAGAAAAATTTTAGTTGACCGAATTAATTGAAAATTTCAAATTGTAATGATGATGATAATGATAATGATTTGTTGAAAACATTTATGAGAAGTAAATTTTTTTCGGTTTGATAAAAAAAAACACTATCATTGTTCATCAACGACGTACACAACATCTGTGCTCGAGACCGAAATGGATATTTTTTTTCAATTTTTCAACAGATTATTTATTATTGATTCCAGAGGAAATTTTTTTTTTGGGGAATGGGGAAAACAAATTTTCGTTTTCCTTGTGTGTGTGAATGAATTTTTTTTTCATCATCATCAAATTTGACTAAATTTTTTTCTACTTTTTTGTCTTTCTTCAAATAAGTTTGTTTAGTTACACACACACACACATGAAGAATGAATGAAATTAATCATTTCTTCCTGTCTGTGTCTTATGTCCATAGTGAAAGTAGTCAAAAACGTTTGTCAAAAACAAACTACAACAAGATTCGCATCGGAAAACTTCTCATCATCATCACAAATTAATCAAGTTAAAAAAATTTTTGCTGAATCTGTATCTGAATCAAATGATTTTTCACACACACACACACACACACACACGCATACACGGACTACAAAAAAAAATTTACAAAGTGAAAAACTGAAAACATGCACATTGATGATGAATGCAAACACGAAATTGTAACATTCTTTTGTAGAGAAAAAACGGATTACTTTTTAGAAAATCTATTCAAATGTAAAGGTCATTCGTGTGCGTATAGGTCAGTCAACGTCAACGTCGTCGTCGGTTTTTTTTCTCATTGATTTGATGACAATTTACTATTCATCATCAGCAACAATCAGATCGATTTATTTAATCTAAAGTGTGTCTTTTTTCTTTAGCTGAAATAACAAAAAACAACAAAATAATTTTAATTTAATCAACCGAAACGAATTTGATTGATGTAATTATCATTACTGTAATAATGATCATTTGAAATGAAATAAAATCCAGAAAAAAACAAAATCAAGTTTTTATTTCATGAAAATATTCATCCTGGTGGAACCATCATTGCATGCTAACTGAACACACACAAACACACACACACATTCAGACCAAAAACATTTACGGAAATTCCGTTTCTCTGTGTGAATTGAATGGATAGCAAAACACATACATTGACAAACAAACAAAACAAAAAAAAAACCCGACAATATGACATACATGCAAGAATGTCATTGTGAAAAAGAAAAAAATGATAAATTTCGAAAATACAAAACAAAACAAAAAAATAATTTCCAATTTCACAAAATAACAAAATAAAAATCATTAAATTATGATGATGAATGAATTATAATGGATCAATCAATCAATAAATATGATCGGATTCGTTGCGTATAATGTTATGATGAATGCTCCTTGGCCATCGGTCATACGATATCTATGTATTTTCATTCATTCATATGAGATTTGTTGTGAAGAGAAAAAAATGAAATTAAAATTAATATATGGTTGTGGCAGTAATGATTTCATATAATCGATTAATTGATCGATTGAAATTGTTTTGAAAATTATTTTAAAAAACTGATTTGGTCATAAAAAAAGCCTAAAACTTTTGGCCTCATTTCATTTCCAATCGAAATTGATTAATGTTTAAAAAAAACTTACACCAATTTCTTTTTGGCTATAAAATTCAATAAATATCGACGTATAGCACCGGCACCGATTCCGGTTATGATCTTGAACTCTAATTTATTATTGTTGTTCTGTCCATCAGCATTATTGTTGTTGAATAATAATTGTTGTTGTTTAGCGGCCAATATTGTCGGTACAATAATACGAACTTCATTCATAATCAATTGATGTAGATCCATAATATTTTCATTGAAACTAATTGATTTTTTTTAGAGATAAAGAAGAAAATAAATCATTTCATCACCGTCGTATATAAAAACAATGAATAAAAAAAACAGAAGAAAAAACAATGAACAAACACACAAGGATGAAATAAATAAAACAGAACATACTCATAATTTTGATATGCATCAATAATTTTTTCACTCAATAGTTTGAGTTCCTGATAAACTTTACGTATTTCATCATGATAACGATGTATAATTTTATGGCCATTTTTTATGAATTTAATCTTTTTCTTTTTCAAATGTTCCAATTTTAATCGATAACAATGTCTTTGTTCAAGAAATCGATCGATATTGGCTATAAATTGTTGTTGATCATTGATTGATCTATCATCATTATTGCCATCATTATCATTATCGTCATCATCATCAGAATCATGACTATCATTATTAATCAGGTTTATTGTTTTGATTGATGTTGGTGATTCTTTCTTTTTCTTCTTTGCGGCCATCGTTGTCTTCTTCGATGTCATCATATTGTCAACAATTTTAATTGGTTTTTTTACCACTTCACTATATAATGATTTATTGTAATACAATGGCAATTTACAGTCATAAAATGCTTCAATATCTTTGATTGTTTCATTCAGATTAAAGCTATAGATGAATAAAAAGAACAGAAAAGAAAAAAAAAAAAAGAGAGAGACAAAGAAATTAAAAATCAATCAATCAATCATCAATGTTAAATTCAATTAAACTGCAAAAAATCTGATTAAAAAAAGACAATAGCTTCGTTTTTTTTCTCATGGAAAGAAGAAAATAAAGACTTACAAGTTCAATTCAAATAAACGATTCAATTTCAATAGATCAACACCAGGAAAATGTTTGATGAGAAAATCCCGTTTCTTTTCCAATAACCATTCCTGTAATAATGCTTGATCGTCGATTTTGAAGTGAACATTTTTTTTCATTTTATTATTTTGATGATTGTTTTTACGTAGATATTCTTGTCGGCGTCTAACTAGATTTTGTAGATATTCTTGTCTACTTGCACGTATTGCTTTTTCAGTTTCCATTATTTCTGACATATGATCAACATTATTCATATCATCATGATGATATGAATAATCATCATCATTATCATCAGCGGCAGCATTATTTGGATCATTCGTTGTTGTAGCAAGATGATCATAAGTATTTTGAATATAATTAATCAGATTCCAATAAATATCATATGCTAAATCAATATTGATTGGTAAATAGATTGTATCTTTCATGCGCAAATCTTCACGAATCGTTGTCGTTGTTGGTGATGAGATATTTAGATAATCGTTACGTGATTCAAATAGATAATGTAGATTATCAAAAAATTCTGTCGTTATCGGTAGATATACATTATCGTTCGATGCAATTGATGATGCTAATGCTGAATCATTATCATCTTCATCAGCAGCAGCAGCATTATCGATATTTGATCCATATAATTCAATTAGAATCTTTCTAGCTGATTGATAGTCATTTTCAAAATGTTCCATTATATCTGTCAAACATTGTTGATTGATATTTGAAAATTCTTTTTGTAGTTTACGATATTCTGGTCTGGTGATATTGTCGACATTTTTTTTATTCAAATTCATATTCTTATTGTTCATAAAGATGATATATTATTTTTGAATGAAAATCTAAATTTTACCAAAATTAATAATAAAATTGCAATTGTAATTAATTCAAACAACGTCAATATTGAAACATATTGCACAATTGATGATAGTTATTGTTTGTTTGGTTTTTTTTAATCTGCAAAAAAATGAAATAAAATTAATAATAATTATCATTATCAATAACTGTATATATGACCTTGTATAACAAATCAAATCAAATCAAATCATCGTCATCATCATTAAAATCAAATTGATTGATTGGAAATTTTCTTTTTTTTCTACCCGATTTCTCGCAACACTTTTTTACACCATCACCACCGACGGCAACAACAACAAATATGGAGGTCGATAAGGTTTCATTTTTTTTTATTTTCACAATATTCAAATTATATTAATATATGGCTACTGCAATGAGAAAAGAAAAGAAAAATCATTAAAAAATTTAATTAATCGACTATTCAATGGTGATGGTACTTATGATACGTGGTAAATTACTGGTGATTATTGATCATTTATGATGTTGTTGTTGCCAAAAAAAAAATCAAATCGATTGATTATCATTGAATTTTTTTTCGAAATAATTTTCATGTTCCAGGATTAATGGTGATGATGATGATTTATCATTGAAAAATCAAATCAATTAAACGAACACATTTGGTTAGCAACTAGTGGTTGTTGTTTGTGGGATTGATGATGGTCATGTGATGATTTTTGTTTATTTGATTTTGTGATCCAATAAAAATGAAAACATCAAATGATAAATTAATACATGAAAAGTGCATCTTTTTTATTCATTCTAAAAATATGTTTGCAAATGTAACTTTTCAACTATTAAAATCATGAAAAGACAAAAACAAGCACGAAAAAATGAAAAATAAATTCATTTAGGATTAGGATTAGGATAATTTCTGAAACATGATTTCTTATCACATTTTAAAATTATTTTCATAAATATTTATACAACAAATTCTACCATGGACATGGATAGATTAATTTTTTTTGTCTTCATTTCTATACAAATAATGGATAACATAACATTATTTGGTCATATCACCGGGTGATTTTATAGATTTCGTTGTCGATGATGACATTTTGACCACATCAATTGATTCGTTATGTTTGTATATGAACGTATTTGTCGTTGAAATTGATTTACAGAAATATCCAAATGTTTCGTTTCATCGGAACCATCACAACAATCACAAATTCTATTTGCGAGAAAAAAAATGAAAAAATTGGTTGGAAACTTTTTTTTTGTTCACTTACCCATCATTTACACGATAATATGGAATGGATACAATCCGACATGGCGATGATGATGATGATGAATGACAATGAAACATTAATGGCTCATTTGATTTAGTTGATGATGATAATAATGCTGAACAGGCACTAGTTGATGGTTCATCACTACCATCTGGACAATCACAATAATCATCATTAAAATATTTTCTATCAATCAATATTATCTGATCATTAGTATTTATACAATGAAAATAACCATTTTGATATTGAAACGCACGACGATATTGATCCATATTATGATGAGCATTATTATCGATACCGATTATTACATTGGGAATATTTACAATGCCATTACCATCATGATCTGGTGATCTAATCTGTAGATCATCAATCATTATTGGATCGTTATTATGTTGTTGTCCAATAAATAATGATGCTGATGGACCAACAATTCTTCGTGATGATGATGATGATGATTTTGATGTCGAAATATTATTGGTAACATTAACTAATAAACGATAATAATAAAGTTGATAAATAATGAATATCAATGATATCGATAGTATGATAAAAAATAGTTTTCGCCAACATTTACGTAATTGTATCATTTTTAATCAATTATTTCATCATTTGTTTGTTTGTGACAATGGGCAAAAAAAACAAACCACTCAAAAAAATAATGCTGATGAGCCAGATGTTTTCTATCGATTCAGTAACCGAACGAATAATAGATGGCGGTTTTTCGCAAAACCAGAAGATGAAATCAGAAATTCACGAACGATTAATTTTGGTTTCATTTGGACTTTATTCAAATTCATCATTGGATTTCACCATTGTGTGGTGGGTGAACAAAAAAAATTGTTTGATTATTAATGCAAAACAAAATGGATAACTTTCAATTATAATATTTTTAAATACTTTTCGTTGTTTTTTGTTTCAAACGCGATACATGCTATGTGAATTTTAATTTTCAAAATGAAAAAAAAACGAACAATTAGCATCATCAGCAAAAAAGAAGAAATCGATTCATTTTTCATCATCATCGTAGTGAGTGTTGTTTGTATTTTCGTCATTTTTCATCTGGTCTCGATGTATATTTTGTTTGTTAACAGATTGGCAATCAACCTTTCACTCTTTATGGATTGCAATCAATTTTAAATGGACTACCAGGAATATGATCATCACCATATCGAACAACAATAATGTGATCACCACGTTCTCTTGTTGTATAGGTAATATTATAATTATTACGACCTTGATGACGTATATCGATTGCTTCGCATGGTCCACGTGGTCCAAATACAGCAACAAAAAGAAAATTGTTACCTGTTGAAAAAAAAATTTTATTAAAAAAAATTCCTAACAAAAATCATCATGACACATACCAGCATTTGAAGCATTCACATTGAATGTATTCTGACGATTCAATATGGCACGTTTTAAACCGACACCTTTTGATTCAACACGATTTGCTTCGGATTTAAATTTAGGCATTAGATTACCTTGATTTTTTGAATGTTTAGTAACCGTTTCTACGACAACTTGTGATGATTCAAAATCCGATATATCAGCAATGCTTCGTGTACCTGTGTTGGATGATCAATGATCAATATATTATTATGTATTGACATACATCCAATCAATCTACTTACCCATACAACGAATTTTAAATGGACTACCAACAATATGATAACCATTATATTTGATTGTTATCAAATATTCACCCGGGGCAAGTGGTGTATAACGAACTTTATAACCTTCTTCAACTTCAGTACAATCCATCGATACTTTTGTTGGACCATCAATAGTAACGGCCAATGTACCGGCACCAGCATTACATGTATCGATGATGAAATCAGTTTTAACACCTGTACGTGCTTCTTTAATTCCACTACCAGTTACGGATACGCTTGCAGGATCAGCATCATCTTTACCGATACGCATTGAAAATGGACTTTCCGGTATATGAACACCATTGAAACGTACATGAATACGATGTACACCATTTTCACGTGGTATAAAACGTAATGCCCATTGATCATCATCAATTTTGCTTAGAAAACAATCATCTTCAGCACCACTTGGTGCAATCACTTTACCATCCAAACTTCCTTTAGCGCCATTCATGTTAATTGTAAATGTAACCGGTGAATTTACTTTCAGCATATGTTCTGGAGGAATTGCACCAATTTCAATTTTGCGTGCATCACCCACTTGTGCCATAACGTAAACATTGTATGGACTATCCGGAATTGGTTGATCATTAAATTTGATACCAATACGATAATCACCAGGTTCAGTAACTTTATATGTTACAAAACCAGAACCATCTTTGCGATCATGAAAATCAATCTCTGCTTTCGATGGACCTTCCACCGAAACGGCTAGTGTTCCAGCACCAGCTTCACGAGTCCAAATGTTGAATTCACCTATAATTAATCATAATTATGATGATGATGATGATGAAAGCGAAAATGATTTTAAAGAACTACATACATTTTTCATTGACTGTACCACGTTCTAAGCCAGGACCACCAGCATGTACACGATGTGATCCGAAATCAGTGAATGGACCAACAGTAAATTGAAATGGTGATCCAGGTATATGAATATCTTTATGTCGTACCGATACGGTATGTATGCCAACTTCTTTCGGTACAAATTGAACAGCATAAAGAAAATCCTGCAAATCCAATATTTCTGCATCTTCTGTTTCGCCTGATGGAGCCATAATTTTAGCAGCCAAATCAAATGCACTTGTTTGTGAGAATTTAAATGCTACAAGTCCAACAAATCAAACAGAAAAAAATGTGAGAAAAAATATGAAATCTAAAATTATGAAAACTCACTCAATTTGCATTTCGATCCAACATCTGCAATAGAAGCAGCTTCACGTCCTAATTTAATATTATTACGTTGAATATTCGATCCAGGACCGGTTACTTTGATTGTGTATGGTGATCCGGGTACATGATGATCAGCAAATTTAACATTTAGAATATAAAATCCTGGTTCCGTTGGTTTATATGTGGTTGCCAATTTTCCGTTTCCTTTATCTTTATATTGGATGTCGGCTTTAGATGGACCTTCAATCGAAACACTTAGACCACCATAACCAGCATCGCTTGTATCGATATTAATCTCATTAGCTGTATTAGTTTTGCCTTCTTTCAGGCCGGCACCAGTAATTTTAACATTTTTCGAGTCACCAATATCACGTTCCAATACATTAATCTTGAATGGTGATCCTGCTACATGATTACCCATTTTTTTCACATTCACTGCATGTTCACCATGCTCACGTGGTGTAAACGATATTCCCACTTGATTACTGCTTAATTTTTTCACAAAACATGGTTCCTCAAGACCAGACGGTGCAACAATACTTGCATTCAATGATTTAACATCCTTTTCCGTTACTTTCAACGGTACTTCACTTGACATTCCAATCGATATTTGATTACGTTTACGACCTTCACCAACAATTTTTGCCGAAAATGGACTGCCTTCGATTGGTTTACCAGCAAAATTAACATTGATTTTATATTCACCCGGTGCCGGTGGTGTAAAGGTAACATTAATACTACCATCTTTATTATCTTTACAATTGATTTCTGCTTTTGATGGTCCTTCAACAGCCACCTGTAAATTACCGGCACCGGCTCCTTTCGTATAAACATTGAATGAACAAGCATCACCCGCAACACCGGTTGATAGGCCACTAAATTAAAAAATGGAAAAAAATTAATTTATTCAAATTGGAAATTGAAAAAACAAATCACTACTTACGCTCCAAATGCTGTAACTAAACCTTTAGGTGTATTATCCACAATAAATTTATACGGACTACCTTTAATGGGCAAATTATTATATTTGATTTGCATCTCATAATTGCCTTGTTGTTTTGGATCATATTTAACACATATTGTACCATCATGATTATCAACAATTGTTGGTTTTGCTATATCGGCCATTTTCGTTAGATGTCTTTTTTGTCCACTTTGTTTCAAATTATTCCGTTGTTGTTGTTGTTGTTGACGTTGATTATAACTAATGTGTTTATTATTGTAATGATGATTATAATCACTTGAATTTATGCAATAATATTCAGTGCCAATAACCTAATTTACAATCAAATAAATCAATTTATTCAATTAGAATTCCTTAAAACGCAGAACAAATTCATTGATTATGGAGATAGAAGATAAAAAAACCTTTTTATAACCAATAACGGTTGTGTGACCGGTCATTGCTTTTAAATCATTATCGATTTCATCGTTAAAATTGTTGTTGTTGTTATCATTATGGAAAATGTAATTATTATTAATGTCAACATCATGACATCAACACAGATACTTAATGGCAATAGAATTAATAAACGTGGTTCACGTGAATCAATAAGAAAGTCTAATCGTGATTCATAAACCATTTTTAAACTTTGTTCACAATCCATCATCCATTGATGATGATTGGATTGGTTTTTATTTTTATTTGATTGAATGTTTATTGTCGATGACGGTCGTTGTTGTTTATTTTGCTGTCGAATCGTTTTACATTGATCTTTATTATCGATTATCAAACTGTTTTCATTTCTATTATAATCATCATCACCATCATTTTGATGGTTATTGTAATATTTTGAAATTTCAACATTTCGATTCGGATGTTGAATGGTGTGATGATTTTGATTTTGATTCAATCGAAATGATGATGGCTGATAATTTGAATGAAAATGGTGAAGATTATATGGTATATGAATTGTATAATCATCAACATTACGATTATTATTATTTACGACTTTATTATGATTATGATTAGTATGACTACTATCATGATCACCATATGTATCTGTCAGATAATAGGTCATTTTAGAAGAAGACAAACAATTGACCGATGAAGAAAGAAAATAAAGAATGGTGAAATGAAATGAATGTTTTCACTTTTTGATCAAATTTTTTTGTTTAATGATGACAGCAACAGAAAAAAACAAAAAATGAAAATTTTTGGTCGATCATGTCAATATAATGAAATGGCAATAAATAATCATCATTAATAATGAACGATGATGATGATGATGATGATTTGCCGAAAATGAAAATGATTTCAACATTCAATTTCACATTCATGTTCCACTAACACAAAGACATAGTGAACTTTTTTTGTCAATTTTATCGCTCTACAAGCTAAACTGCTACTTTAGACTAAATTTTTCTATCGATTTTAATTTGAACTTAATCATCATCATTGGACGATTCAAATTCAAAATGCCAACTTTGTGGAACTAATCTAATCAAAATATAAAGGTTTCATTTCATTTCAATTTTGTTTTATATTTTCTGGGCCAATAATTTTTCAAAAACATCATTTCGGTAATATGAGTATTAATTCTCTCCGTGTGTTTATGTATTAGCAAATTGTTTTTTTTTCTTTTTCCAAAATCAAGATAAATTGACAATCGAATTGCGCCAAAAAAAATAATATCTTCCAACAAACAATTCAACATGCTCATCATCTTGAATAAATGATGATGATGATGATGGGCTTAATGAAATATGTTTGCCTGTTTCTTTTCATCTAAAAATAAATTCACATATGCCAAAACATTTATTTCATCCGAATACAATTTTCGATGAATTTAAAAAAATCCAAAACAGATGTTGTCATCATCATTATCATCATCATCATCATCATCATCGTTGTTGGTGATTTGGTTCAACAAATCTGATTTTTTTTCATAAACAACAAACAAACTCGTGACAAACGGATTCTATTTTCTTGTATATAATGAAATTAAAAGCGTGGAAAAATAAGTTTTTTCTCCCACTTTTTCTTCGTTCAAGATTTGATTTGAGCCAAAAAAACAAGAAACAAACAATTAACCATTTGGTTGCGGTTGTTTTTGTTGTTGAGGTTGAGGTTATTATCCCTCTTTAATAAACATCAAAAAAATGACTGATTTTATAATCTAAAGTGTAACAATATGATAAACCGCGTAAACTGGTTAGAAAGACAAATATTTAGTCACAATGAGGATGAAAAGAAAACGAACCATAAAATTCCTCGAAAAAAACACTGATTTGGGTTATCAGGCTGTGTGAATCAGCATAAAATCACATTATGATTATTATAATCAAAAAATTGGATTAGCGAAATCTATAAAATCAGAGAATCAACAGAGTAGACAGAGCTGGAATTACTACAGCCAGAACAAAATGTGATTGAAATTGAAGAATTTTCTCAAAGAATTGACAAATAAAATTAACTTTATGCAGTAATTGAATATTAGATATGGATGAAAGAAGAAAAAATCATCATCTCCACTTATTTTTACATCATCGCCGTCATCCTGATCATTAAGTGGCTAAAAATAAATTTGTTCATTTTCGTTTCGAAAAAAAGTCTAAAAATTTTTTTTTTTCGATTTTCGGTTTTTTTCGCACGCACCAAAAATATTTCGGTTTAGGGCTAGTAGTCGCAGGATTAAAGCCAAAATTTTGATGATGATAATTGAAATAAAGTTTTTTTTTAAATTTAAGTTTTTCAAAGAAAAAAAATTAATTTCATGAAAATTTGTATGCGGAATTTTTTGTTTTGGAAAAAATGCCAATTCAAGCAATTTTTAAAATTTTCAAAAAATTTAAAATTGTAATTCTTTGCTTTTTTCCAATGAAAAATTGGATAATTTTTGTTTAATTGAATTAAAAAAGAAACTGAGAAATTTTTTTTTTGAGCAAGAATTACAATGAAAAAAACTGAATCCAAATATTTTTATTTGGACCAAGAATCAATTAGCAAATTAGAGAAAAAAAAAAAACCAAATTTTAAACTTACCTCTTAATCGAATCGATTTCGGTTTATGTGATCGTCGTCGTCGTCGTCACACAATCTTGTTTGTTTTGGTTGTGTGTGTGTGTGGCAGTTTAGTTAGATTGTTGTTGTTAATTGTCAACCAAATAACACAAACACACACAAACACGAGAATCGACAAACCAAATTTGTCTACAAAATATGAACTGAAGGAAGAGAAAAAAAGAAAATTTGCATTACCAACACGGCGACGACGACGATTATGATAATGATGAACATTCAAGATGTTATGGGTTTTTCCCTCGTAACACTTGTATGTTGTTGTTGTTTTGGTGTTTGGTTGGAATTCTACACACCCACTCATCATGATGATGACGAATCTAGGCAAAAAACAAGAGCAGTGAAAATATTTTACCCCCAAAAAACAAGTAAAATTTTTTTTTCTTTTGAAATGAATGATGTCGTTGTTTTTTTGTTTGAATGTAGAAAAATGTAATAATAACATCATCACACAACAGCAGTAGACAGTGAAATATCAGTCAAGCATTTGCAAAAGATTCAATGATGAAAACAACCAAACAACAACGGTTCGAATGAAGATCCATGAGGTTTGAAGAGAAAATTTTGGATAAAAATAAAATTCAACTAATAGTCGATGAGATGTACAAGTAGAGCGAAAAAAAAATTTCGATTCTGTTGTTGGGCGTCATCATTACAGAGAGAGAGAGAAGAAAATATTCACCATAAAACCTGAAAAAATAATAATAAATCAATTTATTATTTAAAAATTATTTTCTGATTATTCAAAATGGAATCGGGATTATATTTGAGATAACTAGTAAGATGATGTTGAAAAAGTAAGAAAACAAAGAGATAAATAAATGGGATTAATTTGTATGGTATGATTAGGTAGATTAGATATTTTCATAATTGTCATTGTTATTGGTGATTGTGAGAAAATATTTGCTTACTTTTTCCTCACATTTATCATCATTATTGAAATTGAATCGACCTAGTTTGGCCATCGATGTTTTACAATTATAATCAAATGGATTTTGTAGACAAACTTTACGTTTGACCGGGAAAATTTTTGCCACTTTCGTTTCATTCATTATTGATTGATTTTTTCTATTATTGTTGATACTCGTTGTTGTTTTTGTTTCAGGTAAATTTGATGATACAAATTTTTGTAATTCATTCTCAGTATTAGAATGGTTTCGATTACGGAAACGAGTAAATATACTATAATTTAAGCTTTCGTCATCATCATTATCTTCATCATAGTTTTCATCAATGATATTTTGTTCTATTTGATCATGAATTACATCATCTATTTTGATATTGAAGATGGGCATTTTTTTCTTTGTTGTTGTTATTATTGAAGTCGATGATTCGGTCATTCCATCAAGACTAGTGGATTGAATATCGTTAATGTCGATCGAATCCAATGTTGATAAACTATCATCTTGTTTTCGTTCTTTACCAATATTATGTTGAGCTAATATTTCTTCATATTCATCATCATCAAATGAATCGAGTAGATCAAATTCTTGTGTTGATAACAAATCCATTTGTTGAAAGGGATATCGTATTGTTGATTTGGTTTCTGAATCTAAACCGGCGAAATTTTCCGATATAATATGTGCTATAATAGTATGTGATGATGTTTTTCGTAATGAACAATGAACAATGTTATTTCCAATTGAATTTTTACATTCTTCTTCAATCTGTCTGATAAATTTAACAAATTTTTCTGGCCATATCTTAGGTTTTTCATCTGTTGCTTGTTGACTTTCTTTATCCTTATTGTTTTTGTTTTTATCTCCAGCTTTTTTCTTGCCTTTTGTTTCGTTCTTTTTTACTGGATCTTTCTGATTGCCGTTTTCAATTTGATCAGTTGATTCATTTTCATCGTCAAATTTTGTCTTGATTAAAATAATTGATTGTTTATGAGTAGATTGCATTAATGTTCGATCATTCAATCGATTTATAGCCAAAATTTGATCACACTCTTCACAGCCAATGATTAGATGAAAATAATGTTTGTCCGGTTTCAATATATTCGATGATGATAAAGATTGTTGCTGTATCAAACATTTGAATTCAATTTGCATTCTCGATTCAATATGGTCTTCTAGGAATGGACTGAATTTCAGACTACAATTCGATTGTCGCGTCAAAGCCAATTGATATCGAGGAAGATTTTTGATCTTTTTGAAAATGAATGGAAAATTTTCATTAGAAAAGATGTTCAAAAATTATATAGGACTAACCTCTTCGATCAACATTGAGCCGAATGGTGGTTTACGTTTCAAATGAAATTCAATCTGACGAGGATTTGATTCGAGTAAACGATTAAAACTGGTATAACCATTTTCGGCCAGTATTGTTGAAAATGCAAGGCCAATTTTAGGCAATTGTCTGGATACATATGATGAATCATACCATAATCGAGTCCAAAATGCCTGTAATAAACGTGCCGCTGAAATCGATGTTTGAAAATGTAACCAATGTGGTTGTTGATCGGTTTTCGTCTCTGGTTTTTGTCGGAAAAAGTAGACCAAAATTTCCATAAAACATTTCGAAACACGTTGACCAGATCTTATGATTCGTTGTAAATCATCAAATAAACATTGTTCAATTGTTAGCGATTCAAATGCTGCTTGTGCCAAACAATTTGTTTTCATCGATCCATTACGAAAACGATCCTTATATTTGAAACGATTTTTTTTGTTCAATTCATTTAGAAATCGTTTATCAGTAGTACGTAATATAACATCTTGTGATAATTCTGTACAGCAACACATTTCTTCAAGCAATTGTTCCAACGAATATGATATTTTAGACCATTTAATTAAATGTTCCAATGTTGCTATTGAAACTGAATATCTTGTCACTATTCGTGCTAATTGAGTTGGATCAAAAAAATCGCCTTTGATTGTAATAAGACCAAGCGTTTGTAAACGTTGCATCTGTTCCTGACACCATTCCAATATGATAGGACGAGCACCATCGTAATCGCCTTTAGCAATGGAACTACGATAATATTGTGGATTCTGAACAATACGAATGAAAAGAAATGTTGAATAGATCCAATCGATGGCTAAATTAATGTTGTTGACAGTTTTCAATACAATTTCGATCATTAAATGTTCGATCAATGAACGAAATAAATTACTTTCAACATCCGTTTCTTCCCCCAATAATGTTTCATATTTTTCTTTTTTCTCCTGTTTTGTCACAATGATAGCGGTTGCACTAGTATCGAATTGCGGTCGTCCAGCTCTTCCTATTGAAATCAATAATTTTTAAAAAACAGTAAAAAAGATGAAAAGAAACTTACCAATCATCTGCAGTATTTGTGATAAATGATATTCGGTTTGTGAGCCTGCTTCATATTGAACAGTATTTTTTATGACAACTAAATGAGCCGGTAAATTGACACCCATGGCCAATGATGATGTTGATACCAGAACTGGTATCAATGACATGGAAAATAAATGTTCCAATAGACGACGATCGGATGGATCCATACCGGAATGATAGAAAGCAACACCAGCAGCCAATGTAGTTTTAAGTTCGGTATTTTTAAAATGTTCAAATTCCATTTTAGATATTATTAATGTATCAATGTTGGTTGCATTTTCATTGATACGCGAAAGTTCCATAAATAATTTGATATGTTGTTGACGTGATTCAAAATAAGTATTCTGTGATGTTGCTAGAATTTTGGCCGTAAATTCAGCCGAACGTCGTGTTGAACAGAAAACCAATGTTGGTTTAGATTCAGAATGTTCACGAATAAGACGTTCAAGTTTGTAGGTGATCTGTATGTCGAAACGATAGTCAGATGTTTGTGCAGCTCCTGTAGGTTCAATACCGATGACTAATTTATTAAGCTTTACCGGTCGCCAATCTGCTGGCACACGTATGCCTAATGAATTGCGAGGATCAAGCCAAATGGATAGATCTTCAACGTTCGGTGATGTAGCTGAAATAGCTACAAAACGTAGTCGTTGCCTTTCTTTAGATCGGTCACCGTCTAATTCACCAAGTACTTTGATGATGTGGTTATTATTATCACGAATAAATTTCAGTCGAGTGATGGTGGCTTCAAGAAAATCACCACGATTTCGATCACCAAGCATATGAATTTCATCGATCATGATCAAATTCAAAAGACGAAGTAACGAACGACTTTCTGAATGTGTTCGAATAATTGAATCGAATTTCTCTGGTGTTGCCAACAAAATATTCACCTGTTGTTTTTGTTCTTTCAAATATTTTTGATAATCAACAATGTCGGTATCACCAGTCATCGCAAAACATTTTAGACCAAATTTAGCGAATCTTTGTTGCCATTCTTGACATTTTTCTTCGACAATCGCTTTTAATGGTGCTAGATATAATGCATGTAATTGATCATATGGTGGATGTGAACGATTACTAGATTCTAATCGTATCAATTCACTGATGATAGTCAGTTCCAATAGAACAGTTTTGCCAGAAGCGGTTGGTGAACAAATTACTTCGCAACATTGATTAGAATAAATAATTATTTTGAAAAAAGAAAACTTACCAAGACTTTTATCAGTTTTTATAATCAAATCAAGCAAATTGGATTGAATTTTATTGAATCGTTGAAATCTTGGTGAAAAAACATCACGATACGGTTCGGGGAGTTCAGCAACAAATTTCGCTTGAACTGTTGATAGTGATTGTTCATTGTCATTTGCAGATTGAATCAGAACTGAATTATCACACATTTTTGGTGATAAATTAGAAAAAAATGGTCAAAAAATCAACAATGAATGTCTGGCAGGAATACAATGGCGTTTAGAATGATGAAAACGATTTAGTTTACAAAACAGTTTTGAAACGTTCGAATTTCTGTGAAAATTTTCCGTCCTGTTATATATGAACGGAATATGATTCACGTGTTTTTTATTTAGCATTATTTTGATTTTTTTTTGAATTTTTGTTTATGATTTTCTGAAATTTTGAATCATGTCACAAAACGAAATTCTAAATCAACCATCATCATCATCGTATCCATATTTTCAGCGATTCATTAATCCTCTTCTGGTATGATTTTGGATAATTTATTTATTTTTGATGAAAATCTTTCGGTTTTTTTGGTAGTCTGGTGCCTGTGCAGGTCTTGCTGTCGATGTAACATTGTTCCCAATCGATACGATCAAAACACGTTTACAAAGTGCCAATGGATTCTGGAAATCTGGTGGTTTCACAAGAATTTATTCCGGTATCGGTTCAACTGTTTCTGGCTCAGCACCCGGAGGTATTTTCTCGAATACAACGTATTTGATTGCTTCAACTTTTGATTTATATTTTTTTTTCTATAGCCGCTTTATTTTTCATCACATATGAATCGGGCAAATATCTTTTAAGTGGGCAACAATGTTTACATTTAGATTCACGTTACAATAGCGTTGCATATATGATTTCAGCATCGATGGGTGAAATTGTAGCATGCTTGGTGAGAGTTCCCGTAGAAGTTGTAAAACAACGAGCTCAAGCATTTCATATGAATAGTGTTCAAGTTTTACAGCAAACATTAAGACAATCTGGTTGGCCTGGTCTTTACCGGGGTTATGCCAGTACGATTATGCGTGAAATTCCTTTTTCAATGATTCAATTTTCACTTTGGGAACATACAAAACAGGCATGGGCCAATTGGCAACAAACTTCCACCACCACCACTACTACGGCTGTTGAACCATATCAGGCAATGATTTGTGGTTCATTTTCCGGTGCAATAGCTGCTTTTCTAACAACACCATTAGATGTGGCTAAAACGCAGATAATGTTACAGGATTTTGGTGGCTCATCTCGTTCCATCGACAACAATAATAAATCCGTACCAATAAGATATTTTTATACTATACGATCAATATTCAAACATAAAGGATTGCAAGGATTATGGGCCGGTGCTTTGCCACGTGTTGTTTGGATTTCGATTGGTGGTGCAATATTTCTCGGTGGTTATGAATGGGTTCATACATCATTGGAGAAATGTTTTATTCAATGATAGTGGACAAAAAAAAGGAACAATTTTTATACAAACATGAATAGAGAGAATAAATGCCATATCAAATTCTGTGATCTCGTATTGTTTTTTGTAGACAAAAATTTACAAATATAGTCAAATTAAAATTCATCATTCATAAAATTCTGTAATCGATGTTTTGCGAATTGGTCGGGCCATTAATGTTACCGGTGTTGAATCAGTGATTTGAACATCTAAAAAATCACCAATATCATAACCACCAATATCGTTTGTTGTTTGATTATTTGATTTTGGTATAATAACTTTTTGATTTGCTTCATTACGGCCATATACATCTTGAGATGATTTTTTACTTATACCTTCAACAAGTATCAATTGTCTTTGTCCGATTAATTGTCGATTCATCTCGTTGGATAATTGACGATAAACTTGATTCAATTCGATTAATCGTTGAATTTTAATTGATTGTGGTACATTATCATTAAGATGATGGTATGCATATGTTTTATCACGCATACTGTATGCAAATATATAGGCGATATAATAACCAACATTCTGTATGATTTCGATGGTTTGTCGATGATCATCATCGGTTTCATCACAGAATCCACAAATAAAATCACTACTTAGGCCACAATCCGGTATATAATGACGTATACGTTTGACTAGTTGTAAATATGCTTCACGTGTATAACCACGACGCATTCGTTCTAGAACGAAATTCGATCCACTTTGTACAGGTAAATGCAATCCTTTAGCAATATTCGAATGATCAGCAATCACACGTAAAACGGAATCATTAAAATCTTTTGGATGTGGTGATGTAAAACGAATACGAACATTGCGGTTTATGCGGGCAACTTGCCGTAATAATTCATCGAAACCAGCACCACCAGATTTTAAACGATACAATGTTTTAAATCCATCAGCTAATGATGGTTGATGCGATGATTGATCATCATCATCATCATTATGATTATGAATACTATAATCACGATAACTATTTACATTTTGTCCAAGCAATATAATCTCTTTGATACCGGAATTAATTTTATGTTCAACTTCTCTCAATATCGAATCAATAGATCTGGAACGTTCACGACCACGTGTATATGGTACAATACAATATGAACACATATTATTACATCCACGTGTTATCGATACATACGCTGAATGTCCAGATTGATTCCTCGGTATTACATCTGCATATGTTTCATCCAATGATAATAATACATTAATAGCACTTTGTCCATTTAAGGAATTTATTGCCAATAATTTGGGTAAATATCGATAACTATCTGGTCCGGCAACAACATCAATAGATGGCAATTGTTCAACGATTTTCTTCTTCAAACGTTCAGCCATACAACCAAGTAGACCAAATTTTTTCAGTTGACCCATACGTTTTACTTTATCCAATTCATATAATTTGGACCATACTTTATTTTCGGCATTTTCACGTATAGCACATGTCATTAATAAAACAATATCTGCATCATCAATACTGGTGACAATTTTATAATCATACTGTTCAAGTATAGTTGAAGCAATCTCTGTATCATTAACATTCATTTGACAGCCATATGTTTTGATAAAAACTATGTCAAACAGTAATAGATTTTTTTAGAAATAAAAACATTTTTCAAAATTTTACATACCTTTGCTATTATTTCCAGATAAACTTTTCGGTTCAATGTATGGTTCATTATCCCATTTCATCACAAATGGCGGCAGCCGTTTCGAATGTTCAGCTTGACGTAAAAAATGCTGTAAATCAGGTCCGTCGATTTTTCTACGATTCGATTCATTTTTTTGTTGTGAACAAAAATTCCGTACCATTAGTGACATTGACATGTTTAGATGTCGATATTTTTGAATGAATTTTAAATTTAGCATCATTATCCTTAATAAAATTTTCGATTCTTTAAGAATTTTTTTCTTAATCAAAAACAAAACAAAAATCAATTCTTGTAAACAATAAAAAAGACCACATGATTGCGTATGATGACTATTTAGACCGCACAGGTTTCGTGTGTTATACACGGTACATAGCTAGGTTAGAATAGCATACAATCGGCCACATCACCCAGTGAATGATGAATAGCTTTTTTGTTGATCATTTCCTTGTAATCTCTACTACAAAAAAAATCATCATTATGATCAAATGATCAATGGTGGTGAATAAGTAAATCGGATTTTTCACCATTCATTCATTAGCATGACTCGTTTATTCCTCCATCGACTTGAATAGATTTGACTTGATTTCAAATGAATGAATTCAATTCAATTTGAATTGAATTGACTAAAGCCATTAATAATAGAGAGATGGAGGTAGACTTTACTACTACTTTCCAGTGCTCTTTTTTCTTGGTTGATTTCCATGAAAAACGTTAGATTTTTTTCACGTCATTTTTTTTTTTTTTTTTTTGTTTTTCAAAATCCATATGTGACAGCTGTCGTGTGTGTGCTTTTTGTTCTGTTTTGTTTCATTTTACTTGAATCAAATGCGATCGACCATTGAATTATTTTTTGGTTAGGTCGTTTACATTCGTTCATTGTTCTGTGTGTGTGTGTGTGTGTGTGATAGCGAGAGAAAACCCCAGAAAACATTTTTTTTCTTTTAGGGAGGAGAAATTAGTCAATTTTGACCACATGGACACATTGTAATATTGTAATTCTAATTTATTTTTATTTTTATTTTCATTCGTTGGACTACAGAATGAAATAAATTTGTATGGAAATGATGAATCGTAAACGTCATAAACACGTATACACAAGCACGTGTTATGTGAAAAACGTTTTTTATGATAATAAGCCCTTTTTGGTTTATTCCATTTTGTTTTCTGTTAGAGATCGACTATCGAATCAAATCAATTTCCAATCTGTTGAATTCTCTTCGTTTTCTCCTTCTCTCACACAGAAGGGATCAATCAAATCAAATCGATTGATTGATTGATTGATTTTGATCAAAATTGATCCATTAAATAGATTCACAACGATTTTTCAGATTAATCTCTAGAATAACCAACTTAATCTCTTTGAATCTTTTGGACATTTTCAATTGGATTAACAACGACATTTATGAATTTATAAAATATTCTCACATTCAGTTCTGGTAATAGGCGAGGTTTTCGGTTTGAATCCACACATCAATCGGAAAGCAAACAAACAAAAAATATCGACCAAAATTATACCGCATCGAACTATATGTATTGCCGCTACACATATACTAGCAATGTTGTGACTATATGGCCAATAGTTTTTATTTATTTTTTTCTTTGAATGCATCTGTCATGCGGATAATAACAAAAATAACAATGATGATGGTGATGGGTAAAGTTTCCGTTTCCCGAAATAATAGATAGGAAAACGGCAAAATTTTTTTTGTTCATTCTTTTTGCTTCTACCCTAGTAGCTATGACTCAACAACATCTCACCATTCCATCATCATGATCATCATCAGTATCATTATTATTGATTCGGATTTAACATTCCAAAACAGAGCAAACTCAATTATTAAAAAAAACTAGGCAAAGATGTTCTGAACAATTCTTCGTAAAACGTATATATAGCATCTATGAAAACATTTGCACTCTCACACAAATTCAATGGAATCATCCATTAAAATGGTATATTTTTTTGTGCGTAACAAAAAAAAACAGAGGGAAAATGATATGAAATTCTCCGTTATGAATAGAGATTGAAAAAATGAAGAAAAGTTGACAAAAACTCGTTTAAATGGTTATTTACATTTTTTCAAAAAAATGATCATCCTCATCTTTGGAAACAGGCATATCAACATCTCGTTTTTTTCCAACAAAATCCAAGAATTCACTTAGCTCCAACCATTTTTATTATTCAACGGTTATGTATGTATGACGCATTCATAACCCTCATTCGATGCGGGGCCATCCATAATGAGTGGGTGTGGTTTTCCTTCTCCAAACGGATAGTGTATCGGATATTTATATAGCGGAGATATCACTATAGCTAGGACCAAAAAGATTTTTGGGCCAAATAACTCATCATCATCATCATTTTGGTTGGTTTGTTGGTGCACAATCCATTTATAAATGTTTCATAAATGGATGCAATGATGGACCAAGCCCAAAGCTAGTGGTAATGTAAAAAAATAGCGGAATTATTGTGGACCATGTGGGCCATTTTGTTGCCTGTGATACACACACACACCCCGCTGTTTAGGTTAGGTTAGTTTAGTTGACTTAGAGGAAAATGGATCTTTTGATTCATCATTTCCAAAACAAAAACATCGGGAAATAAAAAAAAATCGATTCTCATTCACAGGAGGAAAATATTCTATGTGTGAATCATCATTCTTACTACTACTACTGTGCGATTGAGTTAATGACAGAAAACATTGAACAGAATTAGAATTTTTTTTTTTTTTGAAAGTTTAGTCAAAAACCGAATAAGGTTTTTGTGTGTGTGTGTGTGCGTTTTTCCCTGATGTTAGTGTTGACCAATAAAACCAATTGTTCTACGACCATCTATATATACGGTCGGTTGATTTTCCAAATGGATGCAGTAGTGGTGGTGATGGTGGTGGCACCATTAATGTAGACGATTGTGAATGTTTTTCAGGATGTTTGTATATGGTTTTGGATGATGATGATGATGATGACGATGTTGATAATAATGGGATGACCGAACTGAGAGAAAGAAGAAAACTTTGGCACGCGCGTTTGTCAACGTATTTTTGTTCCAAAAAGTCGAAAAAAAGACCAGAGTCATTTTTCTACTGTTTTTTTTGGTCATAATTCGTTTCTGGTAGTCGTCTATCCACTAACACCAACACCATCACCTCTCATTGCTTCTGCTTTTATTTTATCCCGCGTTTTTTCTGGCATTTTCTATTTTCTTTTGGTTCGTTTTTTGGATCTCATTCAGTTTGATAACTAGCTACTAAGTGTGTGTTTGCTATTGGATTTTTTTTTGGATGCGCATCTCTCGTTTATTTTTGAAATAGAATTTGTTATTTTTTTATCGCCCATTTTTTTCTGTTTCTTCAATATTTTGGCAACTGGAACTTGATATAACAAAAAAAAAAAACACAACACCACTACAACCAGGAAAAAAAATAAAAGTAAAACATTCCATTAAACATTAAACATCTCGACTCACTCAAACATCGCACACACACAGCCAGTAATCAAATAGTTTCTCGGTTGGTGATTTTTTCTTTCTTCTTTCAACGATTTCAAAAACAAACCGAGTCAACTAAACAGAAATTTTATTAATAAAAAATTTCATCTTTTCAACATTCTCAAAAGATTCGTGTGTGTGCATTGTTTTGTATTTTTTTTTTTGTTTGTTTGTTTGTTTGTCTTTAATGGTCATCATTGCATAATAATAATACATTATTATTGTCAAAGTGTCTCATCATTGTTCGTTTGTTAGTTGTTATTTCCTACTGTCTGTCTGTCTGATTTCATTCAATGGCTATTGATTATCATCATTATTTGTTTTTGAACAATAGATTGATAATAATGTGGACAGTTTAATTATAAAACATTTTTTCTGGTGTGTTTGTGTGTAGATTTTAGCTCCGTTTAAAACGAAAAAAAAACTTGAAATTTACTCGGGTAAGTTTGATTCATTTTAGTTGTTTTTTTTTAAAATGAACTCTTGTGGGTTTGAAATGGTTAACTTTTTGCGGATAAAAAGTCAAATAAATGAAGCGGTTTTTTTTATTATATTCATGGAACTTTGAAAACAAAAATAATGTTACCCATGGGTTTTTTTACGCTCACTGATTTGAATCTCATTTTTTTCGAAATTGAAAAATTCCTTTCTTCTTTTTTCTATATCTCTCATTATTCATTCATGCGATACGCCCACCACCAAGAAAAAAAAACTCAACCGATTAATAATCATCATTTATTTGGAGCTAGTTATATGATTGTAAAGGAGAGAAAAAAATGAAAATAAAAAAAAATTCAAAATAATAAAAAACAAACATTTAAATAATTTACAATTGCAAGAAAAAAAATTCATTTGTCATTGTGAAAAATGAATGAAACGCTTCACGCCATTCATTTGGATCATCATGGATCCATTTGTAATGAATTGATTTTTTTTTGGCTAAAAATAAAATTGTGAAATTTGTTTGATGCTGCTATATGAATGAATATTATGTTACGATAATGATAATGGATTTCGTGAACATTAAAATGTTCAATGTAAAAATGAAAATATAAATTGAATGTTTTTCCATTTTAATGTCATCATTTCAAAGTGAAATTGATCACATTATTATTTATAAATGAATGTTTGCAACAGTTTTTTTTGCTTTGTTAAACCATTACTAATGATGAAAGAAAATGGTAGGTAAAGAGAAAAAAAAACAAATTTCATTTCATTTCGGTAAAAAACAAACAAACAAACAAATAGAAAACATTTAATTCAATCAACTTGTTTGATGCACAAATTGTCATTGATTTTCTGTTCATCTGGATCAAAAACGTTAATTCCGTGTATGTGTGATAGATTATGGAGAAAAAATGATTGGCCAATGGCCATAAATCAAATTTAAAATCTCAAAATAATAAACGACAATGAAAGGAATGGAGACTGCTACAACATCAATTTTCAATGTTGTGTTCTATCAAATTTTTTTTTTTTTGTATCAAAATATCAAATTCTATTTTTAGCTCTTCAAGAATTTGATGAAGTGAGAAAGAGCAACCTAAAGGAACTAAGAAAGAAAGAGATAGAAAAAACTAGGCCAAATGCATAAACCAATTCTGCTACGATTCGAAACCAAGTTCTTTGGCCTTGGATCATCGTCGTCATCATCATCTTTGTCCTAGTCCATGGCCATTCATTCATTCAATGAATTTAGAAACAAAATAAATATAACAGTGTGTGTTATCACGTCCAACTAAAAAAAAATTCACATTCCAAAAATATCTAGGGATTTTTTTTTTGATCTTCGTTGTTGTTGTTGTCTTCTGATTCCAATAGAATCCAAATGAGATTCATAAAAGTGAATTCTATTTACTGGAATTTATTATTATTATCATCATACATTGAGCAATTGAGCATCATCATCATCAATTGATAACATTTATATAGAAACTACTGTTATATAGAAATCACGATGTGGATACAAATTCTTCATGTTCTATGTATGTATCTATGTGCATGTAAGCGGGTATCAACCCCAAAGAATCAAGAAATAATTTCTTACATCATTTCTCTTCTTTTTTTAGTGGTGATATCAGTAGTAGTATGGATAAATTGTATTGTAATCGAGAATAGAATTGTTCAATTCAAGAGATTCTTTATCCTGAAAAGAATAAAATATGATGTTGAATAAAAATGTTTTTTTGTTTGTTCTCTTTGCTCTCTAATCTCTTGTTGTGTTCAAATTACTGGAACAAATTCAGAAATGGAAAATCTTTCCACATTATATATGGGGCTATATGTTAGGCCCGGTTTTCAATTGATCGGTTGTGTTACGCTTCTGTGAAAATCATGTGTGTATAATTTGAAAGTTTTTTTTTGATTCTCCTCGAATTTCGAAATAATAAAGCAAGAATCCATAATGATTATTATAATATGATATATCTGGCATTTGTTTGTTATTAGTGGCTAAGCAAAAAAAAAAAAAAAATTAGCCATCTGAATATAGATAAATATGATAAGTTATATTAGCAATGTGAACTTATTGCTATTTTTTTTATATTATTGCCATTTTCATAATGTTTTTTCTCTCGCTCTCTTGTTTGGTTTAAAATTCAATCTAATCGCTTTATCATCCATTTCAATTCAATGGTTGATTTGTTTGGTGTTTTGAAAATGGTTGTTCGGACATCATTGATAATGATCATTCCAATAGTAGATATTTTCATTTTTTTTTACTACCCTACTACTATTATACATGTAAATTCGTTAATGGGAATGAACTTAACCATCATCATTATTTTTTATTATTCTATTGAATATGGGGCGAAACATGTTCAAGTGAACCAGGAAAAAAAATAATAACCATATATGTGTAAGGTGCATCATCATTATAAATAAATGAATGAAACAATTGAATGTCAATTTAATTTGTTGTCTTTGGTTTTTTTTCGCCACTTGCATTCATCATTTATTTGGGATTACAAAATTTTTTTGTTCATTCTAAATCAATAAAATGAGATGAATGAATTTGATTTGTCTATGAGTTCCAATTCAAACATAATTGAAAATACACATGACTGATTACTGAACCAGTCATCCATATGGAAGGATAATGATGATAATGTATCTCATCATCTCTCTCTCTCTCTCTCTCTCTCTTCTCTTGTCATTATCATTATCAAGAATCTTGATGATGAAGATGATTATCATAATAATGGCCACATTCACACACATTTATTGGTCATTTTTCTATTTAAAGCCCAAAAAAATGACCAATTTCCAAACACCGAGAGAAAAAATGCCCGAACCAGATTTCATTATTATCATCATCATCTGGGAATGAGTGTAAATATCTTCATCATTTCCGAAAGAGAGAAAAAAATTATTTAGTTACTTATTGCAGATTATTATAGCATAGATATTCGTCATCATCATTATCATACATATGGCTTACATTTAAAATATAAAAATGTTAATGACCTAAACTGAAATAGGATCTGACTTTATTTATCATCAATGGCAATGGCAATGGAAATTTCTTTAAAAGCAATTTAAAACAAGAAGAAATGCATCTCATGAACTTTGAACTTTAAACCATAATCACAATAAAGAATAATGATGATGATGATGATGATGATGAACCTGTCGTTGTTGTTACACTAACATCATCATAATAATAACCATTCTATGGCTCAATTCAATTCGATTCACAACACACACATACATAGACTTCATTACATTTCAATTCTATTGTTTTTTTCTGTTTTGGAAAAATAAAAAAAAACCTGAAAAGTAGTAAAGCTAATAATTTGTTCGTTTTAAAGCTTTACTTGTTCTTATTGTTGTAAAATCTTTTCTCTTTTTTGTTTTGTTTTTTTCGTTATCACGAATAATAATGATAATAATGGTTAAGGAAGAAAGAAGGGTAGCACATAGTATTTATCTAAACGAATCATGCGATGAAAATTGAAAAAGTAAAACATGTGTGTGTGTGTGTGTGTGTGTGTGTGGAAACTTGAAAAAATTTCATAAAAAATTAATGTCTGAAAAATCGATTGATTTTTTTTAATTAATCAAAATTTGCTAATTTTTTTCTCATTCATTTCATTTTTCCCACTCATTTTTACACGTGTCATCATCATCATCATCATTGATTTCGAACATTGTTTTTTTTTCAACCATGAACAACAACAATGGTGACAACAACAACAACGTAAAGGTGTGTCAGCCTGTTGTCATCTTGGTGTGTGTGTGAACCATCACCTCTTCATATCTTGGTTGTGGAACCTGTTCTGTACATTTCTTTTATCTGTTGTTTTGATGTTTGTGTGTGATTCATCAAATGTTCATCAAAGAGCCATTCCATCATTTGAATCAACGAACCAAACAACCGACCAAAAAACAGAAAAAGTCAACGTACCAGCAAAATTGATTAACATTAACATTGTATCATTTTTTTTATTGTTGATGAACAAATTTCCATTCCAAATCAACGAAAATTTGTGTACGTGTGTGTTTTTGCTATCAAACATCACTGTGTGAATCGACGAAAATGTCAACATTTAATAATCTATTTCCGAATAGTAATAATTCGGATATGAATAATTGGAATAATATTGCTGCGAATTTATTCAATCGTACAGCCACCACGATTGGATATGGAATAAAATTTGGTGGTAATGAAAGTGATTCATTACCATTTGATCAAACACCTGCGGATATTCGACAATATTTGCTCATATTTCGCCTAGTATTACTTGGTATCGGTACCTTTGATACAATATTATTACTGGCAATCTATATAAAATGTACTGGGATTATAAATAATTGTCTTGGAATTTATGTAGCCAATATCAGTATTGCTTCATTGATCGATATGATTGATGCTACAATCTGGTCAATACGTGAATTTGGTTATAAAATTGAAGATTATAATCAAAATTTACCATGGTGGATGGAGAAATTATCGAAATTACCACAATTCGGCCTACCAACAATATCATTATTTTTTATGCTACTAATAATTGATCGATTTTTTGCTACCTTTTTTGCAAACTGCCATAATGGTTGTTATGGATCAAAAATCAATGCTATATTCATCACAATACTCATATGGTTAGGTTCATTCTTCATGACTTTCATCTTGGTATTCAAAGATATGTTGTTTGAACATGACAAACTTTATGAATTACTACGATTTCTCATTGCATATATTGGACCATTCTGTATTAAATTACTACTAATATTGATTCTATTTGCTAAACGTAAAATGGTACCAGATAGTGAACAAAGTCAAGCATTTATTAATCGACAACGTGAATCACTATATTATGTATTGACTATTGTTTTATTACATCTCTTATTCAGTGCACCATATTATGCAACCCAGATTAATCATTATTTTCATCTCATACAAATACGTATCGATGAATGGATTATTTGGCTTCTATATGCTCTAAGCGAATTACCGCTTGTGCTCAATCCAATTTTCGTATTATCAATTGATCCAGATTTTCGAGATTCATTGATATTTGTATGCACATGTTCATCACGTAATCGTAGAGATATGAATGATTTATGTGATGATCATGCTGAATCACAACCATTAGCACCGATGGCAACATCACCTGTAGCTGAAGAAAAAGAACATCTTGATGAAGCTGAATCATAAACATTCCACAACAAACAAACAAACAAACAAATACAACGCCCTCACAACAATAATAATCATCATCATGAAAAATATTTGCTCATATAATCGGATCTGGTTTGATCCAATCAATAATAATAATCATGTAATATTCTTCACATAGTTTTCGCATCATCATCATCATCATCATCTTCAATTATTTCAATCGATTTATTAGTTACAATTTTCAATATCAACTAATATCATTATCACCATCATAAATATTTATTCAATTTGCATTTTGTGTGCTCGCGTAATGTATGTGTGGCTGGCACACAATTTTTAGAAATCAAATTTACCAAGAAAAAAAAACATTTGGGCAAGTTTTTTTCATTAGTTTTTTTCATCAGTTTAATAATCATTTTTTCCGTTTTGTTTTTGCAGATTTCACATTCATTATTGTGAATAAATTCACGTTAACGTAATCATCATTATCATCAGCAGCAGCAGGAACAGAAATAAAGCACCAAAAATAAAAAATTTACAAAAAAAATAATTCATGTGTATTACACAGCAATCAATCAATCATTGTTTTTCTCAATTCATTCATTCATTTCACAAAATTGTTGTCCCATTTGAATCATCATCATCATCATTATTCACACAAACAAATCAACGTTTTAATCGCACATTCTAAGGAATAAAAATCCCGTAATTCTTTTGAATTATTTGTCATCGAATGGAAAAATGACCAAAAAATTTTCAAAAAACAAAAAATTTCAAATTAGTTTCACTTTTTGTTTTTTCTCGGCTTTTTCATGTTGAAACATCTCGAATTTGAAATTTCATTGTCACATAAATATACGTAACAAAACGAACAAATGCTAACTTAATTAATTGAACGCCTTTTTCATTCACGAACAACCCAAACACTTTCACTAATCATAATCATCCAAACAAAAACAAACATCAATCTGGCCATTTAGCAAACAAGAGAGAAAACATTTGCATAATTCATGTTTTTGGTTTTTTGATTCACGAAAAATTTTTCTCACTTTCACTTTCATATAATGAATGTTTCCAAACAAAATATTTTTAATGTCATTTTTTTCTATCTCATCACTCAACACTTGTGTTTTTTTTTTTTTGTTTTCATTCATTGTCCAGAGAATATTCATGCATGAAAAAAAAAAGTAACCAAAATATTTGACAAACAAAAAAAAATTCATTAAAATTAAAATTAAAATTATAACAACAACAACAACAACAAAATGAAAAGTTTTACAACAACAACTTATTTACCTCAGCAGCAGCAGAAATATAGATGGAATTATTTCATTTTTCATTAGTTTTTTCTTATTATTTATTTATTTTTGTTTTAATCGATCCAAGAAAGGAAAATGAAAACAGATTGAGATTAAAAGAGATCACATCAGGTTAGGAAAAATATGATTTTGTGTGATGATGATGATGATGATGATATAATAATGTTCTATTTTCTTGTCCATCGTTTGTTTGTTTATTTGATATATTTGATGATTATGATCTGTATTTGTGTTCCACATTTGTGTCTGTATGTGTGTTGATTTTATATCGCCCACTTTATTGTCAACAGCTGATGATGATGATTAAACATGTGAAACATTTTTTTTTTGGTGGATAAACGACACACAAATGTTTTATGTTTCTGTTTTGTTGATCAAAACAAATCAATTGACGCAGACACACAACTCATTTTCTTGTGGATAAAGTCTTGAATGTTTGCGCATCGAGGATCAGATATATAGAATTATAATTATTATTTTGTTTTTTTTTCATTTTAAATTTAATTAAAAGAAAAGAAAAGATTCATAATCACCGAACATCATACCACACAATCAATCAATCAATAATAATCACATCATTATCATTTTACGCCGTGGCAATTATACATAATATAGCTATTAAAATGCTAAAATCAATTATGCAAAATAATCAACTTTATTATCATTGATCGATTGATTGGTTATTACTCATTATTATTATCTATTCCATTTATTCACTATAACTAAATGATAGTTTTTCATCATTATTATTATTCATGTCATCATGATACCGATGATCATTGTCATGTTGGATTGAAAAGATTCATTATCATCGACGAACATCAAACCAAAGAAACAAAAATCATCAACCACCACGACACCTTAAATACTTCATACTTCAAAGGGAAGAAAAATAACCAAATCAGCCAAATAACACACACACACACACACACACACACATGCAGACAAAAACTAAAGCATCACGACAAGTGTATCATTTAGTAATAAAAAATAAATAAAAAGAACCAAAACAAACCAAGCTTTTAGATCACATTTTTTTAGGAAAAAAAATGAAATTTCTGTTTATACATTGCAATTATATCTTTTTTGGAGGTTTATAATCCTTTTTTTTAAAAAAAAAATCAATTTTTTAAAGTCTAATTTTCCTTACTTTTTTTCGTTTCTTTCTTTCGATGAAAATTCATTCTCATCACACAACACAGCACAGCACACCATCCATCCATCCATCCATCCAACAATCAATCAATCAAACATCATACCAACACCACTATGAATTATCATCATAAGATTTTTTTTTTAAATTCCACTTTTTTCTTTCATTTTCTTTACTTTTTTTTCACGAGTGCTCACACATTTATCACATCACACACCCACTTTTTATCATTATGGCCATTAATGTTTTGTTCACGCCCATATTTAATTTATTTCAATTTTCATTTCAACCACAACGACAACAAAAAACAAATGGTTCAATGTCTGTGTGTATTTTATTTCAAACACTTTTGATTTAACCCTTTCTTTACAAAACAAAAATAACGTACAACAACAAATAACAAAATTTTCAAATTTTAAAAAAAAAATTGATTTGGATGAATTTTATTATATTAATTATTGCTAATTGCTAATAAGAAACAAAAAAAAATGTAAACATTGAACAAAACACCAAACAATCCGAGCAACGACGAACAAAACACACACACAGACAGACACAAAATATGAAATTATCAACAGAATAATTGTATTACTATTATCACTACACTATTACTATTACTATTATATAAATAAAATATAAATTATGAAATGAAAATGAAATAAAATTCAGTAATCAAAAAAGAGTTGAATGAATGATTTTTTTTCCATAAAATTTTCATTGATTTCATCATCATCATCATCATTATATCCAGAGCCACAACATGCCCTTAATCCAATTAATAGTAACGATAATTATCATTCTAATCATCAATTCAGGTTTGTAAGAAAGTATATTTCGTAATGAACATTTTTACTTTTCAATCGATGAAAAGTAAAAATTTTAATGGATCATTTTTAAAACTTGAACAAAACATTTTCAAACAAACAAATCATAACAATATAACCAATCAATAATCTAAATGGATACAAATCGATCGCATGTGTTTGTGTGTGGCCATTGAATTAACATTGTTTACAACAATAAACATTTGTGTGTGTGTGTGTGTGTCTGCGTTTGTTTTGTTACAAACCAAAAACAAGACAAAACTGTCTGAATGATTTTCTAAAGGTTTTTTGGCAAGAAAATGATGATGAAACTAAGAAAAAAAAATTTCAATCCACAACCACAAACACAAATAAATAAACATTTGTTGATCAATTTGATTTTTATTCAACAGCCAACAATTATTTGTGATGATGGTGATGATAGTATATGTATCCGCCTTGATTTTTTTTTTTGCTTCGATGTTCGCTTTTAAGTGTATGATAATGGATAATCTGGAAATAAAATCTGTCGATAATGACGATAAAAGATAGTTTTACAAACAAAACAAACAAATGAAACAAACGGAAAAACAATACATCAAGTGAACGAATGATGCGAGATAAACGAGAAAAATATTTATTTATTTCCTTTCGCATAATTTTTTTTGATCCAGTGAATTGATTGATCGCTTTCGAGAGAGAGAGAGAGAAAAAAAATATCTAACCCTACAGTGGTGGAACTTATTATATTTTTTTTATTTTTGAATTTTTAAATTTTTCTCCGCAAAATTTCTATTTTTCAAAAGAAAACTCACCCATTTTATGGTTGTCGGCGAAAAAATTATATCATAATCAACATGATGTGTTTGGTATGTGTTGAATTATAAAATCTGAAACAATCTGAAGCTTGGATCCACAGATTCATCAAAAGAATTAATTATAACATCAATCACACACACACACACCCTTGCGCCATCACCTTTCTCATATTTATTCATTTTTGATTCACAAGAACAATTAACACTTCATCATCATCATAATGAATTTCATATTTTTCGCTGGTTAGGTTAATCAAAATTTTTACAACATAAAACTTTATGGATATATATCTATCATCAGAGAGAAAACATCTTTTTTTTGGATTCATTTTGATGAATCGCTATGTACGAAATTTTTCAAATTTTTTGCATCTTTTTTTGTTTTGTTTTGTCAATCAAAAAAAAATTTCAACAATTTCTTGCTGGTCAAGCCCAAAATTATTTTGTTTCTCGATTCAGAATTTTGAAAAAAATTGATTTAAATATAAATCTTTCAAAGTTTTTACTCATTTTTTTGGATTATTATCGAAACTGAAATACATAATAAAAACGTTTCACGATTTAAAATAGAATGATTGTTTTTTGAGAAGAAAATTATCCATACATTTCACGCAGTTTTTTAAATGTTATGAAATTTTATCGAATGAAATTGATCAATCATTGATTGTTTGTAACGAATGGAATATTTGGATCAACATGAACAAAAAAAAACTAAAACAAAAATAAAAATCCAAGTCACATGATAAATTGATTTAATCATAATAAGAATTTTTTTTCCAACGATAAATTATTTGATGATAATTCAGCTGAATGAAGAAAAAAGTGTGGCTCACGCCTTTTGTTGGGTCAACCAACCTTTGCGATATCGATCAATTTAAACACTTATTTTCGATTGGTTTTGTTTTTCGGTCAATGTCGACACGATAAGAAGTTTTTTTCCATTTTTTTTCGGGTAATTTTCGAGGATTTTCTGTCGCAGACATGAATAATATGACAATGACCGAATGAGAAAGAGAGGGAGAGATTGTTTGATGCCATGATATATTCGATCAAGATTATTTTAAAGCTATTGTTTTTTGTTCGATATTGATTCATTGGTGTGTGTGTGTTATTATTATTATAATCTTTTCCGATGTTGGAACAGAAAAAATTATTTGAATTTTTTTTTCAACAATGATGACAATACACACAAAATGTAAGAAAAAACACTAAACGGATACGCCCAAAATGTTTTTTGTAGATTGCCTGCTGTTGTTGTCGTAGTTGTTGTTGTAAGGATAGGTCGATTGATCAGGCAACAACAACAACATTAATGATAATGATGATAATGGCTCCGAAAAAAAATTCTGCTCTAAATTGATGCAAAAATTGATGATAATAATTTCAAAGTCAAGTTCGTTTCATTTACAGAAAAAAAGAAAACAGATTTATGATTAACATTTGTCTTTTGATTGATTGATTGATTGCGATATTTTGATCGATACTGTGTGATGTATATCATTCAAATAAAAGTGATACTCTTATTTGTTGAAAATCAAGATAATGATGATGATGATGATGGTTGTTGTTAGAATTCAATTCAATTCAATTCAAATCAAGCCACAAATGAGAGAAAACAAAAACAAAAATGTCGACATTTTGACCTATAGATCACATTGTTAATTTATCAATATGTATTATCGCCAATATATTAATAATTTTTCAATTTCATTCAATCAAATTCTTTTTTTCTCAATGATGCTGAAATTTTCATATTTTCCCTGATTGTACTAATAACATGAGAATTGCAAATTATCATTGTTTCAAATCAAATCGTTGCTGATGGATTTGCAAAATTAAATTCTAATCTAAACACTGGATGGTTGACAGTTCAATTTTCAATTGAAATCCAATCTACATGAATTTCTTGAAAAGAAAAGAAATTGAGATGAAAAATATCAATTTTTCATTTTTCTTAATTAAATAATTAAATTTTGATTATGATTTCAATCATCACTATTAGATGATTATTTGACCCGATAAAAAAAATGTCAATTATGATAATAATTTAATTAATTATCAATTTATAAACCTGGATATTGATTTGATTAGTTGAGTTTTGATTTTTTGTAGAACAAGATTATCGATTCAAACAACAACAACAACAACGACAACGGCATTATTAGGGAAAAACATCATCAATGACAATCATTTTTGTTGATTTTTCAGATCCTGGATCGATGAATGATTACACAACACATTTTCTTCTTTCGCTTTTTGTTTTAAATTCAAATTCAAATCATTATTGTTTGATTGTTTGTCATGCATCATTATTCATCAATAATGACAAATAATGAACCATAATAATAATTGAAACCAGAAAAAAATACCGCAAACCATATTATGATCAATCAATCAAAATTTCGTTTTTTTTTCATTTGTTCATTATTGTCAAACACACACCACACACACACACAAAACAATGTTTGCGTGATTAATGATGATTATTATTGAATTGAACAAAAGAAAAGAAAAAAAAATAAATTGATATTGTTATTTGATTTCGTTTCGGAAATAATGTCGTCATCATCTGATTGTTCTTGGATATTGTTGTTACAGTTGTTGGCAATTGTTTTAAGTGATGACAAAAATTTGAATTGAATTTTAAAAAAATCGATCAATCCAATTTTCAAGATCGAACATTCAAAGTTGATGACGTGATAATATTTTGTTGTTGTTGTTGTTTATTTTCAATGTTTGTTAATCATTCCATGATTGATAAAAACAGGAAAAAAATTTGAAAGTTAACTATAAGTGGCTCATGGTTTTGTATCACATATTGACCGTTGCCGATCGAATCTGATCGATACGACCTATACGATTCAATCCAATCAATCAATCAATCAATCAATCAAAAAGATAAAACAAATATCCTAATCCAATACATGATAATAGTAGAGGCGTTGCACATGTGAGTGTCGTCGGCAAGGTTCAGAATTTTTTTCTATTTACAACAATTTTTTTTTGTGAAAAATTTGAATTTTAAAAGAAAAACAAAACTTGGCCAGAAACCAAATCAAGTCCCTCTGTGTATATATGTGTGTGCTATTTATTATTATCATCATAAAAAACGACAAACAAACAGACAAAAAACAACAAAAACAAAGAATGTATAGATAATATAACGAGCCCAATCGATTACGAAACACATGCACATAGTAATTAACATTATTTGCATTGTTTCCGATAAAATAATGATCATCATCATCATCACTAAATGGGAAATCAATGTCCATTGATGTCCGATTGATGATCAACACCATCAAAACACAATAACTACAACAAAGCAAAATGTTCCTCCCACCCTTTCATCAAATCACAACAAAAAAATACCATGACATTACATTGTCGAATAATGTTCCAAATATTTTAAACTATGAAAAATTCAAACAATGGAGAGAAAAGATTCCTGATTTTTAAATAATCGAATCGAATCGAACGAAACTAATAAAAAAAATCGAGCAGAAATTTTCTATTCAAATGGGAAACAAAAAAAATTTTTTTAAGCAGCTGAATTTTTTTTCTGACATCAAAGATCTGTGCACGTGTTTGTGTGTGTGTGTGTGTGTGTGTAAAGGCACGTGGAAAAATTGTAATAAAATGAAAAAAAATCAATAGTCAGGTAGCAATTTGAATGATTGGAGCAAAAAAAAAAAAAAATTCAACATTGAAAAACATGAAATTACGTTTTTGATTGTGTGTGTGTTTCTCTCATTTTTTATAAATCGAACATTATGCGATTTGGCACTAGGAAAATAAATTTCATAATAATGATTCTCTTTAACAGAAATAATGATGATGATGATGATGATAAATAATCGATCGATCGCATTCATTCCTCCCACACCTTTTTTCTTTTGTTATATCTCTCTTTTTTAGCATAAATAACCATCGTGTTTGAGAGGATATGTTTTAATATGTCTCTCTCTCACACTCATTCTTTTCTTTTTATTAGTATAATTTATGCATAATAATCGTTTTTTGGTGGTTCGTTTTTTTTCTCAGTGAAAAAAAAGAGTAAATGAATTTGCGAGAAAAAAAAGAAAACGATATGTTTCTCAATGAATGGTATATACTATATCGATGACGGTGATGATGATCAGTAGTATATGTGTTATGTCAACAACAACAGAAGCAGCAGAAGCCACACGAATTTTTCTTTTTCTTCTTCTTCTTCTTTTCTTTGTTTTCATATTCATTTCGCGCCCTTTAAAAAAATTTTTCAACGAATCGTGTGTTTGCATGTTATATAAATGTTAATGTAACCATTGGTCATTGTTGTATTTCATTCATTCCTTTTAAAAGGAATCCGTACATTTTAAGTGTGTGTGTTGGATTTGAGAAATTTAAAAATTTCAAATTTTTTTTGTTCAAAAATTTGTAAAAACAATTTTTCATCATCATCGAAAATCAACTGTAATCATATTTGGAATTTCAATACTCCATTTTTTTTTTTTGTCTAAAATTCTTTTAAAAACTTGTGAAATGTAAAGTAAATTTTATGTTTTTACTGGCGTATTTTTTTTGAATGTCAAATGGAAAAAAAACGACAAAATTATCATCATTATCATTTCAGCTTGGATCATCAAATTATCGTTTAAAAAATATCTATCTATTTAGATCAAACATTTATGTAACCTTTCTCGAATCATCATCATCATCATCGTTTTGTAGATTTTTCTTATCTTACTTTCACTTCATTTTTTTCACCATCATTATTATCGACATCAGAACATCCATCCGTCAAATTCATCTCATCATTGTCTTCACATCATCATCTGTTTGACGAACTTGAAAGAAAAATTTGTACGTTTTTCATTTCGATCAAATTCTCTATCTCATCTGCTTCATTTTTTTCTGCTTAAAAAATTTGGCATTTTCATTCATCATAATAATAATCATCATCATCATTTGTCTGTCGATTCTGAATTGAAAAAAAATGTTCGATCCGATAATGCAATCTCAGTAAAAAAAACAGCCATTTTGTCGAGCAACAACAAGAAAAAGATATCAGATTTCCAAATACTATTCTATATCTTATCATCATTATGAGTGAACAAAAAAAATGATGATGACGATGATGATAATAATTCTTTTTTAATCTCTTGAACACACACACATGTGAAAACAAGAAATAAAAATCTAAATTTGAATGGAAAAAACATTTGCTCGAAAAAAATTAGAGTAGTTCCCACACACACACACACACAGACACATATATTGGATGTATTCGGGCGTCATTATCATTGTCATCAATTGTTTAATTATAAACGCCCAAACAAACAAAATTTTTCTTTTTGATTTTAAAAAGAATTTTTAAAAGTGAAAAAACAACTAAAACCATTTAATTTCGTTAACAAAATTCGTGACTTTTGATGAAAATCAAAATACAAAAAAAATTTTTTTTTTTTTTGCTGCAATTTTTGACAAACTTTTTATTTTCCATTGATCATCATCAAATGGTATGTTTCTAAAAGAGAAAAATAAATAAATGAATGTACTATATGGACGTTTTATGGTGATAATTTTCGTTTTTTTCTTTTTCAAACAAAAAAAAACTAATACATTTTTGAAAGATAAAACTGTGATAAGATTCTCTTTTCGGTTGATCATCATTGTTTTAATGTTTTTAATTTGAGGAATGAAAACGAAAAAAATTTCATATATAAATGATAATCGTTATTTTCATCTTTGTTCATTTCATTTTTCTTAGATCCAATAATACAACAACAATTCAGTGGTGGTTAAAATTAGATGACAGCGAGAGAAAAAATGAAATCTCTTATCCAATTTAAACGACAGCGGCGATTATTTTCGAAGACTGGAACATTGATCAATCGTATATCAATCATGAATTTATTGGCCATTTTATGTGAGTAAAAAACCTATTTTTTTGCACGTGTGTTGAAAGAATCAGAATTCACAGAATTGAAAATATTTCCTTTTTTTCGTAGTCATTTTGTTTAGCATATTTAATTCGAGTATACAAAGTGTTAAAAACAATGATAATGAACCAGAATTTGGTGTACGATTAAATAATCGTCCACAAACATCGATAGCATCACACCATTCTCGTCATAATCATCATCAACGAAAACATCATTCGAATCTAAATCAAAATAATTATCATGCAAAAAATTCTGATCTAATTGCATCGGCATCATCATCATCAATGCAATTGAAATCAAAATCAAAAAATGAATCAGAAATCCATCATATGAATGTAAATTTGGAAGAGAAAAAATTATCAAACAACCATAACCACAGTAGTGTAAGAATTTTTCGCAAAAAAAATTTGCATGTAAAAGGAAAAAAACGTATTTTGAACAACATCTCAACAGCTACAACCAACAAAAACGGCAATAATGTGACCAGTTGGCCTATTAATAATAAGGAAATGTTGTTGATAAATAACAATATCAATCCAGTAAAAGCTAATAAATCCGCCAACAACAACCGCAGCAACAAAAATAATAGTGGTGGCAATATCGATGATGATCAATCAACATCTGAATCAATCTATTCAAATGAATATGTTGTCGTTGGTCATGACGATTATCCACATAAAGTAAGTGTTGACAAGTTTTATATCCACAATCATAATAATAGAAGGAGGATCAGCAACTTTCTTTTGTAAGGAAAAAAAGGTCGAAAAAATATTTTCCAATTGAATTCACTTTTTTTTTATTTTTACCTGTATCGATCTGTCAGTCAGTTATTCAGCCATTCAATAAAAGTGTTAAAATATATGGTGGTGGTCAGACCTCAAATATAGTATACACCTATTTATCTATTGACAACTGCGCAAACTGATTGATTGAATGGAATTGTACAAGTCATTTCCATTCAAAAAAAAAAAAAAATGTCGATTTTTTTCTCGATCCTTATTCCATTGAATTATTGATTGATTTATTGATATCCTTGATTGATTGACTTGTGAATATTTTTTTTCCTTTTTAAAAAAATCCACTAGCAATTAATGCTACAAAAAGAGCATAACCATCGACAACAACAACAAACACAGGATGAGGAGGAAAAGTTCATCAGACAGCCATTATTGGTGGATAATTTGATGGCAATGTCCAATGAATTGCCCCCATTGACCGCTGCATTGCCAATGCATTATTTAAGCCACGAATCATCCTCGATGGATTCACCACCACTATTTGCTTCTGCTGATCCAACAAATATAGCAAGTTTATATAATACATTGCCACATTCATCTTCAAAAGTATCACAACAAGCCGGTACAACAACAGAACTTACAAATAGTTTGATTGAGAAACCAATTCTAATCTCGCATCATCATTCATTTAATCCAATAACATCATTAAATCATCAACAACAATCGATTAGTCATTATTATGATCCAGTATCATCATTGAATTCAGGTCTCGAATCATCTGGATTAATCGATACAACATTATCACCATTATCATCATATCCAAAAGAGGCAGCTTTATTATCACAACCAATAATACATCATCATCATCATCACAATGAACATTTATTCAATGGAATATCAATGGATTATATTCCTGGTATACCGGGTAAACCTTGGAAAGATTATCCGCTGTATAGTCAAGTGCCAAAAACAACATTTCATTGTAATGGTGCATATGGTTATTTTGCTGATATTGAAACCAGCTGCCAGGTATGGCATTATTGTCAACCGGATGGTCGTCATGATTCATTTCTTTGTACGAATGGTACATTATTCAATCAGATGACAAGAGTTTGTGATTGGTGGTATAATGTTGATTGTAAAATGTCTGCACATCATTATGGTGTTAATGCTGATCTTTACAAACAACCATTAATATTACACGATTTAACACATTTACAACCATCGTCACATCATCATCATCATAATTTGATCTAACAATAACAATTTTTACTACACACACACACACAACCATCACCCATATATGACACATTTCTGAAAATCAATTTTTTTGTTGTTGTCCACAGACGGGAATCGGGAGAATTAATAACACAAACACTTGTTGAATGGGGTTGACATTCATTCAATGGAAAAAATTTAAGCTTTTTTAATAATTATGTCACTTGTTGATTTTTTTCACAGTTAAATCTTGAATTTTGTTTTTCGTTTTTTGTTTTTTTTTTGTTTTCACTCGTTTTTGTTGTTAATGTTGTTTTTGTTTATGAATTTTCAATCAATTCATTATTTAATTTATTAATATTAATAATAATAATAATGCAAATTCATTTTTATCGGGAAAATGAGAAAAAATTCTTCTGGTCATCATTTGTTAATTGATTTTAAAAAAGCATATCATGAATTTTGTGGATTTTTTCCCTCTTCCACCACTTTATTGTTTTTTGCTTTGTTTTCTTTCTATTTTTTGCTCGTTCAAAATCCAATTCAATCTTTTTATTCATAGGTTCATCACAAAAGCATTCGAATCACTTTTTTCATCATCATCATTATAGTCGTCGTCGTTTTTTGGATTTCCATATTTTTTCAAATCTTTTTCTTCTTACGAGGACAACTTGAATACAATAGAAATGGAATAAAATAACCGAACGACGCCCCGGATGTTTTTTATGTGACAAATGTTTGTTTGTTTTTTATTTTAGCCAACTTGGCCAAATATAATAATGAAATCGATTGACAATCATCATCAAATTTATGTTTGTTTGTGGAATTTACGCGTTGGTGTTTTTGTTTTCGTTTGGTGACACAACAACAACATTCATAATTCATTTTTCGTGGTTGTTGGGTTACTGGATTATCATCCTTCATAATTGAATGATTTCAATGAATGAAGTAAAGCCAGAGAGAAAGAGAGAAACACACCCAAGATAATAATCTCTAAAACTTTACAAAATTGTGATATCCGGCCATATTATCCAGAAAATGAAAATATGGTGCCGGTATGTTTGCGTTAATCATCATTATCAATGATTAATCATCAATATCCTTGTTGATTCAACATAAAAATTATCAACATTTTCATTTGAAATTAGTCAATTTTTTCCTTTCTCACTTTTATAATTATATAAGATTTTAATCACTTACCTTGGGACGATTTCAATTCTTTTGAAAATTCTTTGTCAACCATTATATATTGTAATAATTCATTGTGGAAAATTATTATCTCCTTTGATTCTAAAATTTTGTCATTGCAAACAATCATAAAGGACGATGATTAGAACTGAGCTCTCGACTATCAATCATCATCACTCGTCTCGCTTATAATATTGGCCTTTCATCCAAGCCTGCAACATTGTTGATTATTAAAGTCCAAATCATAATTTAATGTTTTTGTTGAGATCAAAAATTAAAATCTTTCGAACTTTGATCAACAGATGGCGATAAAAGTACAAACACAAAAATTATTAAAGTTTTACGCTTATATCAATCAATGTAATCAGTACATTAACATTAATTAGAAACAAGATAAAAAAAATTTATCAACAAGTAAAGTGTAAATTATAAAACTAGAAATACACAGAGAAAAATGTTACATAAGTCTGAAATGAAACAAAAGAAAATTGATTCCAAAACCAAGTTGTATAGAGGAGATCAGAATTGAGGCAAATCCATTATTAACACAGCAATTATCTATGGATTATTTATGCAATATCACCAACATCAGCATCAGCATCATCATCACGACAATTATTAATCGGTGACTTCAAAAATGTACCGGTAATAATACCGAATAAAAGAATCCAGCCAATTTTTGTGTTTTGACGAAAAGCCCACGCACAGCTTTGGATGGAATCAACATCTAATTGTCGATTGATTCGTAATAAACCGATAGACATAATACCAATAGATAGATAATAAGGCCAAGTTTGATCGGTAATAACACCGGTAGAGATTAATGAAGCTGTCATCAATGCAGTGAAACCATTTAGATATCGATTAGTTTTTGAACCAAATTTCAATGCAGTGGATTTTAAACCAAGAACAAGATCATCCATTTTATCTTGATGTGCATAGATTGTATCATATATTAATGTCCAACATATGCCAGCCATATATAATGGTAATACGGCAGTCAAATCGATCATACCACCAGTATTTACTGACCATCCAAGTAATGCGCCCCAATTAAATGTCATACCAAGTATAAATTGTGGCCAATAAGTAAAACGTTTAAATGATGGATATGATGCTACTAACAATAAACTGGATGCACCAAGAATGATGCTAATAGATGGATTTGGATTATGTTAATTTGTGAAAAACATTTCTTTGAAAAAACTCACCTATTCAAATCAAATTGAATAAGAACTAAAAGACTAGAACCTAATAATGTAGCTAATAAGGCAATTGCTTCATTTAGTTGAATCTGTTCAGATGCTAAAGGACGAAATCGTGTACGTTCAACATTACGATCAAATCGACGATCCCAAATATCATTTACAATACAACCGGCTGAACGCATCAATACGGCACCGATACCAAATAAAGTCATCAATGATAATGATGGTAATGAACCGGCTGTAGTACTAAGGCCAATGCTCCACCAGCAAGGTAATAATAAAAGCCATGTACCAGTTGGTTTATCTAAACGCATCAAACGAGCATATGGACGTACTTCATCGGGTAAACGATCAACTAATTGTGATGCTATTGTACCGGATAAATAATCGAAACCATTTTTAGGATCATTAATTGTGCTGAATGTTTTTGAAATATCAAACAATGGATTAAAACAATTTCGTTGATAATCACAAATGTATGGGGATGATTTAATGATTGGACATTGTTCTATCGATCGATATCGATTATTGTTGTATAAAATCGATTGATTATCAAATGATTCAACACAGAAAATTCGATATAAAAAATTTGAACGATTTTTGACTAATCGGTATGAAGATAACATTTTTTCGTTAATCGTAGACTTTTTTCAGTCTTTCGAATTTACAATGAATTAACGATTCATTTTACAACCATAACAAAAGAATCTACAGGAAAATAAATTAAAATTAATAACTTGCGAATCATATAAATTCAATGAACTAACCAGAATGATCAAAAGAAGAGAATATTGAAAAATCTAACAAAATCACAAAAAAAATTAAACAAAACCAAAAAACAATGTTGAAATGAGAAAAAAAATTGAAAATCACATGTTTGTCTAGACTGTTTTCACAGTGCCGGGTTCAACAGTGTTTGAATAGTCGTATTAGCATTAATATTAATATAATTTAGACATGGAGATTTTCATACGAAAATTCTATACATCATGATATTTTTTTTGAAATTTAGAATTTCTTTCTGGATCGTGATGACGATAATTGAATTACAAAAAAAATTATTGTGGGTGTCAAGGCAAAGATTTGGTTACCAGCTGGTGATATATAGAGAAAGAGAGGGAAAAGTTGTTTGTTTCATTTCACATATGTAATGAGTGTGGTGTGTGCGAGTGTGAATAAATTATTTTTCATTCATCCGTCTCAATAATATTGAAAACATTGAAATCAAATCTATCGATATATGGAAATGTATCAATGCATTAATGAATCAAATCAATTCAAGTGAAAGAAAATTTTTTTTTTCAATTTTTTAATTTTATTCCACTTTCTCATCATCATTACTTCCGTCCAACATACGATCGTTAACGGTTTTTCCACCTCTCTTTCCCTCTTTTCTCTTGTTATTCGTGTACTTGAACCCAAGGAATGGAGAAATTTTTGGCAAGTCAAAAAATTTTTTTTTTGATCAAAATTTTCAGAATTGATAAAATGAAAATTGGAGAAAAACAACAACAGCAGCAACAGCAGCAGCACAACAATAAAAAGAGAATACATAATATTCACATAATGAATAAATTCCGTTTGTGTAGGTGTACTATATGTTCAGATAGATAGACAGACAGGAATCAACATTCGGTATTTCTAGTTGTTTGTTGCTGGGGATCATCAAGAAAGAAATTCATTCACACAATCATTTTCATTCTCAATTTTGATCGAAGCAGAAAAAACATTTTGTCGTACGAAAAATAAAAAATTAATGCCAATTGGAAATAACAACAACAACAACATCTACCTAGCTATATTTGAATGATAATGATTTTTATTTTCGGCTTTTCGGTATTTTTTTTCTCCCACTATGGCTATTCGTCAGTTACAAAATGACTTCCGGAAATTTTTTTTCAAGCATACAAAGCTATCTATTTAACACTTAATTTGAAAAAATAATAGTCGGGAATGACAGAGAAATTATGAATTCACTAAGACGACAATGAAAAATGGAAGAAAAAACAAATGTCAATTATTCTGGAATGAATAAATGAATGACTGACATGCTCGATCGATCAATATTGATCAGAAGCTCACACACACACACATAACACACCTAAATATTCTTTCAATCAAAATTTTTTGACGGAACTTTTTCTTCATTTTTTTTGACGTAATCAGAATAATAGAATAGAATCAAATGTGGGAGGGAGAGAGAGAGTGAAAAATAAATAAATTAATATCTCTCTCTCTCTCTCTCTCTCAATCGAGAATAATCTCTCGTGAATTTTTTTTTTGTTTCTATTTGATTGTGTGGTAAATTATTAAAAACTATCTATTTATCTAGTCTTTATTTGTCAGGAAAATTCAATTATTTATTTCCTTGATTAACTGCTGCTTTAACAATAACAAATTTCAATTTGGATTCCATTTGATTTGATTCAATTGATAAAATCCGGTCAAAATGATTCACAAATAAAGTTGATTGAAATCAATCGATTATAAATTGAATTATTTATTTACTTGTTTTTTAATCAAATGGTTGTTGTCGATTTAAAATAATCATGATTTATTTTTTATTTATTTTTTTTTTTTTTTTGATTTTGGATTCACATTCTGACCTTCAGACTATTTAGTATAAAAACTGATCGTTCAGATTAATGAATGAAAATAAAAAATTTATTGATCAAACGGATTGATTCCAATGAATTGAACAATGAATTGATTACATTCGATTTATCAATCGGAATGATAAAAAAGAAATCCAAGATCTTTATGGTCATCATTTTCATTTATATTCATCTTTCATTCTTCAATACTACTACTACTACTAGTACTTTGATATTGTTATGTTTGCTAGTGTGTTTGTATGTGTTTCTATGACCTTCAAAATGTAATTCTATGAAGTAAATTATATTGAGACTTTCTCTATTGTCCAATTCTTAAATTCAATATCATTAATTCCGGTATTAAGTTGTCTACCAACGAAAATTCGTTTTCGCAGACATGATGATGGACAACAGCAACAACAAGAACAAAATCTAATGTTGTGTTTATTATTAGTATTTATAATTGGCAACAGCCATGACAACAACAATGACAATGACAACAGTAATGAACAAATTAATCCTAAATTCCAATCCTTATGACCTTAACCATGAATTTTCATCATTACATCATCCAGTTCCATCATCACAGATTTTCGATTGAAATTTTTAATTATTCTCGCTTAATAAGCGTCAAAAAAAAAACACATTTGATGATGTTGAAATCCAGAAACAAAACAAAAAAAAAACAATCCATGTATGTATTTGGCTTTGAACTTGAAAAATTTTTCAGTAGAATTCATATTTATGTTTGAAATGTCCAAATTTTTTTTTAATTCTCGCCTAATTATTTTGCATTTTGATGACAATCATAATGATTGGTGCGAAAAAAATTCATTTTTTTGTTGTTGTTGTTGGTGATTAAATGCGAGGTCCACTGAGTTTCATCATTATTTTTTTTTTCTTTTTTTTTGTTTTCAAATAATTTCAGGATTAACATTTGATTTGACTTGATTTTTTTTTTGTTTCATAATGTTTCATTAAAATAGTTTTCAACTTGCACTATATTTCTAATTTTCTGATAAATAAAAATTAAAAGTCAATTTCTTGGTCAACTTTGAATGGTTTCTTTTCTAGAAAATGAAAATTTTTTGCTTATTTCATTGGTTGTTGTTGTTGGTGGTGGAACTTATCCTTCACTATATAATATATAAAGTGGTAAAATGACCAAAATGATCAACATCACGCATGTATTTTTCATTACACACACACACACAGACAAACAATATTCTTTTGATTCAAATTCCATCGATTCCATATTCTATCCATTCATATTATCATGGAACAAGATCGAAAACAAAACAAAACGAGAAAAAAACCAAAATGTTTGGAACAATTCATTCATTGAAAAAAATACATTACACATACACTAAGGCAAATACAAATACGCCATCATCATCAGTGGCGAAGATGATGATGAGTATATAATATAATCACATTCTGAATGACATATCCTTGATATTCTGAATGATTCTAAAAAAGAGAGTGAAAGAGAAAGAATCACATGATCAAATATACACTATATCCTTATCATCTTGATTCTCAGTTGTGTATATTGTGGAACAAAAACATTCTGTCGGTGTGTGTGTGTGTGCAAAAAACAGTCAGGCGCCATACGAATATTTTCCAATAAAAATGGTACTATAGTTTTTTTCCCATTTCTTTTCTTTTCTTCTTTCTCATCATAATCACACTATTCCATGTATCGATTCTGAAACTAGAAAAGCAAATGAAAAAAAATGTGTGATATTGCATGAGTCATACAGCATAATGTTTGGCGCCCGAGTGGTACGAGTGTGTCGGTTTTTTCTTTCCTTCTCTCTATTTTCAATGTGTGTATATTTGCTCAGTTATGTTTCAGATTTTTTTTCTTCCTAATTCAACGAAGATGATGATGAATTGTGGTGATGGATCTCAAGGATTTAGATCAGATATTCAATCATTCAGCATCTATTCGTCAATTTCGAATGTTGATTTTTCATCATTGAATGGATTTTGTTTTGTTTGAATAAATTTTCCAATCATCATCTTGCCATCATCGAAAATCATTATTGAACAATTTGAAACAATTTGAATTCCAATGAAAATAAATTGACAACAATTATGGAAATTGTTGTTGTCGCCGTCGACAATGATGATAAAGATGATTATAATCTAATGATATTGGTGACGAAAAATCGAATTAATTAGATAATAAAAAAAAGAAAATTTAATTCGGGTAAGTGTTTGACAAAATTTTTTCATATTTTTCCGGTTAATTTTTTTGGATTATTCGAAAATCAAAAGTAACCTCCAATCATTTCCAATGAAAAAAAAATTATTCACTTGATTTAATTGAAGAAAAATAATGTTTGTTTTTTTTTGAAAATTGGAATTATGGAAATGACAAATGTTTTTGTTTTTTGTTTTTGTCACCAATGTGTACATCATGTGCATAATCACATTGTTTTGATCCAAAAATTGTTGAAAAATATTCCAATTTGAGTATATTTTTTTTTGATTTTTCATGACATTTTCTCGTGATCACAAATTAATAATAATACTCATTCACTGACTAACTCTGAGATAATCCAAACAAACAACAACCAAAATCAAACATTCACTGTTGTATTATTATGTTGTGATTAGGATTATCGATGAACATAGCACACGAAAACATAAAAGATGAAAAGATGGACATGTGAGACTTAACCATTAAACACGCTGTGTTGAATTACTCATTGGCAAACGCTGCTCTATAGTCTATTAATGATTTCGATGATGAACCACTTTTTGTTTTAATTCACAAAATTATTAATCGAAAATTGATTGGATATAACACGTTTATAACATATGACATTCATCAAAATAATGAGTCAAACGGAAATTATTATCGTTTTTTCAGTTCAATCATCTTCATTATTAATATCAAACAATTTTATAGTGAGAAAGAGAAAAAAAATGTCAAGTTCAATGTTGTAATAAATTAACATTTTGTTGTTGTTTCCAAGTCTAAAATTATGAAAATCGATGAACAAAATATTTAATCGATCAATTGATTGATCGATCTGATTGTTATCGAATTCGATTTTTATTTTATGCAATTTTAACATTTGTTTCGACAAACAAATGTTAAAATTCTCACCAGTAATAATCATTCCTTTTCTTTTATCTTAATGGCACACACACATTTATATATTATTGAATTAGAGAATATTCTAATTCAATAATTTTTTCTTTTGCCTGGCGCCCACAAAAATATGCAAGGTGCAAAATTCTTAAGAAAAAAATATACACACACACACACACACGCATTTACATCCTGTAATTTGATAATTACATACATCTATTTCTTTCCTGTTATTTTTATGTTTTTCATCATCCATCCATCCATAATGTTGCTATTTGTGTGCGTATTCAAAGATTTTGAATAAATAAATGAATGAATGAATATGGAAAATTGTTTTTCGTCCTATTTTTTTTTTTTTTTTTTTGCTATTCGAATTCATAAACGAAGAACGGGTGGGTATTTCTGTTTGTTCCATTCGGCAATCTTTTTTTTCTGTTGACAACAAAATTGAATAAAAATTCTAATTCTTTTGTTGCTGTTGTTTTTTAGTACATTGAATAATAATTTGTTTTTTTTTCCTAAGAAACGATTTTTTTTTGCTATTTTTAGAAATCATTGTTACTATCCATTAAAGTTTTTTTTTATTCTTGTTGGCTGAGTGTTGTTTTTGCCGTTGTTGTTGTTTCCGTTGATGTCGATGATGATGCAATTGAACATCGAGAACCACCATTTCTATCGTTTAATTCTAATAATCTTCAATTGATATCATGTAGGGATTTACGCATTTTCTTTTTCTCCTTTTTTTTTGTTTGTTTCCAAACATTTGTTAGCTCGGATTATTATTACAACTATTGTTGTCGATACCGCTGTGTGTGTGTGTTAGTATCCATACCAGATAATTCAAATAAATCTGGTTCATTAGAGAGAGATGTCTATTATAAATATCACCAACCATCAGATATTAGCTTGTTATTTTTGGTTACCCCTAAGTACTTTGTGCTATCGATATATGGTATGATAATGGTAGATGTTCTGATTCGGATTCTGGTTCTCGTTCTGTTCATCATATCCAATTGTCTATGATGACGATCATATTCCATTAATGTTACGTAATTCATTTTTTCTCTTTTTTTTAAGCTCAAGTTTCCGGGATTGTTCCATTTTTTCTTTTTTTCTCTATTTTTATATATTAATATTAATATGTGTGCGTTTGTTATTTGATTTTTCGATTTGTCTTAGCAAAAAAAAGAGGAAAATGCATGTGTGAGTGGAATAAAATTTTTTTTCTTGTTGCAGAAATTCAGATTGTCTGTCTGTCTGTCTGTCTGTTTGATTATGCATGAGTGGTTGAATGATTAGGAAGTAAATATTCGAATGATTCGATCGATAATATCATGAAATGAACATGAATTATAATTAATTAATCGGTTTTTTTGCTGATTCATTTTTGAATTTCCCATTTTTCTACACACAGAAACACACACACACACATGTTCGATAATCGATTGATTTTTTCATCATATTTGTCGAAAAAAAAACAATTTTCATTTCTGGAAAAAAATGCCTTCACCATTAAATACACCGACTAGTGATCAGGAATCTAAATCAATATTCGATTCGATTGAAAATCTTAGTCAACTAAAAACAACAACAACGACAACAACAATGGGTATCGATCCAAAAATTATTATAAGAAATGCTGATAATAATAATGGCGATAATAGTGTTAAAACAAATGATGATGATATTAATGAAAACATTAATGTCGATGGCAGTGTTAAACAATTCATCATCAACAACATAATGGATGATGATGATGATGAATCGAAAAAAAATTTCTTAACTAAAATGCCGACATCTAGTAACGATGATGAAAACAAACATTCATTGAAACCATCTGTGAACACGCTTGATGTGGATGATGATTATGGCGGTGACGGTGGTGTAATAACAATGACAAAATCGAAAAATACAATGATTAATCATTCGAAACAAATATCATCAACAAATAATCAACAAAATCATCAACAAGAACAAAACGGATCAACAATGTCATTAGAATCGACAACAACATCATTATCCAATTCAACAACATGTTCATCATCAACAAATCTAACATGTAGTTCAGAATCGAACCATAACAATACACAAACCGGTAAGTGGATGCGAATGATTCTTTTTCGACTAACCAATTTGATTATTATTATCGTCATAGATAATGAAAATGATGATATAAATTCTTGGCGTAATAATTCGATAAAATATCGTCGTGCACGGCTCAATCTAAATCTGGTACCATTGAAAAATTTATCATTACCACAAATATCACCAACACCGACAACATTGGATCAAACATTTCCAACGGCACATCGTAATGGTTCATCATGTTCAACCGGTGGTAGTAGTAGTGATAGAAATGTTGATGATTGCGGTCCGAATGGCCGTTCACGATCATCGGCAAATGGAAATCGTAGTGATTATTTCAATTTTTCATTCAATTCTAATAATCATTCATATCAAACTTCTTGCTCACATCATCATCATCATAATTATTCATCATCATCATCATCATTGATGACAGGAGGATACTTTTGTCCGACAACAACAGCTATATTATTACAACGTCCACCATCACCGAAATATAATCCAAAAAAATTCGAACCAATTGTACAATTGTCCAATCATTATCCAGCATCAGCGAAATCATCATCATCCACATCATCGACAATAGCAGCAGCGACAAATAACGATGATATTAACCGTTGGTGTTTGAATTTTCAAGATTACAACGATAATCGATCATCAACTGTTTCATCGAATAATAATAATGTACAACAACAACAGTTACGGTTCAACTATCAGGATGCTGTGCGAATCGATTCAAATGTTTCGCTTGAATATCAATTGTAAGTTTATAATCGATTGATTGATTTTATTGAATTTTTGATGAATGTAAATTGACCATTTAATGCAAATAGCTGGTACCATGGTTCGATTAATCGAAAAGAATCGGAAAAAATTTTAGAAAAACACAGTATTGGTTCATATCTTGTTCGTCGTAATCGTCGAAGAAATGTTTATACATTATCATTAAAGTTTGTATTTTTTTTTCTTTGAAAATGACCACATATTTTGATGTTTAAACATTTCTTTTAGATCAATATTTGGTTACATACATTTTCGTCTATTTCACTGTAATCATAATAATGGTAATTATTGGTCATTGGGCCATTTTGGATGTCCATCACTACAACAACAGGGTATCAACAACAATGTTGATGATAATGACCATCCAAATCAACCATGGACATCGAGATCATCCACATCATTAATGTTGACAATCCGTTTTGAATCAATACCACAATTAATTGATCATTATACAATACATCGTTTACCATTGAATGGATGTGAACATATGGCCTTATTGTATCCGATTGAGGTTCAATTGCTTTAACCAAAAAACTACGTTGATTGTAAAGGAATAAAAAAAAACCAAACTGATCGCCTTCTTTGTCATTGACTTTGACTCATTCCCCTTTTTTCTTTTCTACTCTGCTACTCTTTGTTATTATTTCATTTTTTTTCTAACACACACACACAAAATCACCAAACATCATTTCTCATCAGTGTAACCAAAAATTCAAATGATAATCATAAAAAAAAAAAAAAAATTAAAACCTGAAACCCCTAAAAACAACAATGAATATGACCTCAAACGAGCTTTTTTCTATCCATTACTGCTACTGATAATAGAAAAATAACTACACTACTTCGATTCTTATTTTTTCGCATAATAATCTTTAACATAATGATAAATTTATTCTTGTATCTCAGATAAACAAAACAAAACACCGACAACAACCTATCCAACTTCATTCATTGAATATATTTTTCTAATTAATGTTTCCACAACAATTAATCGATCGATTGATTGATTGTTATTTTGTTAATTGCTTATCGTTTATTTTCCTCATTCTTTAAATACAAATTCATTAGAAAAACATTTCAAGCAGGTCAAAATGATAATGATATTCGACATTTCAACTGTGCAAATTGATCAACAACCCAAACCAGAAAAAAAAAGAAAAACAGCTTCGATATTGATCTCAATATAGATATAACAAAAAAATAATCGATTCTTTCGCGTTTAAAAAATATTTTTCAATGTTATCACTATTACTTAAATTTAAATTTGAATAATCATCATCACTCATCATCATCATCATCATGATGCATATCATATATTCACATTTGTAAACATAATTATATCACATCATCATCGATATATTGCATTACGATGATTATCCATCTTTCATATAAAAATTATTGAATCAATCAATCCATATATGATCAATCCAATTATTACATGTTTTATTTTTCACATTTTTGCAATATCCGTTTCTTTCTTTTTTTTTTTTTGTTTGAATAAAACTGAAATATTAATAAAGTTGAATTTTTAAGCCTCAAGATGGCATTCTTTATACATTTTTTGGAAAAAAATAATCGGATTTTTTTCTTTGTTGATTCCCATGAATCCAAGAAGAAGATTAAAAGGAATTCCGATATTGGATATATATGGGTGAAAGCGGTGAAGCAATGAAGCGATAGAGCGATCTATTAAATTGAAATTCTATTCCTTTTCTTCTTTTCTAGGTTAATCTAGGTTTAACCAAGGAAGAAAGAAAAAACGAAATTCCAGAAATTCCCTTATTTTTCATCATCGTCATCATCAGAATACAGGCGATTTCTAATTCTGGATTGAATGAGCGAATAAAAAACACTTCCTTCTAATTTTTTATTATCAAAATTCTTCCATCATATGTCATCAGTTAATTCACTTCATTGGTAATTCAATGATAGTTTCGTGATCTTTGAAAAAAAAAAACAAAAAAGAATAGGATCATGTTCTTTATTGATTCTGTAATAACCATAGAAAAAAAACACGTCTATAAAATCGAATTCGATAATAATAGATTCTTTCTCTGTGTGTGTCTGTCATCATTATCTGTCATCATCAGATTAATAGGTTATAGAATTCTCTCAAACAATAATAATTCTCATCTTACTATGAATGAATGAATATTCTGGTTTATGAAACACACAACACGCATGCTTGGAAAGTTTTTCCTGAATTTTTTCAATAAACATCATCATTCAATTTACATCAAATATTTTTTGCTTTTCCCATTCATTCATTCTTTCTCACCGTGTGTGTGTGTTTTCAGAAAAAAAATTCTACTGCTACTGTGAAATTCCTATGAGAATTCTGGCGTCTGCATTCACATACAAAACATTCATTCATTCTGAAATATGTATATGCAGTATATGTTTTTGTTTGTGTCGTGTGTGTGTGTGTGTGTGTGGAGTTGACGCGTTGAACCAAGCCAGACAAAACAGAGAAAAGACACCAAGAACCAAAATAAGAAACTAGAAATTAAAAAAAACCAAGGACCTAGTAATCATGTTCAATGGCCCTAGCATCGAACCGTGAGAGAGAGAGAGAGAAAGAATTTTCTTATTTTGTTTGTGTATGTCTGCGAAAATGTGAAAAGTTCATGTAGAAATTTTTTTTTTGCACTTCTAAAAATAAGATACAGAATCAACATCCTCATTGTCGTCGTTGTTGTCGTCTTCTCAGCCGAACAACAACAAACAGAACAGATAAAAAACCTAGATGAATCGTGAGAAAAAAGATGAAAAAAATTCATTAAATAATTTTGTCCATTTTCATTCAACATCTTTACCATCGAAAAAAATGGTAAGTTTGTTCGATTATCTTTTTTGAATAAATTTCATAATAATCAACACACACAATGTAATGTTTGGCCAGGTGGGAATTGAATAGAAAAACAAGACACAAAGTAGTAAGATGAGATTGGTGGTGGTGGCGGTCGTGGTCAATGGCTGTTAGTGGTCATGGTCCACACACTGAGTGACATTGAAACTAAGTAACAAAACAACAACAATAAAAAGTAACATTTTTTTACCATTCATCAGTCAGTCATTCAGAAATGGTTGTTTGAAGGCCAAAATAAAATATGAGTGTGTGTGTGTAATTTGATTTCCAGTAACGTATGCTGATCGTTTTGTGACGTCAAATTAGATTAGTTCTGATTGTCGATTCACCATTGTTGATTTATTATCCAGTTTATTGATTACATCGTTTGTTGGTTGCGTTAACCAATGACCATTTTCGTCCTTGATATGATCAATCTGTTTGATTACGAATAATAACATTTTTTCTTCCAAACTTGGTTTGTGAATTCATTGATAAAGACTTACCTAAAGGCTGCCATGAATTTTAGCAACAATTTTTGTTCTTTATTGTCATTTTCTCATGTTTCAAATGTCAACATAAATAAATAAACTTGTGTTTATTTTTCAAATTTGAAAAATAAACACAATACATCCATTCATAAACAACGTACAGAAGAAGTTCAGCAGGAAACGTAAATCGCAGCACATGTAAACACAAACTCACTCACTCACATTCATTCACTTCATCCAACATCGTTACCATCATCGTCATCAAAATGGATGAATTTTTTGAAATTCGTGAAGAAGAACGAGCAAAAGTAAGTATTGTATTACACGCCAATGCATTGCAATTGATTAAATCAATTATAATGTGTATAATTTTGATAAATCATTTTTTATAGTTGATTTCGGAACAAAATCAATTGATTTCAGAATTGAATCGACGTCAACAACCAACAACTGTGGACCCTAATCATCATCGTCGTCAACAACCAACAACTGTGGACCCTAATCATCGTCGTCGTCAACAACCAACAACTGTGGATCCTAATCATCGTCGTCAACAACAACAAATTGTTGATCCTGATCGTAAAAAGCGAGAGAAACGACGCATGAAACAGAGGGAGAAACGAAACAGAAAAAAAGAAAAAATCTTCGAAATCAAACAACATAATCTCGATTTTGAGAGGTTAATAAATTTATTAATTTTCTTGAAATCAAAAATAAAAGAATATGACGAAATAAGAAAAAAAAGAATAGATAATCTTCTGCTTACTACTTACGACGAATTTATGAAAAGTAACAAAACAACAACAATAAAAAGTAACATTTTTTTACCATTCATCAGTCAGTCATTCAGAAATGGTTGTTTGAAGGCCAAAATAAAATATGAGTGTGTGTGTGTGTGTGTGTGTGTCTGTATTATGTTGTGTTAATAAAAAGCCGGTCTTTGACTTGATCGAGCCTTGTTGCGTTAGCTGCTGCTGCTACTATCATCTGGTTCATCTATTTGGTTGTTTATTATGAACAGAAAAAAGACTTGTGGCTCAAATTTTGTCCATATCATATCATCGTATATGATAAAAAGGAAAAAATTGCATGAAATATAATGCATAGTGCGCATAAAATGTGTTTATTTAACACAAAAATTAATGCTGTTGTACTTTATGGTAGATTTATTTGTTTGTGAATGAAATTTTTACATTTCTGTATGCATTTTGTTTTGTTTTGTTGTTGGTGATGTTGTCATTCGAAACATAACATTGTTTCGAAAGAAAAAACAAACACATTGTGTTATCATCATCACCATCATCATTAAATGGTTACCCAGGTAGCCGATCCGAATGGACTCGTCGTCATAATTATCAATTGGTTTGTTTGTTATCCAACCAAAAAAAAACGGAAAAGTTTACGACAACGATAATGTGATGATCTTTGGACCATTTTGGACAAAAAAAACGCGATACTTACACATCTGAATTGCAACTACTATCGATGCTATACACTGCCAGCAAATTGTAAAGAAATTTTTTTTTATTCCACTTTTTTTTACTCCGGTGATTGAATGATGGTGATGATAAACACAGGAAAGAATAAACATCAACAATATTTTTTTCCATCATCATTATGACCTGAAAACCAGTAAAAAAAAACGTAAGTGTTTATTTGCCAAAAACAACAACGAAAATAACGAAAATGAAAACATTTAACCATGTTTATTCTCTGCTAAAAATTGTCAACCCAATATATTGATGATGATGACGACAACAAGAATCTAACTACATTTTCTAAACTAAATATACATTTTCTTGAAATACAAATAAAAGTTTTCTCACTTTGTTTTTATTTCTTACACACACACACACACACACACACTAGATAATGATTAATAATGAAAGTGACAACGAACTTTTCTTCTATCAATTCAATTTACATGAAGATTGTCGTCATCATCATCATCATTTCAAATGTGAAACAAGAGATATGAATGAATACGCCTACGACAACGATGACTACTATACTACTTGTGTATAAATATCAAAAAATGATGATGACGATGATGATGATAAAGATTTGTTTTTTTTAGCAAAAAACCCGAATTCATTTTAGATTATGTATGTGTGTGAGTGTTTGTGTGACATACATTTAAATTCACATAATTTTCCAAATCCAAACGTTTTTTTTTAAATATGCTAATGAAAATCTCTCACATACGCACATATAAATAAAGAAATGCTTTCATCACCATCAGTGACAGAAGCATCAATATTGATGCTTCTAAATTTGGTGTTTTTTTTTTTATTATTATTTATATATACGTATTATGAATTGTAGTTGAATCAATCAATCAATCAAATTGATTTTTTTTTTTTAATGATGACGACTTTTGATATTTTTTCTCGTTGGTTATCCTGTTGCTTAATATCAACATATCGATAATAATAATCGATACGATATTGATTTACAATAAACAAATGTTGAGTTTTTTTCCATGGATTCATCGTCATCAATCGATATTTTGGCTATATTACTATTTCTGTTTCTGTATGTATCTGTTTATCATCTTTCTTTAATTATAATGCTAATTTTTAGATTCCATGTTAATCCAATACATTTGTTGTTGTGTCGGTCATCAACACAATGGATGCAGGTATAGGTGTGTGTGTGTGTGTTTGTGTGCCAGTGCCAGAATTTATTTAAAAAAATGATGATCCAGAGTGTAAGTAAATATTGATATAACATTATTGATTATCGAGCAACCTGAATAAGATGAAAGGTAAATACAAATAAGAAAATTTAATTAATTATTTTTCAATTTGATTATTATTCTTGATTAATCTCTCTTGTCTATTTAAAAGCTTTTAAGCAAGAGAAAAAATACTCTAATGTAACACACAATAGGAAATATGAGAAGGAAAAATTTCCCGGTTGTCTGAACTGAACACTGTTGTTTGTTATTTGTTAATATTGAAATGAGACAATTCTTTGTAGAATAATTTAATGGATTTTTAGCTCCACTGGTATATGGATAGCGTCTTTTTTTTTCTATGGTGGTAGCCAATGAGTTAATGTAAACGGTATCTATGAAATGATGCGACATCGATGATGATGATGATGGTATATTTTTTCGAAT